CAACCCCAACCCCAACCCCAACCCCAAAGAATTAAATTTATTCAATATTTTAAACAAATAAATTTACATTTTTAAAATAAATTTTGCTTTTTTCATTCAATTTATTCAAAAAAATAACCAAAATAATTTTTGAAATAAAATATTTTTCAATAATCAAACAATTTACAATCTATTTTTTAATAAATAATAATAATGTAGGTAGTTCTTTTATAATTAAGTTTATTTTAATTTAAGATGTTAATAACTATTTTAGGCAATTTGTTCAAATCATTCCATTCAGTATGGTGAAATTTTTGTTTTATTTTGAGTAAGTTTCTTGAGAAAAAAAGTATCAATAACATAGAAAAGATTTTATTTGAGCCCTAGTCAATTTGATGTAAATAAAATCAACTCATCTTTTTTAATGATACACGGTAACTTGATATTGAGCTTTCCTTGCTGATTATTTTGAAATATTCAGAGATGGTAGTTACATAAATATAGTTAAGTTCTTCCATTCGTTAAATTCTCTCATTTTTCTCAAATTTACTTTATTATCAATTCAAATTAAAAAGATTAGTATCATCATTATTCTTTCTTTAATCCTTACTTCAAAAAGAAATAATTAATAGTTGGATCAGGTTATTGGTCTGAGATTTTAATTGCAATTCTGCCAGGAATTCAATTGTTCTTCACCTCTCCACTTCAAGTCGTGTGCTCCCTCTCATATAGAAGAAATAAATAACTTTATATAAATGCCCTTCTTTAGAAATGTGATTTTACTTTTTAAAATCATTAAATATTCGCTTTGAGCTACATCTGATCTTATCAGTATTTCAATTAATATCTAATATAAATCAAATGAATTTAGAATATTTAAGATAATTTAATAATAATAGAAGTAGAAAAATTTAAATATTATAAATAGAATAATTTAAATAAAAACATTTTCATTTTAAATAAATATATATAATAAATAAACAAATTTATTTTATTATTTTGTGAAAATCTATTTAAAAATAGAGTACACATTTTTATATTATTTGAAACAAAATATTATCTTTCAAATGATGAAGTGAAAATTTATTTTGCTTATTATTAAATTTTATAAAAGAAAATTTATTCCAATTAATACTAAAAATAAAATACATAATCCTCACATAGAATGTTTGAATTTTAATTTACCTAACTGCTAACAAAATTTACCTCATAAATTATTGTAAACCAATTTATCTTGATTATATTCCTAAGTGATATTTAAAATATAATTTTAAAATTTTCTACAAACAAATATAGATTTTCATCATCATCTTTTATTTAGTTTTTTCCTATTTATACTAATTTTTATATTATTAAATATATTATATAAAAATTATCACTATTTTAAACAATTTCATAAAATTTAGAATTTAGAAAAATTTATAAAACTTCGAATTTGGAAAAATTAAATTTCATTTAAATTGGAAAAGATAAAAAATTTAATCCTAATTGAGCTTTGGGGGTCGACCTATTATTTTAAAATAGATTGTGATCAACACACTTAAAATAAATAAATTTATTATAATTCTTTAAGGATTATCAATAATCAATCAATAATTCTAATTATTTTTAAATTCAAATTTTATATTTTGTTAATAAGTATAGAAAGATACTCTTATTTTTTAAAAATAATGGTTAGCTCTAAAAATTTTAATATTATATTTCTTAAGTAGTTTGATAGAAATGACTAATCTTTATTATTTTAATTTTAATCACATATATATACATACATACATATATACATACATACGTTCATCATAATACGTACTTATATTTCTTTTTAAATTCAAACATATATTATTTTTACAATAAATTTAGTGAATTTTTTCTAAAATTTATTTATTAAGTTATTTTCACATAATTTTTACATGAAATGATGACAATAATGATGATGATTTATATCTTTATATTTCAATTTATAAAAGAAATTTGGATGAATGGTTGGTTTAGTTTCAATACTCTAAATTAAAAAAACTGTTTTTATTGAAAAAACTTTTATTAAGCTTGAATGAAAAATTTGTAATCTATTGCAACTAAATTATCCTAAAAATAGTAATAAATAAAATATTGATTATATAATTTGCATTATTAGTTAAGTAGCTGCAATAAGGTGATCTAATATTGTTATTAAAATGAATTTGTTCCTTATAGAATAATAATTTTGAATTTTTTTTTCAATATTATTTATAAAAAAAAAGTGGAGCAAAACAACTCAATTTATTTTAAATTTTTCCCATTTAAAAATTGAAATACTAAAGAAATATTCCCCATAAATTTGATAGATTGATTACTCTTTATTTAAATTATTATTAAAGAAAAATAGTTATTTCTTTTAATCTTTTTCTTCAAATCATTGGGTGATATTGAGTAAAAAATATAATTTATTTATTTTTATTTTAATTTAAAATTATTTGATTAAAATAAAAATGAAAATGAAAATAAAGTGAATTTTTTATTGGTTTAATGGTGATGGCTCATCCGCTACCTGCGCATATAAAAAACGTATATGCACCATCCACCTCCCCAAAACTGAATGGAGCAACAAGGCAGTGACGGCACATCTGGTAACTTGAAGACTAAATCAATACTAATCTTAGACTCTGGTAATGATATAGACAATTATTAAAGATTCCATGAACCTATAAATTTAGTTGCTTCTGAGTAAAACCAGCATCAAGAATAAGAATGGAATGTACTACCACAAGATAATGAAAAAGAAAAAAAAATTTATAAATATGAAAAACATCAAATCCCCTCAAAAAGTTAATGACAGAAATCGAAAATCATTGGCTGGCTAAGTAAGATAAGTAATAAGTAGATAAATAAATTAACTATTAATTTGATAATTCTTTTTATCTAAACTTAATAATATATTCTATTATTAAATTTTGATTAAATAAGTTAGAGAATTTAATTATTGATTATTTTTTAGTATTAATTTATTAGATTTCTGTTTTTTATATTGCTATTAATCATTTTTTTAAACAAAATTTGTATTATTCACTAATTTGGCTGAAATATCAATTAATATTAAATATATTTTCTTAATTTAAATACATAATACAATTAATTTATTTAATCTTATTTGACTATTCATCATATTATAAATAGATAAACTATTAATTTATTTATCTCCTAATTATTTTAATTTTTATATTAAATTGATTGCAGATTATAGATACATTGAAAATTGTCTAAACACCTGCTTTGAAATCAAAAATTTTACCTAAAATACACAGGTGTCAAGTTGATAGATTTTATTATGAATGAAAAATTATGTTTTATATAAAAACAATCTTTTTTCTATTTTTAATGAATTCTCAATTTATAAGGGAGCCCTGTTTTATTTTACAGTATTTTAATAATATATTATACAAAATAACACTTAAATCAATAAAATTTAAATTAAAATACTTTAATTATCATATAAAATGTGATTAAATATAGTCATTTTTGTTTATTTATTTTTAGAGAAAACTGATTGTTACCTTTATTAAAATAAATTGTGTATCTTATGTTATTTTACTTTAAGGTCTATGGATAAGATCAATTAATTAAGTTATTTCTAAATTAACAAGTTTTATATAAACTAAAAGCTGCTATCATACTAACTTTACCAAATATTTAAAAATAGCTTAAAAAAGTTTATTTTTAAGACCCTATACCAAACATAAAATCTGGTATGAGGTATACCTTAATTAATGAGGATTGAAAGTAAACAATTTATAAGCATTTTCTAAATATTTTTTTTTATTACATTTTAACAATTTTTTGTATAAATAATCTAAATTAAGAATATTAAAAATACTATTCTAATATTCTAATTTGTTAAAATGCTATTTATTAAAAATTGTATGAAAAATAGAATTAAGTCTAACAAATATATTAATTAGCTAAAAAAATAAGTATTAAAATAAACTAAAAAAATATTATCTTATAAAAAAATTAATTGATGATTTAAAATGTAAATAAAGAGTGTTATTTTATTTTAAACTTTAGAAATCTTTATTTTAGTAGTCACTCTAAAACTATTTTCTTTGAAAAGAATATAACGAAGCACATTTCAAACCAATTTAAGAAGTGGTTTCTAGTTGATATTTAACAGTAAATGAAAATTTTTTGTATATTAAAATGAGATATCAATTATAAAACTTTTTAAAAAAATTGTAAAAATATTAATTAACAAAGCTAGTTACAAAATGTTTTTATTTTTGATTTAAAAAATATTTGTTAATAATTAATTTTAACTTTATTTTTTATATTTTTTACATAGAATAAAAATATTATTGGTACTGGTTTTATGTAAAGAAATAGCAAGAGCAGAAAGAAAATCATACAATACAAATTCTGATTTTTTCTATTTTAAATTAAACTATAAATTAGAATTTAATGTTCGCTAAATTTGATAATAAAAGAATGTTAACTAAAAATTACATTTAAATTTTTGGCACACAAGGAAAAAGCAAATAAATAATATAAAACTTAGTTAGTTAGTAGCAATTTTAGAGAAATTTAATAAATGGAAGACAGATTCGATACTTTAAACGAAAATTAAAAAAATGAAGTCATGAACTTCTTATAAATTACAGGAACAGAAGACATTAATAATGCTATTCATTACATGGAAATGAGCAATTATGATGTTGGTGTAAGAATTTTTCTTTCTTAATTTAAACAAAAATAGTGATTGTAGTGACTCAATAATAATTATTTCTTTTTAACAAAAAGAACGCTGTTAATTTGTATTTCCAAAATCAAGAAAGAGGTGGTGATTTCAACTTTGGTTCTTCAACCAGATAAGGCCCAATTGGAAATTAATTGCGTAAATTTGTCATTAAATTTTTAGATTTTAATAAAATCGAAGGATAGTATTTATCATTTTGCACTTGTTTTAAATGAATTCTATTAAATATATAAAGCTAGAAGTAACAATAACAACGCAAATAACTAGATTCAAGATCCTTTAGAATAGATTGTTAAGGAATATAAAAGGCACCTTGATCGCAAAGGTTAGTAGGAAGATAGTGGCATAACTGGTATGTTAAAAAAAACATTCAGAGCAACAATGAATGGTGCTAGAAATATATGGAATAGTGTTAGTAAAATTTAAATTATAAAAGATTCAAAAAATAAAAAAGCATTTTGTAAATTTAATTAGTGCCAATCATGATTAGAGGTGAAACTCCAGGCGGTGAAGAATTTAGATTAAGCCTTAGAAAATAATTTCCAGATTTAGAAACATACAACTTCTAAAATGGGACATTTGAGGAAGTAACAAAATAATAATGATATGATATATTTTGTGATAAATTTTCTAATTATGTTAAATAGAATATGTAAAAGGCAGATGAATCTTAGCTTCCTTTACTTGTGTATTTCCATATTGAAGGAAACAATGCAAGCTCATAATTGATAAAATAAATTTTGTCAAACTAATAAATAAAAACATACGTGGTAAAATAAAATAAAATAAATTTTTAATTGATAAATTTAATAGAATTAATGTGGGTTTTAAACATATTAATTTTGATAAAAGAATAAAAGCTTTCATATTTTGGGATTAAATGGGAGATCTGATCAAGCTAAGTCACTTTTATAATATGTTTAGTCTTCAAGCTACCCTTGCTTTGCATGCTTTAAGAAAACTTTGTTTGATAAAACAGAGCTATTAAATTTAATTGTAAAAAATCATTTAGATTATTACTAAAATTAGATTTTATATAATAAATTTTTATCAGGTTATAACAACAGAAAATAGTAGTACCGATTATTATTTAGAATAAATTAAGACTGCAAAACAAAATTTCTATATGCTTTTGAGTGAGGATGACAAAGTAAAAAATGCTTTGAAAAATCGTTAAGAATAAAGAAGACAACAAAGAGAAAACTTCATTAATGAGCACATATTTGGCATTCCACCTCCTCCACCACAATTAACACCAGACTAATTAGCAGCCTAGAGAGCTTAAATTGAAGAGGATAGAATGTAGATTTTTGAATTTTATTTAAGATTAATTAAATTATTTAAAGGGAAAAGAAAATGAAATTTTTTGTTTTAATAAAAAAAGGCTAAGATAAGCATAAGAAGAGGCTTTCAAAGAAGCAGAAAGACAAGCTGAATTATAACTCAGACAAAAGTAAGAAGAGGAATAGAGGAAAAAGGCAGAAGAGCAGAGAAAGAAATAAGCTGAAGAAGAAAGAAAGTAATAAATAGAAATAAAGAGAGCCAATTTACCTGAAGAACCTGCTAAATCTCATCCTGATGCCTTCACTATTGCCTTCAGAATTCCTGATGGAAGTCGTGTGATGAGAAGATTCCTTAAAAACTAAAAAATTTAAGTAATAAAAAATATATATAAAAATTTGAGAATATTAACTAAATATTTTAACTAAAAAGTATCTTTTCGACTTCATTGATTGTAAAGATGATCTAGAATTTGAAAGTGAAGAAAGAAAATTTGACTTAGTTTAAACATTCCCCGCTTTATCTCTTTTAGAACATATTAATAAATCTATAAATGAAGTATTTCCAGACTCTGTTTAGGAAATTATTATAGTTAAAGAGCTCTGATTAAAGTTAAAATTTAAATTCTTATTATTTTTAAATCTAATAAATAAATAACATGCTACTTTATATATCAATTTATTTTAAATAATAAACTTTGTTTCTAATTAAATATTTTCAAAAATTGCATCATTTAGCTAGCTAAATTTAAATAAAACAAAATTTTCAATTTGGATATTTTATTTAAGATATTTGTTTTTAATTTTCACACAACTTGATTATCAAAATTTAATTTTTATTTAATTTTTAAAAATATTTTTTGTTTTGATTAAATTATTTAGCTCTTTTTAAAAATTTCATAAATTGAAATATTAATTATTTATATAAAATGAATTATAAATTATTAATATGAATTTGAATTATTAATTATTCATACGAGAAACTCAAAAAAATTACTTTATTAAATAAATATTATGTTTTTAATTTTAGTTAACGAATAGTTTTTTCTTTATTAGATCAGCTTTAATTGAATCAAATTAATATTTTTTATTTTTAAACATGTAATTTAAGTAATACATTTTGTTAGGGAATCATTAATATTTTATTAATAATTAAGAAATTATTTTAAGAAATGATTGTTATTGAAATATTATTAAAGTTTTTTATAAAACATTTAAATTTTAGATTTAATTTAATTTAAAAGTGATTTGATATTTTTTATAAATTAAGGCTAGTAAGATTTATTAAAGTATGAAACAACAAATATTTGACTGAACATTAAAATTTAATAAAATAATGATTATTAAACTCTACATACATATACTGCATAATTAGTTAATTTAAGAATTATATATAGCATTTAATAGTTTTTTTAAGTTTCAATTAGTAAAGTGAACAATAATAATGATGGATAAAATTGATGAAACTGATAAACTAGATAAAAAGAAGAAAAAGAAGCATATTATTGAGTATAATTAGTTTATTGAAGAATTTGAATTCGTCCATCTTTCTGGATTGAAAGGTCTTGAAAGAGCTCGTCAAATTCAATAGAAGAGCACAAATAAAATGTTTGATTACATTGAGATGGATTTGAGAGGAGTAGATACAATAGATAAATATGAAAATTACTGTGAGAGTTTATTCGAGATAAATTAAAAGGAAATCTTGCAAATGAAGTTTTATTCAAGGGTATTTGTAGAAGAATCGCTTGGAGATCCTTATTGCAGATACTTTTTAATATTTGAATATTGCGAAAGTTCAGTGGAAACAGAAATATAGCATTTAAAAAAGAGGAATAAGCAACTTAAAAAATCTACACTTAGAAAAATATTTGAATCTGTTGCTATTGCATTGAATCACTTTCATACAAAGCAGATAGTTCATGGAGATTTGAGATCATCTAAAATATTTAAAAATGAATAAGGCTAATATAAATTGATGCCTCCTAAAATCAAAAATAGGAAGGCTACTGAAAAATATTACCACTCACCCGAATATCACCTTAGCAAAAATTTTAGAGCAGCATATGAGAAATAATAAAATAATCCGTAAAGATAATTTTAAGAGAATAAACAATTTTTAATAAAGAAATATATTTTTAATAACAGCATTAAGGGAGAAATTTATACATTTGGTATGATAATGTTAGAACTAGGTACTTTCAGTGATGACTTATATAATGCATATGGAAAGTTTTAAATGAATGAAGATGTGATTTAAAATGCTTTATAGAATTTTTCTATGCTTTATGGTTATCATTTAACAGCGGTTGTAAAGAAGATGCTCAATTTAGATGCATAACTTAGGCCTACTGCTAATGACATTATAGAGCTTCTCCAATCTTAGGAATTACATGAAATGGAAAAGGAAATTAATAACCCTTATATTAAACTAGTATTTAAATAATTTGCCGTTTGTTTTAATTTATTAAATTTTATTCTTAAAAATAGCAACATAGCTTTTAAAGTGAAAGTGAAGAAGATAGCAATGCTGCTACAACTATTCATGCGAATTAAAATGGTTTGCACCCCTAATCTCATGAAGAAAAATTTAAGAGGGAAGATGGAAATAAAAAATCTACATTCTTTTAACTACAGCCTTAGAGCTCTTAAAATATTTAGTTACCAGCAATTAAAATAAACATTAAAGCACCTTCTAATGTAGAATCACAAGATTCTTAGCAAGATATTTTAAACACAAGCACAGTTATTGGTAAAAATAATGTTCTTTAAACTCATCAAAGTTCAGATAAAACTCCGGTTACTAATAGAAGCTAAAGGAGTAGACAAGGGACACAAATATATGTCAAAAGTAGTTTAAGTAGACAACAATCTAATTCAGTAAATAATCGAATTATTTCAGAATTTAATCTTGAAAAAAATGGTTTTAGTTTGTTTAATTGAAATCTTAAGATTTTTAATTTTTAAGTCAATTTAAGGAGATACCAAGAATTTTTAAACATTCGGAAGAGTTGCTAAGGCAGTCATAAAATTAAAAGACTCAGTTAGGAATGAAGAAGAGGAAGAAGACAATGACGATTTGCTTAGAGAAAAAAAAATATATGAAACATTACCATAAGAATATTAAGATGAAATAGATTCAAAAGTCAATGAAAATCTTAAAAATATCGAAAGAGATTATACAGTTGATTATTTACCAAACGGTCATAGATATTAAGGTGAAAAATTGTAAGGGGTTCCTCATGGATGGGGGATTTTTTGGTGGGCAAATGGAGAAATTTATGAAGGAGAATTTTTAAACGGGAAGTATCATGGAATAGGTTAATTAATTTATGATAGATTGTAAATCAAAAAAAATAATTAATTAATTTATACAAATTTTAGGTATTTATTACTGGCCTACTGGCGTTAAGCATTATGGTGAATTTAGTTATGGAGAAATTAAAGGATTAGGAGTTAGGTTTTATTAAGAGGGAGATATTTATTTTGGTGAGTGGCATAGAGGAAAAAACCATGGAAAAGGAACTTTTTATTGGTAAAAATCTTTAGCAAAGTTTAAAGGAAATTTTCTAAAAGATAAAATATATGGGAAAGGAACTCTAATATTACCAATATTCGAAGATAGAGACTAAGAACTAGGAGAGTATAAGGGTTCATAAAAATCAAGTATATTCTAAGACAAAGATTAAAATAAAGACAAAGTAAAAGAAACAAGAATTTACGAAGGTTTATGGAAGGATGAAGAAGGAAAAGGTATTTATGTAGAAGAAATTGAATTCTCTGCATAAAAAGAAGGAGAGGATATACCTATTCAAGTAATAGAAGAGCCTGAATAAATTGTAACTAAATAGCGCTGGAAGATATGATTTAATTAAAGCTTTAAATTTTATGTGATTTTTATTAAGTATTCTATTTCTATTTTATTAACTATTCCTTAATAATTTTTTTATTTCTAGATTTATTTACATTAAATTTTCTTAAAGTGTTTTAAATAGTAGCAAAACAAACAAAAAAACACATTAAAAAAAATTAATTTGAACAAAAGAATTTTTATTAATAATTAAAATTAATTAATTTTCATAAAATATGTACTTAATTTTGTATTGATATTCTCATTTATTTTTTTAAAAAAATTAATTATTTATTAAATAAAAAGAAAGTTTATAATTGTATACATGCAGTCCTTCTTTTGGATTTTCATAGATAATTAAGCTACATCAGTAAACAATTTAAATATTTTATATCCAATGTAAATCAAAAACTAAAAATATTATAAATTTCTTGCTTCTTAGAATCTAAAGCTTCATAAAGAAATTTGTATAAAATGTAGCATTCATCTAGCTTAAATAAAATTAAATTTAATTTTTTTATTTTAATTTTTTGTTTATTTAATTTATTTATTTTATTTTTCCTTTCTTTCATTCTTTATTTCTTTATTTCTTATTTTTTTCTTTTTCTTATTTCATTAATTAATTTTTTTCTTTTTCTTTTTGTTTTATTTTATTTTAATTTATTTATTTTTATTCAATTTTTTTCTTATTTTTTAATTTTTTTTAATGTTTTTCTTATTTTAATAATTTATTAATAATTTTTATTTTATATTTGTTTTATTTCTTTCTTTCTTAATTTATTTTTTATTGATTTTCTTTTTTATTTTTAAGCTTTTTTTTATTTGAATGAATCTTTTTCTCTTAGATATGCTGAAAAAATTGTAGTTAAAAATGAAATTTAAAAAATATGATTAATATAGTATTTTAAGTAAAAATTTAAGTTAAAGCATCTTAGTTTCGAGCAGAAAAGGATTAACTTTTTCAAAGTGTAGTAGGTTTTTTTTCATGAATTGAAAGTGTGTATTTAAAAATTTGAGGATTCGAGCTAGTTTATCGCAGCTGACGGGATTAAAAAACTTGTTTAAATTTCTTTTCATGAAGTAGTTCCATACTACACTCGTGAATTCTTCTCACGTCTATTTCTAAAATTAAAACTTTTAAAGCAGCAGAGGGGGTTTTACAAATTTACCGTAGCAAAGCATAATTATCTATTTGAAGAGAACTTAATCATTTATCTTTTATCATATATTAGTTTAATCTATTATTTTAAGTATCTTATTTTACTTTTGTTTGAATTTCTAATCATAGCATTTTTTATTTCGTTTAGTTGAGCTATTTGTTTGATTATTTGGTTAAATATTTATAGATGCGCGTAAGACTAATCTTAGTCATTATATTCATTTTATTGCTGCAATTTGTTGTAGACTAATCTCAGTCTTTTGTAAATTGAGTGGATTTTTTTGATCGATCATGAAGATCTTCTTTTTTTTTAGGCCAATTAGCTAGAGCTCTTAAGCAGGTAAACAAAGACTTAGACACAAGAAACATTTCCAAGAAAGCACTAAAGCAATGAGCTAGCAATTAATATAAGATTGATTATTGGTTTTTACAAACATAAATATTTTTGAAGTTGTCTTTTAATAAGTGTCAATTAGTTTTTTTGAAAGTATGTGTATTGGTTATTTTTAATAAGTGTCAATAAGTTTTTTTGAAAGTATGAGTTAGTTTATTTAAAATGCTTAACAATTTTATAATTTTTTTGAAGTATTTTTGAAAATGATTTAGTCCCATAAAAAAAAATGTTTTTAAATATAATCTCAGCGTGTTTTTTAAAAAAAAAATCTTTACTTGTCTTAACTTTTTGATTCTTCTAAGTGATTTTTTAGCATTGCATGTCTACATGAGCAGTACTTTTTCTTTACTTAAAAAACTTCGGGTATAGGTTCCTGAGATGAAAATTTATTTTGGAGCACATTTTTTTGAAAAGGTACTACTATGTCTCCATACATGCTAATCACCTCATTTATTTCTTTATTTTTCTTATTTAGGTATTTATTTTTTAATTATTTAAATATTGAAAAATTAATTATAAATTTTTGTTTGTTTGTTTCCTTGTTTTAAAAATAATTAAATATTTTCAAATTTCAAAATTTTTTTCTTTCTTTTTTGAAATACTAATATTAATTAATTAAAAGTATGAAATATCTTAAATTTGCCTTTATTTCTTAAGCAGTTATACTCATATTGGAAATATATATATATTTTAATTAACTTTTTTGCATATCTAATACAAATTTTTTATCAAAAAATGAATTATTAATTAAATAATAAAATGATTTTTTAAAACAAGATTAATTTAATATTATATGAAATAAAGAATTTGATTAATTTATCAAGAAATATTATAATATAAAAACGATAAAATATTATAAAATGAAAAATGCTTACTTATTTTATAGAATAAAAAATATTTGGATAAAAATTAATTAATTAATCTCATATGCTAAATGATCTAAATAAATTTACTTATTTAAGGTTTAAATAAAATTTTTAAAAATATATTTTTTTAAAATAATTTTGTTTTATAATTTTATTTATGTAATTATAATAGCTTTAAAAACTATTAATGATTACCAAATACTTGATTAGTTGTTTAAAATTCCAATTTAATAAAATAGGATTGATTTTTTTTAAAATTTAACTGAGTGTTTATGTTTAAATAAAGAAGATAATCTAAAATAATTTTAAAATTTAATTTATAATTTTATATGCTTCAATAATTAAAATAATATTTTAAACATTGATTCTAGTTTGTTTATTTACAAAATATTTTAAGTGATAAAAATATGAAGTAAAAATAAATGAATGAAATACTTAAATAGTATTTAAATAAAACGTTTGTATTAAATTTAAAAATTATTTTATTCGTTTAAATTATGAATATCTTTATTATAAATAAATAATTTATGTATCATATATTCAATTTTAAACTAAATTTTATGATAGCTAAAAATTTTTGTAAGCTAAAGTAGACATTTATTTATCTATTTAAGGAAATAATTCTTAAATATGCCTATTAAATTGATCTATACTATTTATTGTGTCTTTAATTTCTAGTTTATTTGTGGAAAGATTTTCTATTAATAGCTAATTATCTCTTATACAAACTGCACCAGAAGATGGAAATCTTATTATCCTTAAAAATTTGTGAAAAGGAGATTTATTTACATCTGTATAAACGTTCCCTTCATTAAACAATAAATCCTCATAATCTTTGAATGTGATGTTAAGTGAATATTAACAAAAAAATTAATTTTTTTCATCTATTCTATTTAAAATTTGTTTCTAATCATTTTACCACTCAAAATAAAATTATCCAAAAGAGTAATTATATAATTCGCTTTTCTTATCAAAATCAATTTTTAAAGGTTTATTTTTGAACCCAATTGAAACTTCGACTAAGTATTTGTCTTCATTTTCTAACAAATTATTTACTAATATTGCAGCGTGGTTTTTAGGAATTCCTCTACATGAGCCACAAATTAAGGAAGCTTAATATCCTAAACTTTGTAATAAGCCACAAAATACAGGACTTATAACTAAACAATATCCACCTGTACCAGTTAAGACTAATTTCTTTATTTCCTAGAAGCTCAGCTAATTTCTTTATTCAAATTTATGTTGAAGTAAAAATAGATTCTAAAATGGAATAACTTCTTAAGTTTTTTATACCAATGCTTCCAAATACTTTAACTTACACTCACCTTCTTTCAATTTTTCTAATTAAAGAAGATTTAAAAACTATTGAGTCTCTTATTCAGAAAGTAAAAAAGGGGTACTGCTTTACATTTACAATTATCGCTTAACTAACTTATTTACTATTTTTATTAAAGAATAATTTATCAATACACAAATAAGATTTTGAAATTAGAAATAGTCTATAAATATAATTAAAAAACACATTTAAAAAAAAATAAATTTATTTATTTGATCATAATTTTTAGGTACAAGAAAAATAAATAAATAGTTTTATAATACAAAAATCTTATTTGCTATTAAAAATGTTAACTTAGTATCTTTTTAAACGATTTTAATAATAAAATTTAAATCTTTTAAATATAAAATTCACAAAATAGACTTTTTTAAATTTGTATTATCATATTATTTCTTTTCAATCTTCTTTTATTATTTCTAGATAAAAGTAAAATTCTAAATTTATTCTAAAAGCTTTTTGTCAGAAATAAATAAAAGTTTTAAATAAAAAAAGTTAAATTTTCTAACATTTTTAAAGATAAAATTTTATGAAATTTATATGTCATAGTTTTTATAAACCTTTTATGATTAAATTTAATACAAATATATACTTTTTTAATTTGTATTTTTATAAAATATTTAATTTTTTTCTTTTTTTCTCTTAATATTTTTATAATAGAAATAAAAAAAAATTGAAATTTATAAACATCATCTGTATTATTTTTTGTTAAAATTATAAAAAATCTAAATATAAACTAAAATTAATCTAAAATTTAAGATGTTTTTTTTAATGTATATTGAACAGAGCAGATTTTATATTTTAAAATTTTTAAATTTTTTTTATATAATAATTTATTTACAGAATCACTATTATCTTATCAATTAGCTTTAAATTAATAATTATATTTTTTTTAGTTTTTTAGATATTTATTAAGCAAAATTTTCATTTAAAATTATCTTTGAGAAAAAAATTACCTTTAAAATTTAAAGCAATTTGTAAATTTATTCAAAAATTTTACATGAAATTTAAATTTTAACTATTTCAATAATATAATAATATGTAAAATTCAATTTTGTAAATTTTCTCAATTTGAATTGAAAATTAATAAATCTTTAAATTTTTTAAACATAAATAATATATTTAATAAATTAATCACACTTCATCTATATTTGAAGTAAAATCATTAATTAGAGATAATAAATTATCTAATGACTAATCTATTTGACTATAATATGATTATGAATTTTTTTCTATTTATTTAATTTTAATATCTATTTTAGTTTATAACTTTTATGGAGCATAAGCCTTTAAAACTTCCTTGGAAATCTAATTCAAATCAGAATTTTAATGAATATAGTTACTTATTGATTCTTTTACATTTTAAAATTTTATTATAACATCTTCTTGGAACTTTTTATTTTTATTTGTGTGCTCACTGTTTAAAATATCAAACTTTTCATCTAATTTTTCCTAAAAATATTGGATTTAGGTCTTCATATTTTTAATTGATTCTAGTAAATTCTTATTTTCGAATTATAGAGCATTGCTTTAATTTGTCAAAGCATTTATTTATTATTAAAACTATTCATTTTGAGATGATAATTCTTGGTTTTCTACTGATAATATTTCTAAATTGGATGATATTTCAGAATCAATACTTGCAATTAAGGATAACTTTTCTTTAAATTAACTCATATTTTTTGTTAACGATTCATTTTTGGATTCAAGTCTGTCTATTTTTAATTGAAGAGCTTCTTTTTCAAGCTAAACTTAATGAATTTGCTATTTTAGGTCTTGATTCTCAGATTCAAGAAGCTATATTTAGAATTAATATTTTATGTCTTTTTCTGTTTTTTCTTAAGATTCTTAATTATTTAGTTTTAAATTTGACTCTCTTTTAGATTAATCTTTAGGAGGCTTGCTTGCTATGCTAGTATTTGAATTTTATTTACTTGGTGTAAGTATTGAAGAAGGTGCTTTTTAAGCTTAATTTATTGAAGATTAGCTTGATTACTTTTCAAGCATTTGGTCTTATTGCTTAGAATTTGATCTTGATTATAATTTTAAATCAGATCTACTCTTTAAAACGGCAGGCTGTTCTTCGACTGAACTTAAGTTCTGTATGCTTCTCTCATATTCTTCAATAATCTTTTCAATATTCTAACACCTTTCAAAAGTTATCTGAGAGTCACTTTTATGAAGAGGTGAAGTGTCTTGCTGTAATTTACTTTCAGCATTGATCTAAGTTTAATTCTCATTAATTTAATTGGTAAATTGATTTTGATCTTAATGAAATGAAATTTCATTTTCTTCCCTCTCTTGCATTTAAAGATCTTGTATTTATTATTTTTGAGATTTGATTTAAGATAAAAACAAAGAATCTTTTTATTTTTCCTCGAAGCTTTCAGGAATATTCCCTGTGTAATCCTCAGGAAGATACTAATGCTTTTTATCATTTTATTAATCCTCTTAATCATAATCAGGTGAATCTAAATATTTTTCAGCATTTCTTAATATATATTCTGTGTTTTCATTTTCTAAATTATATGTGTGATTCTGTTCATATTTTGGATCGATTTGGCTAATATCCTATTAAAATGGAACTATTTCATCTTTTAATCCTGACTCATCAATATTATTGTTGCTTTTTTGTAACAAAAACTTAAAAGTTTAGAGCGCTCTTTTATTTTCTTCATCTTTATCTTTTTCTTAGTAGTGCTTTAAGTCATTTAAATAACTTCCATGATTTCTTTCTTCTTTTTGTAAAGCCTCTTGTTTCTTGTAAAATTCATTCTAATTTAAACTATTTTCACAGTCAATTTAGTTCAAACATTCTTCATCATGTTAGCTATTTTGATTATCTGTTTGCTAATTAATTGTTTCTTAAATTTATTGAGGATCTTCTTCTTTTGTACTTCCTTCTAAATTATTTGTACTTCCATTAATAAGATTCTTTTGTATCTAACTACTGCTATCTATGGCTAAATTGTAATTGTTCTTTGAGTTAAATATATCTTTATGTCCTTTAAAAAATTCCTCAATCACAAAGCTATCTGATGTCTTTTGGCTTGCATGTCCAAGAGGTAAGCTATTTGTATTTATATTCATCTATGCTAATATTAATTTAATTTTTTATCTAAATTATCTTTCAACTAAAATTAGTTGATAATTAACAATAAAAAATTCGTTAAAAGTAAAAATTGATGGTATATCTGAATAAATATAAAATAATTAATAAATAAATAAATACTTTTGTTACTAAAAAACTTACATCTATATAAATTTTGTTAACATTCTCATTTCCAATCGATTTAAAGCACATTAATTAATTAAAATCATGAGAAAATTAATAACTAATATGTTTATCATTATTAATTATTTTTTCCACATAAAAATAATATTTTAAAATAATTAAATTTATAATTGAAAATTTTTGGTATAAATGCCTCAGTTTTTAAAATTAAATATTAAAAGTGAAGCTTAATTAATTTTAAAAAATACTTAATGAAAATTTAAAAACTTTTATTAAAGATTTACAAAATCTAGATTATAAAAATAATGTTAAAATTTATTATTATTTTTTAATTTCTAATTTAAATCTACTTATATAAATATATTATCACATATCAAAAGAATTATATTAATTTGTTAATAAATTGATGGAATAAAATTTAATATTTTAACTGTATGGTCAATTTATTTTATTGAGCCATAAATATATTTAATTTTAAGTATTTGATAAATTTTGAACTAAGAAATATAAATTTAATAAACAATAGCAATTCTCTCATATATCTTGAAGGGTGATTTATTGGTTAGTTTCAATCCTTTCTTCGTCTGTTTTCATTATTTCACTCTTAGTTGCTCTATACATGAAATATTTTTTTCTAGAGTAGATTTATATTAAAATTAGTAAAATTGATGCAATTACTATTATTTGGTAACTGAATGATAATTTTTCATATGTGCTTATTTTAGGATAAATATTTTTTGACATATGTTCGTTTCTATCGATTTAGGTTAAAATATTAATTTAAAGAATGACTAAATGGATGAAATAGAATATTATGTATTTTAAAATATCATATATAAATCTGAGTTCTAAAATTTAGGATTTTAAAAAGAAGATTATTCCATACTTTTATTTAACTTCATCTCTAAGTTAAGCCATCATTGAGAGTATTGCTATTATAGTTATTTCAGTTAATAAAAAGCATATTTATTATAAACTACTGCTATTAAAACTAAGGATATACTAGTTAACATAGCTGCATCTAAATATCTAGCAAAAGAAAATATTTTTAATCATATATACTCCGATTAGTGCACTAATACTTGATAGTATATTCAGCTGGTTTATTATCAAAAGGAATATTATCATAAATGTTGTATAGCAAAATAAATATTCTAATTTTTAGGAACTATCTTAAATAAACTAGGTTTGACAAATAAAATTTATGCAATTAAAGCATAAAATTATTAATGTGCTTTAAAAATTAGACTTCTCTATTAGATAGAAAATAACTGTAAAGATAATTATGTTTATTATAAATGAAATAGGGGTATTTATTTAAATAGATATTTTAAATAGCATTTCAATTATCTGAGGGACGAAAAAAAGTAGATCCTATAGAATAAAGCAGATGATTTTTATTAATTTCTTAGTTCTTGATGAATTTTAAGCATAAGCAATACCAATTTTATACACAAAGTAATATTTGTAAAGCTAAATTCCGCAATAAAATACATTTTATTCAAGAAGAGTAACTATAGAATTAATTTGGATTATCTCTTATATTTTTTCATCAACGCTTACAAAAAATAGAGCACTAATAATAGCTAAATACAATGTTAAATATAAATATCGCTTAGCTTCTTAAATTTATTAGACATAAGTAAAGAATGAAGCTTGGAGAGAAATAATAGAAAGGAAGCATATAAATAGTAAGAATTAATCTCTAATTGTTTCCTGATAAAGATATCTTTCTTTTAAAAATATATTTTATGAATAAAAAGTTTAATTTAAAATTATTTTTACGTGAATTTGGATTTAAAAATATGCATTTTTATGAATTCAAAAATGATATTTATTAAATAAAATAACCTAAAAAATATAGCGCCTATAAAAATGTATTAACAAGTATTTAAACTCTAACTCTATCATCTTTATCTAATACTAAATCTGTTTAATTTATCAAATTAGCTACTCCATAATTTTTAATATTAATTTGCTATAATTTAGAATTAAAATAAATCAAGCAACTCCATATGAATATAACTAAAATAATCATAATCATAGTCGAAACACTAAGGAGTTGAGTTTAAAATGGATTTATTTTCTTGAATTCTTCATTAACAAGTTAGTCTATGAGATTTTAAGATTCTTAAATAAAATATTTTTAATCTTCAATTCTCATTGCAGTTTATATTTTTTCATACAAAGTTGTATAATCATTGAAAATATATGAATTCTACTAAACTTTTTCATAGTACTAGCTGAGCTGTTAAAGATTTATTTTTTGATAATTTGCATTTAATTCAAGTATTTTTTTATTGCTTAATTTTATATAACTGTTTAAAAAAGTATTTAAATATCTTCCTTATGATAAAAGAGGAATCATGATTCCTGAAATTAGTGATATTGTTGCTGAAATATCTGGTATTTTAACCTTTTCTTTTATACTAAATTCAATATTACGAAGCTCAAAAGAAGGAGAATACTGTAAACTAAAACCAACACAACTTTTAGATTCAACACATAGATTTTTCGAATAGGAATTTCTTTGATAAAGACTTATTATGGTTAAAAGCTCATCTTTTTAAACTTTATTTTTTATTTTCTGTATTTATTAAATGAGATAATTTATTTCATCTTTAAATTAATCAGAAGTTATGTCAGCTTATTAACTAATGCTAGATCCAGAGTAATCTAAATTTTATAATTAATAAATTATTAGTTTTAATGAATGATTTTTTATATAAATAATTACAAAATTCAATGTTTTAATCTAAAATACTCTCTTCTTAGCTTAAAAGATCGTCATATGAACAGAAATTTTAGAACATTTCTGTTATTTTATATCTTTACTCACTTAATTGTATGCTTGAAAAAGAAATATCTTCATATTGGCAGGTTTTATTACTGCTTTGAATTTGATTTAGTAAAGAATCAAAATTTTAAAAAAATTAAACATCATTGTAATTTGAGCTTACTAAATTTTACATTGAAACACCAAGCAAAAATTCGATAACTAAGTCTTGATTTGAAATTGAATTAGAAGGTTTTAATTCCTACACAAAAAAATTAGAAGTCTTGTTTATATTTTAATCTTTTTAATCTTTTTAAAGAGTCGAGTTTAACAAAAAACTTTCTTCAAATCCTACTTTTTTTAAAAGATCATAGTGAAATTGATGTTAGCTCTTGTAGAGCAGCCTTATATTCTAAAAGAGCCATTCTAGAGGTAGAGATTCAATAAAAATTATGTAATTTTTTTTTATAATAGGATCATGCTAGTTATCAAAATTATTTTTGATGTAACCTTTAACAAGCCCTTTATTACAATCGAAACCATTTTAAAACAGACTTGCTATTACTATTGATGATATAGCAAATACCAATCCATATAATCCTAACTTCAACTGCAGTTTTATCTATTTAATCATTTGTTAGAAAGTATTCAAATAATCTTAATCACAAGCAAGCGATTACAATAAATTGATTTAATAAAATTAGTTTTTTAACAATAAATAAAAATACAAAATGACTATTTTCTTTTTGATAAATTCAAATAAATATTTGCTCATAAGTTGTATTTAATAAAAAATAATAAGTAAAACATATTAAAGAAATGAAAAAAATAAAAAGACATTTGAAAATGATTTATTTTTGCTTACATTATTATAAATACAAATAATTAAATATAAATATTTAATCAATGAATTACCATTCGTTGTTTATATAGAATAGATGATTTTAAAATTAATTAACTAAATATTGCATTTACAATAAAATATAAATTTGACTAAATTAATTAAATGCTTTCAGTTATGATAATCACAAATTAATTTTTTAATACTCAAATGTATTTTAATTAAGTTGTCATACATAATATTTTGTGTAAGGATTATTTCATTTGATAAAATTTATTGAGGGAGGATTATTATTTTGCAAATTTACTTAGTTTTTTAAAAAATGTTTTGTATTACTTAATAACAATTTTATCTATATAGTTTGCTTTTTAAATATATTTAATATTAAATTTTTAAAACACTTAAAATAAGAAGAAAAATGTTGAGATTTCTCATAGATTAAATTGGAGTTTATTATTTTTTAAAATTTCTAAATAAGTATATTTTTACAACTAATTTTGAAATTGTTCCTTTAAGAATTCAACTACTTTTTTAAGATTGCTTTATTGAAAAAACTTGCTTAAAAAATGCATAAAGCGGATATTACTTAAGGAATTTACTATTTTTAGAGTAAAGTTTAATAAATTTCCTGTTTTAAAATATAAAGAATTTTTTAAGAATGTAATGAGAATGATGAAAATCTAAAAATCAATCATTAAAGATAATATCTAAAATGTTAATTTAGTTAGAAAAAAAGTAAAATAGTTAGTAATTAGGCAAAAATAAGGAAAATTCATTTTGATAATAAATTTATTAATTAATAATTGCTAAACAAACAAATAACAAAAGAAGCGCAAAAAACAAATCATAATAGAATAAAAAAGTTTCTAGCTGCATCTTTAAACTCCAAAGTTAAACAAAAGCTTTTTCTAAATCTTCAATCATTAAATTAAAACAAGGACATTTGTTTAACATCTTGAAATTATTGGATGGACAATAATATATTTTATGTGACTAAATAAGTAGAAGAATCTGTTGAAATCATTCAAGGTAAAATTTAGATTTCTTTTGAACAAAATTTCTTTTATAACTGTTACTGATTAAGTAGCTTCTTTTATTTGAAATAAAGATCGCCTGTATTGGATATGCTCTGATAAATTGTTGAGAAAAAGTAAAAATATGTTTGTGATGAGGGTAGATGAGGTAAACTAAAAAATAATATATTATATATTTAACTATACTTATATATATTTAATGATAAATCTAATAATCTTTACTAATCAAATATTTAATATAGATTTACGAATACATCGGATTTAATTTTGATTTTGGTCCTTTAGATATTTCCCAAATAATGAACTTTTCCTAAGAGATGTATTATTTATTGAAAAATCCTTCATACAAAAGCACTTAGATAATCATTCAATGTGGATAGGATTTTGATAAAAAAGCTAACTCAGCTGTTCTTATATGCGCTTATATGGTAAATATTAATCAGATTAATTAAGATCCATTTTATTATCTAAAATATTCAAGTGTAACTTTGCAAAAAAATAATCTTAAATAAATATTTAATTAATAAAAAGGTACTTTATTTAGATTATAGTCCTAAAAAAGCTTGGAAAAAAGTAAGTTCTTAATTAAAAGAACCCATAATTCCATTTCGTGATTGCATTAATGTTATTTACTCAACGTATGATTGCTATGTAATTTAATTATTTGTTCATTAACTCTTCAATTTTAACAGCTTTTAAAACAAATTATTATTTTTTCTATAGCTCGAACCTAAATTTAAAAAATTTATTTTTAGGTTTTAGACTGTCTTAAGGGTATTGAAGAGGCACGTCGTTTAAAATGGATCGATACTTAATAATTCAATCATATTAAATATGATCACCTTGCAAGTATATAAAATGGTGATATTTCAGAAGTTGTACCAAATAAAATATATGCTTTCAGAGGACCAAGAAATGTGAGAGAAAATGGGGTAAAAATTTTAATTTTATAAAAATCTTAATTTAAACAACAAACATTACATTTAAAATTAGATAAACGTAGCAAAACCAGAAGATTTTGTAGGCATTTTTAAATAAATTAACATTCAAAAAGTTATTCAGCTTAATTAAGAAAAATATGATGAATCTAAGTTTACATAAGCAGGAATATAGCATGTTAAAATAATTTTTCCAGATGGTGGCATACCAACGAATGTAATATAATAATTTTTTACTTAGTTTTAAAAATTGAATATGATTATAGGAGCAAGTAGAAAAATTTATTCAAGAAGTTGATAGAACAGAAGGTAATGTGGCTGTGCATTGCCAAGCAGGGCTCGGTAGAACTGGTACTATGATAGCTCTTTACTGTATGAAATAATACTATTTTCCAGCAAGGTCATTAATAGCATACATAAAGATGGTTAGACCTGGTAGTATTCATGGCCCATAACACCATTTTATTATTGTAAGCTTTACTATAAAATATAAATTTTTAAAGAAAGATTAAATTTTTTGTTATTTAAATTAAAATATCCTCTCAAAAATGTTAATTAATTAATTGTCTCATACCTTTTTTATTAAGTCTAAAGAAAAAGAATTTCTTCCCAAAGAAACATAAAAGCTTCAAGTTAAATATAATCCATTTCATTCAATGGGAGAAATTGATAAACACACCTCAGATTTAGATTTACTTGATTAACTAGATGACAATTGAGGGCTATTCACTATCATTTACTTCTTTAACTAAGCAAATATTTTTAACTTTATCTATTAACTTATTAAAATTTAAAAAAATAATCTTTAGTTCTTAATCTCTTTTCAAATCTATTTCGTTTTTGTATATATTAAATGTGTTAATCTTTGATGTCAATAAAAAAAATTATCCACTAATACAATTGCAAACAATTCTATTATTTTATTTTCTATAATATAAAAATTTCAAAAAATTCAAAACAAATAAATTTAAATTATCTATTTTATCAACAATTTTTCATAATTTCAATTCTTTGTCGACTTTATCTAGTTTATTGTAAAGTTTTTTTAAACTATTATAAGAAACTCCTTAAATTTATGTTTCTTTTACAAAATTTTTAATATGATAAATAGTTTTTTAAGACAAAACAGTATCTAAAATTATGAAATATTTTTTTGAATTTCTAAAATTTTATTCCAAAAATAACAAATTTATTTTGAAGTTAATTTTCAATATTTTATTTACATTTGTCAAAATAAATTAGCTTAAAAGACATAATAATTAATATTTTATGCTTAAGATTAGTCATTATATTATTTTTTAATCTTATTAATTTCTTTTATAATAACTAAATTTTACTGTATTTTTCAAAAATATTAAAATATAAGATCAGCGTACTGTAATAAAACATTGTCAAAAAAAGAAAATCTTCTTATTTTTTTATCTATATTTTGTCCTTAGCAGGGTGGCGAAGTGGAATCGCGTTGGGCTCATAACTCAAAGGTCGGAGGATCGAAACCTCTCTCTGCTAAAACTTTTTACTTCTTTAATTTTTAAAAAATTTATTCTTTAAAGAATTGAAAAGATACCAAAAAAATAAGACTTTCAATATATCGAAATTACTAAATTCAATTTTTTTTAAAAATATATTCACATAAAATAAGACATTTATTATTATTAATTATTAAATATTTTATTTTATTTTTAGATTCATTTTTTGAAATGGGCATGACGTTTTTCAGTGAAGGCTTTTATTCCTTCAACACAATCTTCGATTCTTAAATTTTAGGCCATAACAGAACTTGCAAAATCATAAACCTATCCTAAATCATTCATGTTTTTTTATTTGTAGAAAGCTTGCTTTCCAAATCCTAATGTTTCTCCACTATGAGAAGCTATTTTTTCTGCAAGCTTAAAAGTTTCCTTTTCTAAGTCCTCATTATTTTCAACATATTAATTAATCATACCATGTTGATAAGCTTCTTGTGCACTTATAGGATCACCTTTGAAAATTTAAAAAAAATAAATTTTAATATTATTCTTACATGCTTTAAAATATACCTGTAACAAGCATTTCAAAAGCTTTTTTTTAATTAGCCATTGATCTTATTAGAGCAACTCCTGGCGTAGAACAGAAGAGCCCAATTTTAACTCCTGGGCAACTAAATGAAGCACTTTTTGAGGCTACAATTAAATCACAAGAACATGCTAGCTAACACCCGGCTGCTGTTGCGAAATTGTGTACTTAAGCGATTGTAATTTAAGGCAAACTTTATTAGATATATGCCATCATATTAGCACATCTCTAAAATAACTATTTTTATTCTTCGTGTGCATTTTTATCTTATAATTCTTTGATTTCTTTTAAATCATGACCTGCACTAAATACAGTTCCTTCTGACTTTAAAATGATAACTTTTGCATAATTTTGACTAGCATAGTCTTAAGCAGCTATATCCTTAAATTATTCAGACAAATCTTTAACCATTTAAATACTCAAAGAATTTCTTTTCTTGGGATTGCATAATGTTAAGATACCTATTTTCTTATCGTTTAAAACTTCATATTTGAAGTTGTCATTCTTATTAACAACTCCAAAACATTTTTTAATCAAGCTTGATGACTTATTTAGCATTTTAAATCACTCTAATGTTGAATCTTAAATATCTTTTAATTTTGTTATACAAAAATTATATTTCAAATGAATAAATATTAATTAAATTTGATTAGACAAGGTAAGATATTTTTTAGAAATTGATGTATCTGATGTAATATTTGCTTTTTCATAAAAATATAATAATATTTTTTTAATAATTTATTTCCTGATCATAGGGTATTCTAAATAAATTAAATATTAATAAGTTTTTAAATGGAATTTAAAATATGTTTAATAATTTATTAATTCACTGCTTTTAGATAAATTAATTAGAAATATGGCAATAAATAAATTATTTTAAAAATAAACTAAGATATTTTACTTCAATCCATAAAAAAATTAATTAGATGACTTTAAAAAAATTAAAATTAATTTTCAAAATCTTATTTAATTATAAAAAGAATTAATAGATAAAACCTTTTAAAAGAATATTAGATTTTTAAAAAAATATGAAAATATCTTAAGATAAAGTTGTTAAATCAAAATGATGGATGGGAATATATTTATTTGGTATATTTTTAAAAGAAAAATATTAAATCTTGCAAATAAATTAAAATGGTTTTAAGCAATAATATAAATAAATACAAGCAAACACCATTACTTTTTATTTTAATTTTTAGAGCTATTGATTGAGTATATTTTATTGTAATATTTAAGTTAGTTAATTAAGACAATATTATCAGCTATTTTAAATAATAGCCTTTAATGGTATAACACCACTTATGGATCTCCTCTCATTATTGCTATCTATGTAATATAATTTCCACTTGGATATAATTGTACCTTAAATTGTAGGGAGAGGTTTTAATATAAGTTAAATTGTTTAAATTTCTTCATTAGCAGAAAAATCAAACTCTTTCTTTTCGCTTAAGTTATCAAAGTATTTTTCTGGTACTTCTTCAATAAACATTTTAGAAATAGGCCACTGTTTTGATTTTCTTCTAATCTCAAAGTTAAGAACCTACTTTTCATTTTGCTTAAAAACTATTTCATTTTTATCATAAGGATGTTTAAAAACATCAAAAGAAAATAGCTCATCAGAACCCTTTAACAAATTAATTGCAGGAATATTGTCTTGCTTTAATAAATCTGGCTGCAATTTATTAATAACTTAAGTTTACTAATCTTCTCCACTCGGAGTTAATCCAAAATTGTTTGTCAAGGCTTGCTCATTAGGTGGATTTGAGAATAACTCTTCAAATAAAATAGCTTTCTTCTTCTTTTTAGGGTTACCTTTTTTAGAATCTTATGATTGCTATTATTATCCCTATTCTAATACAATCTACTATTCAGGTGCAGCTGATTATTTTTAATCATTTAGTTTATTTTCTTATTGCTAACCTTCACTATCTTGTTAAATCTAAACTACTTATTATTGTTATTGTTGTTATTGCTGCTACTACTACTATTATTGTTAAATCTGAGCTTATTACTGTTAGATTTATTCAGTTTTTCCTAAAGAGGAAGGAGCGATATCCTCTGCATTATTTCCATTTTGCTAAAATCTTTTATAAATTTATTTTAATTCCGGATATAGCTAACAAAGCTTTTTTTCAATTAAGTATTCTATGGTTTCAATTTCTTTTGTTTTAAGTAATTTTCCTACACCTTGACAGATTTAACACTTTTAATCACCTTGAACTTGGGAATTATCGCCACCGCAATTATAGCAAGTGTAATCAGTATATTTTGATCTATCATATTCAGTTTGAGGAGGCGCAATTTAAATATTTTAAAATTAAGCGTCTTGTGAGGAGTTCTAATTTTAAGAAATAATTTTAAATTTAAAAAATAAAGCAAATATATTTACTATAAATTTCTATCCAATAGGATATTATAACTGTGTGCTCTTAGATAAATCTTTTTCAGAAGGTTTGATGTTGAATTAATCTGAGCTAGATGAATAATCTTCACTAACTTTTAGATTAATTATATATTCTAATGGGTTTTACTATTGTTAACTACTAATTTGCTTTTCAAAACATCTTTATAAGTTTATATCATCTATAATATTAATGTAATCTGAATTTGGAACTCTCATCCAACTTAATTAAATATCTCCATTATATTTTATCATTTTTTTAATTAGTTCTTTTATTCTAGTCAAATCTATGGGGTGCTCATAGATCTCATAGGTATTATTTTTATATTTAAACTAAATTACAACTTGTTTTTGGCTCATAATTTATTTTTATGAACTACTAATTTTTTTTACCTACTATTATTAAAGAAGACAAACAATTAATTATAAATGTACTAAAGTAATTTGCAATTAATTTAATTATTATTTATTTTAAAGATATATGTATATATGTTATTCATTCTTATAAACTCACTCACTTCTTATTAAACATATATAGAAAAGATTGATCAGATAATTATTAATATATGTTATATAAATCCATATTTATCAGACTCCTTTTAAATACTTTACTAATACTTAAAATAATACAATATATATATATATATATATATATATAAATAAATACAATATAATCAACAATAAGTATAGTTTTATGGCTCTATTTCATCTTTATTTCAGTTGAGGAAACTCTTAAGATATTTAAAGAGAAAAAGTAAATTAAGTAGTGCTTAATATAGAAATAATGAGATTATAGATAAATTAAGGTCTTAGTAAAAAAAAATATTTTTAGCAAATTCAAATATTGGTTAGTTGTTAAGATTATTATTAGGAATTTTTTTAGCTATCAGAAATGTTTTAGGTAAAAGTGGTAGAAACTTTACAAAATGAATCAGATGAAAACTTTTTTCTAATTGCCTCAAAAGGAAACTAAGGATTCGAATAAAGTTAAATTAGTTTATGGATGCTTGGCATTAAGAATTAAAAATCAGAAGTAGGGTGAAGGTAGACGATTGAGGAAAGAGATTTAATTTTTTCGTCCCAAATATTTTCAGCAACGCTTTCAACTAAAAAGCAACTACAAGAAGCAATTATTGAGGATTTAACGTACATTGGACTGAGTTCAGAGTGCATAAAACAAAGATACAAGATAAATAATCCCTATTTTAAAAAGATTAAAATAGTTTTTATTAGTTTTTTAGTAAGTAATAAGTTGAAAAATTTATTCTAAATGAAATAATTAACTTGATAATATTGCAGATTACTGTGACCTAGAATTTTAGAATATCTTACAAAAAATGTAAATGGCGTAGGAAAGGAGAAGTTAAATTATAATTTTAGGCATATATCTGTTTCTGTGCTTATAATATCTTTTAGTTTGTAAGCTCCATCACAAATTTTAACAAATTCTTTTACTCCAGGAGGATAAATTTCTTCTAGTTTGCTTGAAATATACAAGCAAGAAACACCAATCTTTTAATAGTGGTCTCTTAATATTTGTATTCCATCCTGATAGCATAGTCTGCAATAGATATCTAGCATGTATATACACATGAAGATGGTTTCTTCTTTCAATTCGTATTTTATGGAAACTTCAGTAAGCCAGTCAATAAGAATACATCTCATAGTTTCATTTATCTAAGTATGCATGTCTTTTAGGTCTACGTTATCTTTACATAAATATCTCTCCTTTTATGTAATAAATAAAACAATTAAAAATTTTAAGCTATTTTAAGTAAGTTTATTTGTTTGTTTACTTGATGAGCTTACAAATATTCGAATATTTCTTATGCATATTCAGCTACATAAATTGGATTCGAAATGAATTATCGATCAAAAAAATTAATTTTTTCTATTTAAGTACTTTTGAGTGTGTTATAATTTGTTTCGTTGATAATGTGAAATTCTTTCAATTTGTCATTTTCTTAGCAAAAATTAATTAATTAGTTTTGATTTTACTCAATCATACTTTGAGAAGTGTTTAAAAGGTCAAGATTTAAAATATTTTATATCAATTAACTTTCTGATGAGGAGTTAATTTTTTCACTCTCATCAATCATCTAAAAGCTTTTTTCAGATTAAGCTAATTCTTTATTAATTTCTTGATTAATATTCTTCGTTTATTGATTTTTATGAACTTCACTCTGAAAATTGTGCTAAAATGTTAATACATTTTCCTATATTTTTTAAATATTTAAAAAGTGCTTCTTAGAAGTAAATTTTATTTACTTTATTTTGATCGTCTTGAAGTAAGTTGAAGTCTTAAGCAAACGGATTAAAAACCTTAAATTGCTTTTGTAAAGGCTAACTATGAAAATAGTTATTGCTATTTACTCCATTTTCATTTATGACCCTTCCAAATACTCTATGTTTGTTGGTTCCTCTTTGTTGGAATTCTTGTGTTTCCAATTAATTAATTTACTGTACTTTTTATGTTTTTTCTCCTAAAACATAGTTTTTGAAAGGGGGCTACTAAATGTTTTCTTTTTTGTCTTGGAAATTATTTTAAGATAGGAAATGTTAGCTCCTCCTATTATGTTCAATTTTACTCTCCCACTATGCAATATTAAAATAAATAAAAATGAAATCATTCTACTTCTTATAAATTATTTTACCATAATGAAAGTAAGTAGTCAGTCGTGCCTTCTAATTTTCTGAATCAAATTAATTTTATTGAGTTAAAAATTATAAATGAAAGCAATTATTTATTAAAGTAGTTTTACCTCTCAAAGCATCTAGGTTTTAGGTGGGAATTTATTTTTAAAAATTTTTTATTAAAATTTATAATCTATAAGAATTGAAATTCTTAATTATCGACACACTATATATATATTAATCAGAAGTTATTCTCAATCATTTAGACAAAGGGATTTAAATTTCATTAGATATTCAGTTTTTTTCACTCTTAATTTATAAATAATTTTTTAATCAAATAATCACTTACTTTTATAAATAAAATATAACCATTAAAAGCAAACTTATAAATAACTAATTTAATTATTATTTATGAGCAATATAATAATAACTATAGTTATAAATTATATTATGAAGTATACGCTCAGATTATTACATAAAATAAATTAATAAATATTTTACAAATTCAGTCACTTTAATATCAAATAACTTAGTTTAAAATTTAAAAAAAAAAAATAATTTTTTAATTATTAAATAGATATAAAAAAACAAACATTATTATTCAAAAAAATATTAATTTTTATACTTATAAAAGCAATTTTTAATTAAGATAAATTTTTTTGACATAAAAGTTTTTGTTTTAAATTTTAAAAAGTATTTCCTGATCTTAAATGAAAAAATATATATTTATGAATATATTCTTGATAAAATTAAATAAATGGCTATGTATGATGAAAAGGCTATTTTATAAATAGTCTTGCAACTAAAAAATAAAATATCATTTCAATTAATAATCATTACATATTGCTTAATTATCTAAAACTGATATGCTTTTAATGTGTCTTATCTACCCAAAATATCTATTTATTGATTAAATCTAAATTATTTTTTCTAAATTTAGAAAATAACTTAAATTAAATGAAATAAACTTTATTTTTCTTCATATTTAAATTTTCAATAAAATTTTTTGATTTAATTCTACTTTAAAATTTAAAATAATTTACAAATTTAAAACAATATCACTAACTTTATAATTAAATTTTTAACTTATAAAATTATTCATATAAAAATCAGTCTTAAAAATTCATTTCAGTATAAAAATTAAATATTTATTTGTACTTAGATAGTAAAAAAGAAAAAGCTTTATTCTTTATAATATTTGTTTGTAAATTAAAAATTATAAATTTATTAGATGGAATAATTTAGCTAAAAACAAAAAAAATGGATTCCAACAATATCTTACTTAGTGTTTCAAATAATAAAACAATTATCTTATTTAGTTCATCAAGATTTAAACATAAAAGATGAAAAAATTAAGGAATAATCTATTTATTTTAGGATTTCAGACATAATCATTTGCTTTTTTTTAATAATTCTACTAGGGTTAATAATATTAAAGCATAAAGCTTAAAAAGCTTAAAGGATATTGATTTTTGCTATCTATTTTATTAACTTGCTACTTTCGTGTATATTTTTAAATATTTTTTATGTTACAGCTAGCGATTCTTTATATCAAGATTACTAATAGTATGAAATCTTAAAAATGATCGCATTATTAGAGTGTTTACTATGCGCTAATATATTGAATAGATTGCAAAAAAAAATGTTAAAAACAATTTTTTATATCTTTTTATTTTATTTATGCCTTTTAAATATAGATTTGAAAAGTACTTTAAATGATATTTTTGCAACTCTATACTTTGGATTGGCTATTTCTGTGTACACGTTTAAATACTATATCAATAATAAGATCTGTATAAATAACCTAATAAATATGAGTTTTATTGCTTAAAATAATGCTAGTAAGTCCTATAATAAACATGATCAATTAAATATAATCAATCATTAGTAATAGCTAGAATTTTAAAATTAAAGTAGTTCTCCTATAGTTAAATTAGAACTTGAAAATGGCTAATTGCTTTAGAATCAGAATTTGTTAAATAAACCAGATAAATATGCGTTTGATTGTCAGATAAATATAAAATCTTAAAGTTTTGAAAATTCAAATATCATAGAGCTTGCTCATTAAAATACTGATGAAAAATTTTCAAAACTTATTACAAGAAAAGGAAGCTAAAATAATTTGGAAAGCAATAAAAATTCTATGACATCTTATAATTAATTTTAATTTTTTGGTAACAATATAAATCTTGGCTAACACTTTTAAAAACCTAATAAGATAACGAAAAGCTTAAATAAATCCAAGTTTTCTATTTAGAAAAAGATAGCCAAGCTAAAGACTGTTGGTTTTTAAGAAATTAAGAAAAATAGCTTTTTATAAGTAAAAAAGGAATTTCCTTTATAAATGATATTAGAAAGCATAAATTTAGGAGTCTTGTGCTATGATGTAAATTTAATAGATGATTTTTATTTTTTTAATTTATATTTTAATTAGTTTAATAGCAAAAATGTTACTTATGTTAACAAGTAAATTTAAGACATTTTTAATGAGAAAGACAGCTCAGAAATACTTAATATTATGAAAACTTTTAGAAACTACATGAAACCTAACCAAAAAGAGTTTGCTAAAAAATTTTAAACAACTAGAAATCTTGATTTAGTACCAAATGAGCTATTTTAGGATTTAGCTTGTATTTCCTAACGCCCTAAATCAAATACTGATTAACAATTTTAAAGTATTAAATTTAATGCTTCAATACAAAATATGTAAAATTTAGCATCAATTTTAAATAATGAGCATGGTGAATTTTTGGATTAAAACTCAAGTACTATAAAAAATTTATAACCTTAAAACTAAAGTAAGGATATTATTTTTTAATATGATTTAAAGTATAAAAAATTATTATTTTTATATATAAAAGGTGAATCTTAACTTAAGTAGTCTTTTTATTCTAATTAATACCTTTTAAAATCTTAAATTGATGAAATTATTCAAATTATCAAAAATAAGATCTACAACGAATAAGATTTAAAATTTCTTAAAATAAAATTTTTAGCAGCTCCGAAAAATATATCTATTTGTAAAAATAGTTAAAATCTATATCTAAAAAGTTCATCCTTTAGTCTAAATCAACCATAATAAAAAGAAAAAATAATATAAATTACTATGGCTCCTATATTAGTTAAAAAAATATGGTAGATTCTATTTATAATAGAAGATGTAACCCATTTTAACTAAATAAAGGTATTAGAATCACTAAATAAGAATAAATCATTAATGCTATCACAAGTATCTCATGAAATTAGAAACCCAATCAGTTGTATTATAGCGATGCTCGAAGAAATACAATCGGTATTATTTAATCAATTTATCAACTTTTATTAACTTTAAATTTTACTATTTTCAAAAAAACAAATATTTTTTAATAAATTAAAATTATTTTTGAGTCAGTTAAAAAAATTTCTTGAGTAATTCAAATTTTATACTTTTACTGAGGTTATTTTTTTAGCTAGGAAAAACATTATAGCAATATTTTCTAATTAATTAAATATTCAAAAATATTTCAATCACACTTTTTATAAACAGCGATTATTTATTTATTTTTTATATTTTATTATTTATAATTTTTCAAAGTTATACTATTATTATTAATTAATTATGTTGAATTCTAAATACCAAATGTTTATTAAATTAAAAATTTTATTATATAGATTTCAAAAAATAGTTAAAATTAAATTTATGATTGCACATAATCAGCATTATAAAGTAGTAAACTGTTGCTTAACTTATTAAATGATTTACTTGATATGTCTTAAATAAAAGCAGGAAAATTCAAATTAGTAATAGAATAATTTAATTTATGCTAAATACTCTAAGAAATATAACAGATGATGCAACCTCTAGCTAAAAATAAACAAAACACGATAATTCTTTAAGTAGAAGAAGCTATTTAAAATAAAGTAGCCAATTTTTAATCTGATAAATACAGGATACGCTAAATACTTATAAATTTAATAAGTAATTCTATCAAATACACGTATGGTGGTAATATTTACATTACTTTGACACAAGAAAGGCTAGATGATCGCTATTTTAGGATTTCTGTTAGAGATGAAGGTGTAGGAATCAAGCAAGAATTTAGATAAAAGTTATTTTAAGCATTTGGTAAACTTGATGATACTGAATCCTAAACTAAAAATAACCCTCAAGGAGTTGGACTTGGTTTAATGATTAGTAATACTATAGCTAAGAATTTAAAGCCTGATTAATAGAATTTGAGCCAACATGCAATATTTATCCCAAAAAATAGTTCATTATATCATTTACGTTCTTAAATAACTCCTACCTAATAATAATAATAATCTTCCTACAGTTATCGCTCTGTAGGAAATAAAATAGATAATAGGGATAGTAAATAAACAATAGCACCTTCATATTTATCCTCTTTTTCTATTGAAGAAGGATTAATTTTGAATGAAGAAGTATAAAAAGGCACTGAATTTTACTTTCTTGTATATAATTTTCAATAAGTTGAATTAAAATAATAATAAGAAGTTGCATAATTCAGTAAAAGCCCATGCCATAATCATAAAAGAACTTCAGTTTTTTCTTAAATAGATAATTTATAATAAGAGCAACTTCTTTATCCCTTTTAAAAAGAATCATATAAAAATGGATCTATCAATAACATTAATTAGTAAATTTAAGAAAGAAGCTAGACTGCAATCGAAAGCGAGCCAGATTCATTTGATGATAACCCTTAAAGTTATACATCAAGCTTTAATGATAACTAAGAAAAAATTAAGAACAATATCAAGTATATAGCAGAAATGTGTCCCTAAAATGAAGAAATTCCAATTTAAAGCGATAAAAATAGTTATTTGTATATTTAAGATAATTAAAAATATAAAGTTAGCTTACTTTTAAAAGAAATATAATTACAGATAAGTGATAAATAAGATGTAAATATTATCAACTAAAGGTCAAATGATAAATATTTTTTTTCAAAAAAATAAATCACTCAAGGAATGTAAGATATTATAAAGAAGAGCTCTATGAGAAAAAAATAGTATTCTACATTTTTTGACACTGAAATTAACATTTTAATTGCAGATGATGATTAATTTAGTTCTTTTGCGCTGAAAATAAAAATTGCCTCTGCATTTAAGTAATTTAATAAAAATCTAGCACTTTGTTTTACTACTGTTTATTCAGGAGAAGAGTGTATTAGAGAGCTAGTTAAGACATAAAAATGTTATTAATTTCTTTTTATAGATGCTCAAATGCCAGAAATAGATGGATACGAGTCAATTAGATAAATTGATTAGCTTAATTTAAGAAATAACCAATTATTAGAAAAGGAAACAAAAGAAAAATAAATTTTTAGCTAACTTCAAATTATTATGTGTTCAGGCTTTTAAAAAGAAGAAGCAAAACTTAATATATACAGAATTAAATATTACCTATAAAAACCTGTTGAAGATAATTAAATTTTAGAAATAATAAAAAATATTTTTATAGAAAACCATCTTGAATTACCTTAAGAAGTCTAAAATAAAAATTAAACAAAATGAATTCATCATAAAGTCTTTTTCTTAATATTTAAATTTTTAATAATTCAATAAATAAAATTGTATGAAAAACTATTAAATCCGATAAATTCTTTTTAAGTATAATTAATTAAAAATAATATGTAAATAAACAAGCTTTCATTTATATCTATGCTAACTATGAATTTATCTTTACTGTAATGCTACTAAAAAAATAAGAAATTAGCAAACAAATTTTCAAGTCATTTGACATTTTTCAAAAAAAATAAAAGATTTTTAAAAGTTTAATTTTTAATGTTAAATTCATTACTATTTAAGGACGAGTATCAATTTTTTTTTCTACTTTTAAATTCTAAAATCATGAATAATAAAATGTGTATTTGCTTTGTTTTTGAAAATTTACTTAATTTTAATTACATTAAATATTATCAATCATTAATAAAATGAATCAAAAAAGAATCTAATATTGTACTTTTTAGCTTAGCGCAACCTCAAATAATTTTATAAACTTATAGAAAACGTATTATCTATGTTAAAATTCATTGATTGAAGTTAAATACCCTGTATTTTTATAAAAATATGATATCTAAATTGTTCATTCAAAAAAATAAAAGAAAATTTGGATTTTGCTTGAAAATAAATTTAAACCAAAATATAATAACTTAATAAAGTTAGTTTGTAAAATTTAAAAAAATTATATGATTTCTATAAATAGAAAATTGTAATTTCTTTTAATATATTTAAAAATAATATAGATTGTTTTGTATTATCTTATTGTTGGTTAATATTTTTATTATTTGAAACCTAATATATTTAATAATTGAAAATTAATTAATTATAAAAGTCAATTTAGAAAATAAAATAGCAAAATAATTTTAGAATAAAAAGTTATCAAAAAAGTCTGTAATCTTAAACAAATATGTTTTTATTTAATATAAAAATAATATTTTTCAGCTTTATATTGATCTTTTTTACAATATTTGGGTGTGATGAAGGATGTCTTATATGCAATCAATATAATAAAGAGGATATTTGTTCGTTATGCATTGATGGATATAATTATATAATCTCATCTTCAAAATGTGAGAAAAGTACTTGTGAGTAATATCAATACATTAGCAACGAAAACAATCAATCAAATTGTGTATCTTTATGCAAAAATAACTAAATTCCATAACAATCTAATTAATCCTGCTAATCAGCAAATACTTGTCCCATTCAGTACATACAACCAACTCAAATATCATAAGGTAGAAATATAACAGATGTATTTTTACATGAAAACGGATATCTAATAGCAATCTACAACAATTTCTTCAGCTATTTTGAGATTTAAACAGGTAATTATATAAGATCACAAACATTCAATTCATCAATCTAAACTATACTCAGGTTGAATTAAACTATCTATCTTCTTAATGACTAAAATCAAGTTTATGAGTGGATTGAAGAAACTGCTCAGCAAAAATTCTTAGTAAGAATTCAATTTGGAAGACTCAATACCTATTCTAGCTTTATTTCAGTTATGAATTAACTAACAACTGATAATCAATAAACAAATTCTATTTATATTTCTTCCTATCAAAATTTAAATAACACAATTTACTTTACTGGTCTTAATTAATAAAGTTAAAGCTTCTAAATTTCCTACCCAAACCATGCATTTCTTTCAAATAATTACATATTATTATAAAATAGTAACTATTCTATTTAGATGGCATATTTATAGATAATTGATAATTAAATATAAATTAAAAGCCTTTTTAATAATTATATGTGTCAAGGTATAAATGGTTTATTTGCATAAATGATTAATATTCAAATCCAGCAGTAATTATATTTCGCAATCACATTTACTCAAACTAACGGATTTATATTATTATCTTAACAAAATTAATCATGCCAATTTTTGTTTTAAAATTATTAATAACCACAAAAAATGTTGCTTCTACCAATTTATCTAACAGATTAAAATGCTTATTCATATTTTTTAGCAATTATATTCAACGGATCGTAAATTATGCATTTCTATGATATTAGCTAAAATTTAAATGAATTCTAATATACCCTCACTGCTTAAGCTGTCGATGTTGTCTAATTAAATTTGAATAATAAAAATAACGCATATAAATTATATGCTCTAAATATCAATTAGTAATTAGATAGTTATCAATTGTAATATGATTCTTTAAATTAGAACATAACAATAAATAAAATAAATACTCAATAATTATATATTAATAATCCATCTCAACTATTTTTAGCCCAAAACTTAATGATAAGCAACAAAATAATTATGTGTGTGGTTTCTTAAGATATTTAGATAATAGACTTAATAAATGATTAAATTATAGGAGTGACTGCAAGTTTTATTGAAAAATAAAATTATAGCACAAATCAAATTAATAGTATCAACTATGATGAAGACTCTAATTTAGTATTAAGCTGCTCCAAGGATGGTAAAATTATTGTATGGAATATGTTAGATCCATTAAACCCTATATTTTATTCCCAAATAATTTTTCCAAATTAGTTATGCCTAAATGTTTTAATGCTTTAAAGCTAGGTAGGAGTTGGTTTGTTAACTAAATCTATTATTTTATTTGATGTATACAATAATAGTATTAATTAAATAATTGAGATTAATTAAAATTACTATTCAAATATTCTAGTTTCAGGATCTTATTTATTTTTAATATACAATTCATAAATTTTTGTTTGGGCAGATATATCATAACCTATAAGTTAATTGAATTTTACTTAAACAGTAAAAAATTCATATATTTCTCAATAGATGAGAGTATATTTGATGGATTCAAATTACAATATGATATTCTATGATTTTGATCCAAATCTTCAATAATTTAAAATATCTTAAATAATACAGTTAGGCATAAAGTCATTAGTTTATAGCTTTTTGTTCAATTTATCTACAAGCGCAGGTAAATTTTTATTTTTATTCAAAAATTTATATCAAAATTATTTATTTATTTAAAAAGGTTCTTTGTTAATGTTTAATAATTTACAAAACCAACTTTTTATATTTGATTAAGATTTGAAATTATTATACCAACCTTATTAATTTATTGGAAATCAAATTGTACACATATATTAGTATGATGACAAAACATATTTTGTCTTAATGTATGCTCCTCTATACAATTAAGGTTATCCTTACTATACTTCTAGCATAACTCTGAATACAACTATTTAGTTCACCCATTATTATGACTTCATTTTAGGATCTTAACTCTTGACTGTTGCATAATATTAGCAATAATACCCTTTTGTTAAAATAGTTCATGTCTAACCATAAAGTCCCACTTCTACTTTTGGAGAAGGTAGAGTTTATACACAAACTTAAGCATTACAGAGAGCAAAGAAAATATCAACTCCTAATGACAAAATTTCTAATTGTGTAACAAATGCTTAGAAAACAGTTTATGTAATAGGCTCTACAACTGGATCATTAATAGTAATTCCAGAAAATAAAAATAGTTATATTTAATAAATATATTAAATGCCTAATTTAATTTAAGGAGATTCATTGCAATCTGTTTTGTAAAATTTTAATTTAGGATTGATTTATTATGTTTCTAGCTATTATATTTTCACTTATAATTTACATACCTAGCAGTTTTATTCGAGGTTAGATTTCGTTAGTTCTCAATAAAACATTACTTCTCATAATAAAATTTAACAAATTTTAATCTATGAATTACCAAATTTAGTTTTGACTTTTTCAAATCAATTACTTATTTTAAAAAACGAAGATACTTAAAAAGCTTATCAAATATCTACTAGCAACTAAAACTCTTAATTAACATATATCAATGGTTGTGTTTATGATTATTAATTAAATACTATTATAGTATACGGAAATGCACTTCTATAATATTCGCTAGATTTAACTTAATATAAAATTTTATCACAACCTAATCATTAAGAGTTTTAAGCTTGCTTTTTCTAAGATATTGTTATTTTATGTAAGATTATTTCTAGCTAGATAGTAATTTACAATAAATAATAACAGTTTTAAATAGTTTAAATAATATAAATCACTACATTTTAGACTTTTAGCATGATAGGGGATGAGAAATATTAAAATATTTTAGTTTATTCTAATAATATAGAAGTCTATAGTTTTGATGGTAATTATATCTCGAGAATAAGTTCTATATAATCAAATATATCATAAATAATAATGACTGAATAGCATGTTATAGCATTCACATCACTAGGTAACTAAAATAAATTTTTTTTATTAAATTTCATTTATGTATACTTCTAGCTATAATTCATTATTTTTATATTTACATTTAAAAAGGAGCATTTATTTTCACTAGATAAAATCTTGTCTAAGTTGCAAGTTTCTAACCACCAGGAGCCACTTTGGTTAAAGGCTATTACTTTTCTGAAATAAATACTCTAGCTTATATCACTAATGAGATAAGATACGGATAAGTAAAATTCTATAGTTTAGATACTTTGTAATCCACAGGAAGCGTTGTAAGTACTTTTCCAGAATTAGGTATTGGCACTGTCATAAATATATTCTATGATTCAGCAAATAGCGCATTTATATTTGCAGATACATATGGAAATTTTTATTACACTCTTTATGGGTCCTAGCTGTATGTGTTCAATGTGATAGGAATTTATGAATTTGAGCAACAATTAATAAGTGCTCCTATTGACTTTTTTGTTGATTTTAGGACAAATTAAATGTACATATATAACTAAAATTCAGTTTGGATTGCCTACTATAATCTACTTATTAAAACTGGAAAAAAAATGATTAAATCAAACTATAAATTTTTTTTTTCCATCTTAAATGAACAAAATAATAATCAACTAATTTATTGTGACTAAAATAATAATATATTTTTATATTAAAATCAAACCATTAAATTTCTAAATTAATAATAATAAGATATCATAGATATGAGAAACTTCGTATATAATAATACAGTAATCTATACTATAAGCACGAGGGATTAAATAAATGTCTTTTAAAATGTAAGCTTATCATAACCTGCATATTAAATAAATATTAGTTTGAGATAATATTTATTTATTGATTAAAATGTGATATTGATTTAAACTATTAATAATAATTTAATTGATTTTGATTTTATAAATAACTAAATTTTATAATAAATCTAATTACCTGCAAATTCATTAGTAACATCAAAGCTTAATTTGACAACAGCTAATGGGTCTTATTTTTTGTTTTTGTCTCTTAGTACAGGAGCTGTTATCAAAATAGATTTAATTTAGAAATAGTTTATTATTAACTAAAGTCTAGGGCTGAATGATATTATTTCTAAAATAACAAAATACACTTAAGGATAAATAATTTTGATTACAAAAACTGGAAATTTAATTAATATAGATATTAATACCTTTTAAAAAAAAGATTTATAAATAAATAATGACATTTTATAAAATATTAATGCTCAAAATGATTTAAAAGTTAATCAAATATAGTATTTTGAAGTTGATTAACTAAATGATAGATATTTTATAAGTATTATTTCTGAAAATAAGCTAGGAGTTTATAAATTAAGTGATAATAGCCTGATTAAATATTTAGATTTCCCAGATGTTTAATTTAAATAGGTTGTAAATACAAAGAAATTTATTATTCTGTCTTGCTAATTCTAGTTAAATATATATAATTAATAGCTATAATACTTAAATTTTATCAGAAGAAGTAATTAATATCAAATAACTAATATTATTCCAATTACTGATAATATCTTGCTAATTATCTATCTTTAGTAGCTAGAAATTATTTTATTAAATGAAACAAGTGGTTTTATAAATTCTATCAATTAAATTAAATTTTTTTATCCAAAACTCGCGTCGTTTAATATAAATAGTAATTCATAGTTGCAAATACTAATTTTACATTAATCTGGAGTATTTGAGGAAATAATTACATTAGATTATTTATAATAATCAATAAATAATTCTATAAATAATAATAATAATAGAAGTAGTAGTAATTAATAAGTTTGCTAATATGAGATGCAATACACTTCAGCTTAGTAGATATAGGCTTAATTTAATAACATTTACGGCTTTTAGAATTCACAACCAACAAATTATTACTTTTCTGTTTTAGTAGATAAACAAATAAATAATTTATCTTTTCTTTCCAAACAAAATATACAATTCGTCTTAAGTCCTTAAAATGTGTAAGAAAATCAATTGTTTCTAACTTAAAACTCATTTTGGAATATTTAATCGAATGCTAGTGTTTACAATTTCAATATGATATTTTTAAACTAAAGCGCTTAATATACATTTTCATAATAATCATAGAGTATTATTTTTTAGAATTGCAATATTTAAGATTAGAACATAATCTAAGGGACATCTTTAGTTTTTTAAAATATTTAGCAAATATAAATGATAAATATGAATATTAGTTCAATCACTTTAATTTCAAATTAAAGTAGTGTTTTGAGTTAATAATAATAACTATTTTAATTTTAAAACATCTCCTACATATTAATTGAAAATCTATTTATTACAAATTTAACATAATAAGTAGGGAATTAAGAGCTAATGGTATTCCAAAATATTGATAAAATAATTTTTTAAAATATCATAATTAAAGATAGTTATTTATCGAACACATTACTAAACCTTATATAAATAAATTTATTAAAAATATAAAATTTCACAATCATAAACTGCAAAAATATTTAAGTTTAACAAAAATAAAAATCAAACAGATAATTATAATAATCAAATCAATTCTATTCGATAAATTTGTAAGGTATAGTTTTGACCTAGATAATAATTTTTAATGCTCATAATAATAATGATTTATGCTTAATTAAATCAAGTAGATAGTACATCACCAACTAATATACAATGACTCTTGATTTGGATAAAATATTTATAAAATAATCAACTATTACTGGTAATAAATTCCCAATATAATTTAATAAAGACATCTAAAATAATTTATTATCTATTTCGAGCTCCAATATTTAAATAGATAACATGAACTACAATAATAATTATGGAAATATAATGATTAATAATTCTGATTTAGTTGAGATAAATAATAGCTATTTTAATAATAATATTGGTATTGAGGGTTCATGCCTTTAACTTATAAATAACTAAAATTTAATAATATATCAATCAAATTTTTCTAAAAATGTAGCTTAAGCTAGTGGTGGATCTCTTTATTTATTAGATATTAACAATATTACGATTGATCAAAATACAAAATTTAAAAATAATGTAGCTTAAATAGGTGGAGCTATGAGAATTTTGTATAGCTAGCAAAAGTATCATATATACCTATATAGTTTTAATACGATTTAGGCATAATTTGATAGTAATTTAGGATAAATTTATGGAAATGATATTGGAACTTATCCTTATTATTATTTAATTTTTTAAGAAAACGATTTTAATAAGAAATCACTAATTTATAAAGGGTAATTATTTAATTAGGAATAGGAAAATCTTATTCTTGAAAATATATAGAGCGGAGGAGGTATTAAACTCTTTTTATAGTTATAAGATTAGTACAATCAAAGTGTAATAATTAATAAATAATCATTTATGAGCAACTTTTATCCTTAAACTTTAATCTAAGAATTATAGAAATATAGTTTTGAAATATTATCAAATTCTACGAATGATATCATAGAAATAAAAGGAGATAGTATATCGAATTTACATAGTTATGATCAAATTTCAAATAGCTTTTTGTTTAATAATCTCTAAATTTCTGGTTTCCCATTGTATCAGATAAATTCTACTTTTCTTTAAATTAAGGTAAATGATTGGTCATAAAATATTACTTTAAATATATCATCAAATTTTAGAAATTGCAAAATAGGTGAATATTATTATTAAGTTTCCAAAAATATAGTAAACTGTGTATAGTGTAGTAATTAAACATACTCTCTTTTAGATCCGATAGATGCAACAAATATTACTCTTTATGATAAATTATAGTAAAATATAAGCAATTATATATGTAAAAAGTGCCCTGAAGGTTCTGTAAGCTGCTATTCAGATATAATAATCCTATAGTAAGGATATTGGAGGGAAAACAATCAAACGGATGCAATATTTTAATGTAATTTGATAAATCCAGGTATCTGTGATCCTACCAAATAAAATGGATGTATTGAAGGTCATATCGGACCACTTTGTGAAACATGTGACTATTTTGGAGTTGTATTCAAAGAAAATACATATTCTTAGAGCATATCTACTATAGGATGTAGTAAATGTGCTTCAGATGTTCTATAGCTTGTATTTGTAATATTACTTCTATCTCTTTTGGCAGTATATTTAAGCTTATCAACAGTTATTTTTATCAAATAATATGTTTATACAAGTACACTGACATACTTAAGATTGCTAAAAACTGTGCCTTTTTCTAATAGTTGTGTTTTAGACTAATCTAACTTTGTAATAAAAACTTTAATAAACTATTTTTAAATATAAGCTGTTCTAATAAGCCTTAATTACTAATTAATACCAAGTAAATTAAATGTAATTACCTACTATACAGGTTCACCAGTAACTAGTGTAGCTTTAAATGGATAATGCCTTTACAAGTATATTGGATCTTCTATAAACAGTCAAAATGATTTAGTGATAAGGTCTTATCTTTACCTTTTATTACCTATATTTTTCTTTTTTTTACTTTATTTCTTCTTCTTTGCTGTTAATTATTTGTTTAAGTTGAAATTAAATAAGTTCTACAAATATATCTTGTGCTATATGATTTTCTTTTTCTTTTAGCCTAATAGTATAGCATTTTTTGTTAGTTCACTATCTTGTAGATAAATAGGAAATAAATAATATGTAACAACAAACCTAACACTTCTTTGCTAGGATATCTCATTTTAGCATTTTAAGTTGTATTCCTTACTTCCTCAATTACTTTTTTGGTCTTTATTTCCTATTTATATTTTTATTAGATTTTTTAGTGATTATAAAAAAGCAAAAAATTTAAATTATTGCACAATAAATTTAAAATATGGATATTTTTATATGGAATATAAAAATAAATTCTTTTATTGGGAGTTCTTAAGAATCTACACTAAAATTTGTATAGTATTAATTACAAATTTGTTGAATTAAATTAAGAATACTTAGTAAACTCTAAACATTGTAGTGATAAGCGTATATATATCTCTCATTAGGTAATATCAACCATTTTTGAATAGGTATAATAACTTTTATGAATAATATAGCTTTATAACTATTCTTATAATGTATCTGCTTTAATAATTATCTTTATAATTAAATGATCCTCTAATATAGTTATCAATATTCGCTTTTCACATGTTATTAACTACTTTCTTACTTCTAATTATTCTAAAAATGAAAGTAGTTTCTGCTAATAATAAATACTTAAACTGCTTCTTGGTATGTATACTTGGTAATCGGATATTTAATAAATATTTTAAAAATAGAGACAATAGTTTTAAAGCATTATTTTTGTGGAGAAAGATTTATATAAACTTAGGTTATATTAGAAAATAAATTTTTGTGAATTAAATTGAATATTTATAGCATTTTTCACAGAAGAGAGAAAAACTTTACAGTTCTTAAGGATGTAAAACAATTATTCTAATTAAATAATATTATTTAATATTTAAAATTTTATTAAATTACTTATATTTTTATTTATAAAAACTAGAGCTAATTACTTAAGATTAGATTGAATAAAAAATTAAAATGATTTCATAGACCTATACATAATCACCTCCGCTAAAACCATAAGAAGAAACACCTATTCACAGAAATTCTAGATTTATTTTAAGTTTAAGAGATTAAGATGTATTAGATGTTTAAAATTCTCTTAATTAAAAAGAAAATTAGGAGTTATAGACATAAAATTAATTCTTTTAAAAATTATCAAATAGTAAATATGATTAAAAAACATTAAGAAAAAATATCTTTATAAATAAAAATATAGACTTATTAGATACACCAAATAAAATTTATTCAAATAACATAGCGAGATGTAATTCAAAAAATTTATTTTAGTGATTAAGTGTTATTAAAATACTAATTTTATTAATTTCTTAAATAATATTCATTTTAGAATAAAATTGATTTTTTTAATTATAAAAAAATTCTTTTGTAGTTCCATCCCATAGTTTCACTTAATTTATTTTTTCAATTAAAAGTTAAATGCCAAAGTAATTTATTCTAATTTATTAAACACTTTAATTAACTACTACAATAATAGAAATTTCCTATAAATTTTAGTACTTTAATAAAAGTTTAATATTCTTTTAATATTTAGTTTTACTGGTGAGAGTTAGTTAATACATAAAAATATTTTTAATTTATTTATACATATGTATTAAGGCAAATAATAGCCATATTTGAATCAATTAGATAAATTGAATAACTTATTTTTAGAAGAAATAAACTAATAGAAAAATAAACAAAAGAAATATAAATATTGAGCTAAATCAAATTATCATGTATTCTGGTTTTTTAAAAATAAGAAATAAAACTTAAAACTTACATAATCAAGTATTATCTATAAAATCCTTTTAAAAATAATTAAATTTTATAAATAATAATAAATATTTTAATAGAAAAATATAATTATTTCCTCATTAAATCCAAAATACAACAAAAGGAAATCATCAAAAAGATTTTTATATTGTTTTTAAATTTCAAATAAGAAATAAATAAAAATTAGTTTGAAAAACTATTACTCTCAAAACACATAAAAAAAATTTTTTTGAACATGCTCAGTAAACATTTACTACCTCTTTGAAACCTTTATGAATCACTTGTCTTACTACTCTCTTAGCAAATTACTTATCAATATCTTTAAGAAAGGTAAAAAAACTCCATTAATTACCATTCTAAGCTCAAAAGTCGACCTAAAACATTAATGACCAAGCTTTCCTTAAATATGCTAAATCAATGAATAACTCTAAGATTTTTCAGCTAAAATTACTAATATGAAGTATTATCAGGTGATCTTATCATTAGCTTTTTACCCATTGATATTAACGTACCCTATAAGCTCCTAGCAAAAACAGAGAGCTAGAAGAAACCTGTCATTTAAGTTAATAAATCAGAAGTTAATTAATAATAATAAGTAGAATAAAAATAAAATAACAACTAAATTACCCAATAAGAAGAGCTATATTACCAAATTCACCCTAATTAACATAGTCAATTAAGACAGAATGAAGCTAAATGATTAGTAAAAAATTTCTCTTTGATCTACTAAGTACTGAATCTGCCTAAACCCACTTTCTAAAAACTGGGGTATAATTTATGATTAAATTAGAAATAATTGAAGAAGTACCTTTGTTTTAAGAAATGGATATTGAAGCTCAAAGGACTAAACATTCCAATAATAATGAAAACTAGGGAAAGCAATCTAAAAACCTACTGTCCCTAAGCCTACTAAAAAAATCAACTAAAACTAAATTATTACTGCTTCACAGTACTAGTTAAATCAATTTAATACAAAAGTAGAGGTATTAGAGTATAATATGTGGTTTTTAAATTGTCTATCGTATAGATTAAAAGTAATTCACAATTAATAAATATTGAGAAATATCCATCAATTTCCTTTAATAATATATTAATACTAATTAGTAAATTATCTAATTATGTAGCTTATATGTTATCTGTTTAGATGATATATATAGGAATATTAAAATTTTCTACAATACCGATTCATCAGTAATTAAGATATAACTGTTCCTCGTTTTTCATTATTTTATTCTTTTATATTTATATAACTCTATAACATATAAGCATAAATTAAACAATAATTATCATATTTATTTTAAATATTTTTAAATAATTTCTTTCAATTTAATCCTTAAGCAAATCAATTTATCCATCATATCTTAATTTATATAGAGGAAACACTATTATTGATTAAATTTAAATTTAATTTTAAAAATGTAGGAGCTTATAAATTAATTGATAGAAGCCTTATTAAATAAAGAAATTAATTTTTATTTCTTACGAATTATAGATAAACATATATAATTTATGCAACTCATAATTTAATGTACTAGTTTTTCTTTAAGCTGGAATCTTCAAGTGAATATTAAATTATTTATAAACATTAAATAATAATTAAAACTGGTAAATTGATTAGTATAGATATTAATAATTTCTAAATACCAAAAATTTTATTACAAATAATATTTTATAAAATATAAACTCTGTAAATCAAATATAATATTTTTGAAATAGATTTATTAAATAATAGATATTTTTTTAGCGTATTCTCAGGAAAAAAGCAGGTGTTAACAATCTAAATGACACAAATACCATAAAATACTTAGAATTTCTATATATTTAGTTTAAAAGAGTTGATAAATTTAATAAACTTAATACTAAAGATCAAACTTCAAATATTTTTATTTTCAAAAATAAATCACTCAAGAAATGTAAGGTATTATAAAAAAGAGTTCTATGAGAAAAAAATAGTATTTTACATTTTTTGATACTGAAATCAACATTTTAATCACAAATTATGATAATTTAGTTCATTAGTATTGAAAACAAAAATTGCCTTAGCATTTAATTAATTTAATAAAATTTATCACGTTGTTCTTCTACTGTTTATTGAGGAGAAAAGTGTTTTAGAGACTAGATAAGACATAAAAATACTATTAATTTTCCCTTTCCTTATAATACGCACAATAGTAAGAAATAGATAGATACGAGACAATTAGATAAATGGGTTACCTTTTAACTAATTATTAGAAAAAGAAACATAACAAATATAATTTTTTAGCTAACTTCGAATTATTAAGTGTTCAGGCTTTTAAAATGAAGAAGAAAAACTTAATATATACAGAATCAATTATTAACTATTAAAACCTGTTGAAAATAAATAGTTTTTAAAAATAATAAAAAATATTTTTAAGAAAACCATAAAACATTTTGAATTACCTTAAGAAGTTTAAAATAAAAATTAAATAAAATGAATTCATCAAAATGTTTTTTTCATTATATTTAAATTTGAAATAATTCAATAAATAAAATTATATGAAAAACTATTAAATCCGATAAATTCTTTTTATGAATAATTAATTATAAATAATAAGTAAATAAAAAAAATAAATAATCAATTCATTTATTCTTGTATTATCTATGAGTTTATAATTGCTGTAAAATTTTTAATAAATTTAGAAAGTGACAAACAAATTTTAAAGTCATTTTCACTTTTCATATTTAGAAAAGATCTTAAAAACATTATTTTATAATTTAAATATAATTGCGATTAAAAGATGAATATCAATTTCTTTTTCTACCTTTATATTCTAAATAAGGAGTAAATAAAATGTTCATATGCTATGGTTATTTTGAAAATTTACTTTATTTTGATTTCATATAATATAATCATTAATAAAATGAATTGAATCTAATATTGTACTTTTTAACTTAATACAACCTCAAATAATTTTAGAAACTTTTAGAAAACCTAATATTTATGTTAAAAGTTATTTATTGTAGTTAAATGTTATGTATTATTTGAAAATATATGCATATTTAAAAATTGTTGATCAAAAAAAGTAAAAAGCAAATTTGGATTGTGATTGAAAGTAAATTAAAAACAAAATATAATAAATAAATAAAGCTAGTTGTCAAATTTAGAAAACAATAAATTTTCCTTTCAATTATATGATTTTGATAAATAAGAAAATTTAAATTTCATTTAAAAATTTAAATAAATATACAATAACCATTAGATTATTTTCTATTTTCATATTGTTAGTTAAAATTTTTATTATTTGAAATAAATAAATTTAATATATGAAAATTAATTAATAATAAATAGTAAATTTAGAAAATAAAATAGTAGCAAAATAATTTTAGAATAAAAAGTTATCAAAAAATTCTTTCATTATAATTATAAACAAATATGTTTTTAATTATTAAAAAAATAATATTTTTCAGCTTTATCTTGAGCTTTTTCACAATATTTGGGTGTGAAGAAGGATGCCTTATATGTAATCAAGATATTAAAGAGGAAATTTGTTCTTTATGCATTGATGGATATAATTATAATAGCTCATCTTCAAAATGTGAGAAAAGTACTTGTGAGTAATATCAATACATAAACAAGGAAAACAATGAAAAAAGTTGTGTGTCTTTATGCAAAAATAACTAAATTCCTTAACAATCTAATTAATCCTGCTAATCAGCAATTACTTGTCCCATTTAGTACATACAACCAAATCAAATCTCATAAGGTAGAAATATAACAGATGTCTTTTTACATGAAAACGGATATCTCATAGTAATCTACAACAATTTCTTCAGCTACTTTGAATTTTAAACAGGTAATTATATAAGATCACAAACATTCAATTCATCAATTTAAACTATACTCAGGTTGAATTAAACTATCTATCTTCTTAATGACTAAAATCAAGTTTTTGAGTGGATTGAAGAAACTGCTTAGCAAAAATTCTTAGTAAGAATTGAATTTGGAAGACTCAATACCTATTCTAGTTTTATTTCAGTTATGAACTAATTAACAGCTGATAATTCTATTTATATTTCTTCATATCAAAATTTAAATAACACAATTTACTTTACTAGTCTTAATTAACAAAGTTAAAGTTTCTAACTTTCCTACCCAAACTATGCTGTTCTTTCAAATAATTACATATTATTATAAAATAGTAATTATTCTATTTAGATGGCTAATTTATAGATATTTGATAATTAAATATAAATTAAAAGCCTTTTTAATAATTATATGTGTCAAGGTATAAATGGATTATTTGCATAAATGATTAATATTCAAATCCAGTAGGAATTATATTTCGCAATCACATTTACTCAAACAAATGGATTTATTTTAATATCTTAATAAAGTTAATCATGCCAAACTTTGTTTTAAAATTATTAATAACCACTAAAAATGTAGTTCCTATCAACTTATTAAACAGATCAAAATACTTATTAATATTTTTTAGCAATCATATTCAAAGGATCCTAAATTATGCATTTCTATGATATCAGCTAAAATTTAAATGAATTCTAATATACCCTCACTGCTTAACCTGTTGATTTTGTCTAATTAAATTTGAATAATAATAATAACACATATAAATTATATGCTCTAAATATCAATTAGTAATTAGATAGCTATTAATTTTAATATGATTCTTTAAATTAGAACATAACAATAAATAAAATAAATACTCAATAATTATATATTAATAATCCATCTCAACTATTTTTAGCCCAAAACTTAATGATAAGCAACAAAATAATTATGTGTGTGGTTTCTTAAGATATTTAGATAATAGACTTAATAAATGATTAAATTATAGGAGTGACTGCAAGTTTTATTGAAAAATAAAATTATAGCACCAATCAAATTAATAGTATCAACTATGATGAAGACTCTAATTTAGTATTAAGCTGCTCCAAGGATGGTAAAATTATTGTATGGAATATGTTAGATCCATTAAACCCTATGTTTTATTCCCAAATAATTTTTCCAAATTAGCAATGCCTAAAAGTTTTAATGCTTTAAAGCTAGGTAGGAGCTGGTTTGTTAACTAAATCGATTATTTTATTTAATGTATATAATAGTAACATTAATTAAATTATCAATATTAATCAAAATTATTATTCAAATATTCTAGTCTCAGGATCTTATATATTTTTAATTTATAATTCATAAATTTCTGTTTGGACAGTTTTTTAACAACCTATAAGTTAATTGAATTTTACTTAAACAGTAAAATATTCATATATTTCACAATAGATGAGAGTATATTTGATGGATTCAAATTACAATGTGATATTCTATGATTTTGACTCAAATGTACAATAATTTAATATATCTTAATTAGTACAGTTAGGTATAAAGTCATTAGTTTATAGCTTTTTGTTCAATTTATCTACAAGCGCAGGTAAATTTTTATTTTTATTCAAAAATTAATATTAAAATTATTTATTTATTTATTTAAAAAGGTTCTTTGTTAATGTTTAGTAATTTACAAAACCAACTTTTTATATTTGATTAAGATTTGAAAATATTATATCAACCTTATTAATTTATTGGAAATCAAATTGTATACATTTATTAATATGATGACAAAACATATTTTGTCTTAATGTATGCTCCTCTTTACAATTAAGGTTATCCTTATTATACTTCTAGCATAACTCTGAATACAACTATTTAGTTCACCCATTATTATGACTTCATATTAGGATCTTAATTATTAAATGTTGCTTAATATTAATAATAATACCCCTTTGTTAAAATAGTTCATGTCTAACCATAAAGTCCTACATCTACTATTGGAGAAGGTAGAGTTTATATACAAACTTAAGCATTACAGAGAGCAAAGAAAATATCAACTCCTAATGACAAAATTTCTAATATTGTAACAAATAAATAGAAAACAGTTTATATAATAGGCTCAACAACTGGATCATTAATAGTAAGTCCAGAAAATAAAAATAGCTATATTTAATAAATATATTAAATGCCTAATTTAGTTTAAGGTGATTCTTTACAGTCTATTTAGTAAAATTTTAATATAGGATTGATTTACTATGTTTCTAGCTATTATATTTTCACTTATAATTTACATACTTAGTAGTATTATTACAGATTAGACTTTGTTAATTCTCAATAAAGCATAACTTCTAATAATAAAATTTAACAAATTATAGTTTATTAATCCCCAAATTTAGTTTTGGCTTTTTCAAATCAATTACTTATTTTAAAAAACGAAGATACTTAAAAAGCTTATTAAATATCAACTAGCAACTAAAACTCTTAATTAAAATATATCAATGGTTGTGCTTATGATTATTAATCAAATACTATTTTAGTGTACGGAAACGCATTTCTATAATATACCTTAGATTTAATTGAGTATAAAATTTTATCACAACCTAATCAACAAAAATTTTAAGCTTGCTTATTCTAAAGCATTGTTACTGTATGTTAGATGAATTCTAACTAGATAGCAATTTATAATAAATAATAATAGTTTTAAATAGTTTAAATAATATAAATCTCTACATTTTAGACTTTTAGCATGATAGGGGATGAGAGATATTAAAATATTTTAGTTTATTCTAATAATATAGAAGTCTATAGTTTTGATGGTAATTATATCTCAAGAATAAGTTCTATATAATCAAATATATCATAGCTAATTATGACTACATAGCATGTTATAGCATTCACATCACTAGGTAACTTAAATAAAATATATATATTTTAAAATACAATTTTTTATTAAAGTGATTTGTGTATACTAGCTACTTGCTAATCTCATTTTTTTATATATACTTTTAAAAAAGGAGCATTTATTTTCACTAGATAAAATCTTGAATAAGTAGCTAGCTTCTAACCACCAGGTGCGACTTTAGTTAAAGGTTATTATTTTTCTGAAATAAATACTTTAGCTTATATCACTAATGAGATAAGATACGGATAAGTAAAATTCTATAGCCTAGATACCTTGTAATCCACAGGAAGTGTGGTAAGCACTTTTCCAGAATTAGGTATTGGTACTCTTATAAATATATTCTATGACTCAGCAAACAGTGCATTTATATTTGCAGACACATATGGTAATTTTTATTACACTCTTTATGGGTCCTAGTTGTATGTGTTCAATGTAATAGGAATTTATGAATTTGAGCAGCAATTAATAAGTGCTCCTATCGACTTTTTCGTTGATTTTAGGACAAATTAGATGTATATATTTAACTAAAACTCAGTTTGGATTGCCTACTATAACCTACTAATTAAAACTGGAAAAAAAATGATTTAATCAAACAATAAATATTTTTTCTTTGTTTTAAATGAGCTAAATAATAACAATCAGCTAATTTATTGTGACTAAAATAATAATATATTTTTGTATTAAAATTAAATAGTTAAATTTCTCTTTTAACTATAATAAGATGTTATAGACATGAGAAACTTTGTATATAATAATACATCAATCTATACTTTAAGCACGAAGGATTAAATAAAAGTCTATAAAAATTTAAGCTTTTCATAACCTGCATATTAAATAAATATTAGTTTGAGATAATATTTATTTATTGATTAAAATGTTATATTGATCTAAACTATTAATAATTATTTAATTGATTTTGATTTTATAAATAATTAAATTTTATAATAAATCTAATTACCTGCAAACTCAATAATAACATCTCAGCTTAATTTAACAACAGTAAATGGATCTTATTTTTTGTTTTTATCTCTGAGTACAGGATCTGTTATCAGAATCGATTTACTTTAGAAATAATTTATGGTTAACTAAAATATAGTGCTAAATGATATTGTTTCTAAAATAGAAATATATACTTAGGAATAAATTATTTTGATTACAAAAACTGGAAAATTTATTAATCTAGATATAAATACATTTTAGAAAAAAGATTTATAAATAAATAATGACATTTTGCAAAACATTAATGCTCAAAATGATTTAAAAGTTAATCAAATCTAGTATTTTGAAGTTGATTAACCAAATGATAGATACTTTATAAGTATTATTTCTGAAAATAAGCTAGGAGCTTATAAATTAAGTGATAACAGTCTGATTAAATATTTAGCTTTTCCAGACGTTTAATTTAAATAAGTTGTAAAAACAAAGAAATTTATTATTATGTATTGCTAATTCTAGTTAAATATATATAATTAATAGCTTTAATATTTAAATTTTATCAGAAGAAGTAATTAGTATCAAATAGCTAATATTATTCCTATTACTGAAGATATCTTATTAATCATCTATCTTTAGTAACTAGAAATTATTTTATTAAATGAAGCAAGTGGTTTTATAAATTCTATCAATTAAATTAAATTTTCTTATCCGAAACTAGCCTCATTTAAAATAAATAGAAATTCATAATTACAAATACTAATTTTACATTAATCTGGTGTATTTGAGGAAACAATTAGTTTAGATTATTTATAATAATCAATAATTAATTCTATAAATAATACTAATATTTAATAAGTTTGCTAATATGAGATGCAATATACTTCTGCTTAGTAGACATAGGCTTAATTTAATAATATTTACAGCTTTTAGAATTCGCAGCCAACAAATTATTACTTTTCTGTTTTATTAGATAAAAAAATAAATAATTTATCTTTTCTTTCCAAATAAAATATACAATTCATCTTAAGTCCTTAAAACGTTTAAGAAAATCAATTGTTTTTAACTTAAAATTCATTTAGGAATATTTAATCTAATGCTAGTATTAATAATTTCAACATGATATTTTTAAACTAAAGCGCTTAATATACATTTTCATAATAATCATAAAGTATTATTTTTTAGAATTGCAATATTTAAGATTAGAACATAATCTAAGGGACATCTTTAATATTTTAAAATGTTAAACAAATATAAATTATAAATATGAATATAAGTTCGATCTCATTAATTTCAAATTAAAGTAATGTTTAGAGTTAATAATAATAACTATTTTAATTTTAAAACATCTCCTACATACTAATTGAAAATCTATTTATTACAAATTTAACATAATAAGTAGGGAATTAAGAACTAATGGTATTTTAGAATATTGATAAAATTATTTTTTAAAATATCATCATTAAAGATAGTTATTTATCAGACACATTATTAAACCTTGCATAAATAAATTTATTAAAAATATAAAACTTTACAATTATAAACTGCAAAAATATTTAAGAATAACAAAAATAAAAATCAAACAGATAATTATAATAATCAAATCAATTCTATTTGATAAATTTGTAAGGCATAGTTTTGAGCTAAATAATATTTTTTAATGCTATCAATAATAATGATTTATGCTTAATTAAATCAAATAAATAGTATATTACCAACTTATAAACCACGACTCTTGCTTATGATAAAATATTTATATTATAATCAGCTATTAATTACAATAAATTTCCAACATAATTTAATAAAGATATCTAAAATAATTTATTGTCTATTTCTAGCTCCAATATTTAAATAGATAACATGAACTACAATAATAATTATGGAAATATAATGATTAATAATTCTGATTTAGTTGAGATAAATTATAGCTAATTTAATAGTAATATTGGTATTGAGGGTTCATGTCTTTAATTTTTAAATAACTAAAATTTAATAATATATCAATCAAATTTTTCTAAAAATGTAGCTTAAGCTAGTGGTGGATCTCTTTATTTATTAGATACTAGCAACATTACAATCGATTAAAACACATAATTTAAAGATAATGTAGCCTAAATAGGTGGAGCTATGAGAATTTTGTATAGTTAGTAAATGTATTAGAGATACCTATATAGTTTTAAAACAATTTAGGCATAATTTGATAGTAATTTAGGATAAATTTATGGACATGATATAGGGACTTATCCTTATTAGTATTTAATTTATTAAGGAAATGATTTTAATAAGAAATCTCTGATTTATACAGGGTAATTATTTAACACAGATTAGGATAATCTAATTCTCTAAAACATATAGAGCGGAGGAAGTATTAAACTCTTTCTATAGCTGTAAGATTAGTACAACTAAAGTGTTATAATTGATAAATAATCATTTATGAACAATTTTTATCCTTAAACTTTAATCTAAGAATTATAGAAATATAGTATTGAAATATTATCAAATTCTACGAATGATATCATAGAAATAAAAGGAGATAGTATATCGAATTTACATAGTTATGATCAAATTTCTAATAGCTTTTTATTTAATAATCTCTAAATTTCTGGTTTCCCTTTGTATCAGATAACTTCTACTTTTCTTTAAATTAAGGTAAATGATTGGTCATAAAATATTACTTTAAATATAACATCAAATTTTAGAAATTGCAAAAAAGGTGAATATTATTATTAAGTCTCAAAAAATATAGTAAATTGTGTATAGTGTAGTAATTAAACATACTCTCTTTTAGATCCAATAGATGCAACAAATATTACTATTTATGATAAATTATAGTAAAATATAAGCAATTATATATGTAAAAAGTGCCCTGAAGGTTCTGAAAGCTGTTATTCAGATATAATAATCTTATAATAAGGATATTGGAGGGAAAACAATCAAACGGATGCAATATTTTAATGTAATTTATTAAATCCAGGTATTTGTGATCCTACCAAATAAAATGGATGTATTGAAGGTCATATAGGACCACTTTGTGAAACATGTGACTATTTTGGAGTTGTATTCAAAGGAAATACATATTCTTAGAGCATGTCTACAATAGGATGTAGTAAATGTAGCTCAGATATTTTATAGTTGTTCTTTGTAATATTACTTTTATCTCTTTTGGCTGTATATTTAAGCTTATCTACAATTATTTTTATCAAATAATATGTTTATACAAGTACACTTACATACTTAAGATTACTAAAAACTGTGCCTTTTTCTAATAGTTGTGTTTTAGACTAATCTAATTTTGTAATAAAAACTTTAATAAACTATTTTTAAATATCAGCAGTCCTAATAAATCTTAATTACTAATTGATACCAAGTACATTAAATATAATTCCTTTATATACAGGTTCTCCAGTAACTAGTATTGTTTTAAATGGATAATGTCTTTACAAGTATGTTGGATCTTCTATAAATAGTCAAAATGATTTAGTGATAAGGTCTTATGTTTACCTTTTATTGCCTTTATTTGTCTTTTTTTTACTTTATTTCTTCTTAATTATAGTTAACTATTTCTTAAAGTTGAAAATAAATAGGTTCTACAAATATATCTTGTGCTATATGATTTTCTTTTTCTTTTAGCCTAATAGTATAGCATTCATTGTTAGTTCACTATCTTGTAGATAAATAGGAAATAAATAATATGTAACAACAAACCTAACAATTCTTTGCAATGATGAATCATTTTAGCATTTTAAGTTGTATTCCTTACTACCTCAATTACTTTTTTGGTCTTTATTTCCTATTTATATTTTTATAAGATTTTTTAGGGATTATAAAATAGCAAAAAATTTAAATTATTGCACAATAAATTTAAAATATGGATATTTTTATATGGAATATAAAAATAGATTCTTTTATTGGGAGTTCTTAAGAATCTACACTAAAATTTGTATTGTATTAATTACAAATTTGTTGAATTAAATTAAAAATACTTAGTAGACTCTAAATATTGTAGTGATAAGTATATATATCTCCCTCATTAGGTAATATCAACCATTTTTGAATAGATATAATAACCTTTATGAATAGTATTGCTTTATAACTATTCTTGTAATGTTTCTGCTTTAATAATTATCTTTATAATTAAATGATCCTATAATATAGTTATCAGTATTCGCTTTTCACATGTTACTAACTATTTTCTTACTTCTAATTATTCTAAAAATGAAAATAGTTTCTGTTAATAATAAATACATAAATAAATTCTTGGTATGTATACTTGGTAATAGGTTATTTAAAAATTTTTTCTAAAATAGAGATAATAATTTTAAGGCATTATTTTTGTGGAGAAAGATTTACATAAACTTAGGTTATATTAGAAAATAGCTATTTGTGAATTAAATTGAATATTTATAAAATTTTTCTTAGAAGAGAGAAAAAGTTTACAGTTCTTAAAAATGTAAAACAATTATTTTAATTAAATAATAAAATTTAATTTTTAAAAATTTATTAATTAACTTATATTTATTTTTATAAAAATTAGAACTAATTACTTAAGATTAGATTTAATAAAGTTTTAAAATGATTACTTAGACCTATTCTTAATAATCTCCAAAGTAATCTCCATAAATAGAAACACCTATTAGCAAAAACTCTAGATTTATTTTAGGTTTCAGAGATTAAGATGTAGTAGATGAAAAAACATCTTTAAATAAATAAGAAAATTAGGATTTATAGATATAAAATAAATTCTTTAGAAATTTATCTAATAGTAAATATGATTTAAAAAAATTAAGAAAAAATATTTTTACAAATAAAAATATAGATTTATAAGATACACCTAATATAATTTATTCAAGTAGTATAACAAGGTGTAATTCAAAAAATTTATTTTAGTGATTGAATGTATATTTAAACATTTATTTTATTTGATTCATTTATTTCTTAAATAACATTAATTATGTATCTTTTTATAATAAAATTTATTTTTTAAATAATTAAAAAATTTTTTTGAGTAATTCCAATTCAGTCTTTTTACTCTACTTATTTTTTCACTTAAGAAAAATGGCAAAGCAATTTTTTCTAATTTTTAAAAGCTATTATTAACTTCTACAATAATAAAAATAAAAATTTCATATTAATTTAAGTAGTTCAATAAAAATTAGTTTTATTTTAATAAAGTTTTTTCTGGTAGAGCTAGTTAAAACATAAAAATACTTTTCATATTTCTTTAAATATGTTTAAATACCAAATATAGAGAGATATGTGTCAATTAGATAAATTGATTAACTAAATTTAAGAAGTAATAAATTATTAATAAAATAGAAAAAAATAAAATAAATGTTGAGTTAACTCAAATTATCACGTGTTCAGGTTTTAAAATAGGAAGTAACACTTAAAACTAACAGAATTATCCATATAAAAGCTGTTGAGGATAATTATAATTTAATTAATAATAAATAGTATTTAATAAATATGATGAATTCCTTCTTGATACTTCTTGAGGTCTACAATAAAATAAAACAAAAGGACATCATCAGAAAATTTTCATATTATTTTTAAATTTCAAATAAGAAATAATTAAAAACTAGTTTGAAAAACTATTAAATCTAATTATTTCTAAATAAAAGTAAAAGTATCTGTAATTTTACAAAATATGAATATTTAAAGATGACTTATAAATTAAAAAATTATGCTAAAAAAGCAATATACTTAAAAATTAGTTTTCTGAACATACTCAGTAAAAATTTACTACCTCATTAAAATCCTGTATGACTCATTTGTCTTAATACATTCTTGGTAAATTATTTATCAATATCTTTAAGAAAGACAAAAAAATTCAATCACTTACCATTTTAAACTCAGAATTTAAACTAAAACACAAAAGTCTAAATACCAGATTTTCCTTAAATATGCTAAATCAATGAATAACTCTAAGATTTTTGCAGCTAAAATTACCAATAAGAAATTTCTTTAGATGATCTTACCACTAGCTTTTTATCCATTAATTTTAATGTAATATGGAAAAAGTATCCCCTTCAAAAAATCAATTAGCTGCATCTATATTATAAAATCCTCACTAGTTTACCCAGTCAATTAAGACAGAATGAAGCTGATTAGTACAAAATATCTTCTTGATCTAGCAAACTAATGAACCTACCTAATCCTACTTTCTAAAAACCTGGAGTATAATTTATGATTAAATTAGAAACATTTGAAAAAGCATCTTCCAACTATTAAATAGATATTGAAGCTCTAAGAACTAAACTTTTCAATAATAATGAAAATTAGGAAGAGCAATCTAAAAAACCTTTTGTACCTAGCGAATTAAAAAAATGAACTAAAATTAAAATAATCCTGCTTTATAGTGCTTATTAAATCAATTTAATACAAAAGTAGAGGTATTAAAGTATAAATAAAGTGGACATTAAATTGGGTATTTTATTAATTAAAAGAAATTCACAATTAATAAATATTGAGAAATATCCATCAATTTCCTTCAATATTAAATTTATGTATATTTATGGCACTTATTGACCCTTTTTTAATATAAGCCTTCATGTTAATAAAATATTTTTAAAGAGTAACTCTGCATTATCTCAATTCACTTAATACACTGATATACCCTTTATTTTATTGATATAATTAAATATATATACTAATTAGTAAATTATCTAATCCTGTAGCTTTTATGTTATCTGATAAGTTGATATAGGAATATTTAAGTTTTCTACAATACCAATTCATCAATAATTATGATAATTTATCAAATTTTGTGTATATATAAAAATAACTCTTCCCTTAATAATTAATAATTCCTACTAAGAATCTAATATTTGCCCATCTAAGTACATATAATCAACACAAATCTTGTAAGGTATAAAAATAGCTGATTTGTTTTTACATGTAAATAGATATTTCATTCTAATCTACTATAATTTTTTTAGCTATTTAATTTTTAGACAGGAAATTATATTTGATCACACTTGTTCAATTCATCAATATCAAATATACTCAAGATGAATTAAACTATCAATTTTCTTAATTTGGAAGACTCAATCTTAATTCATGATTTATTTTAGCTGTGAATTAATAAACAAGTTTGCATATTAAATAAAGCTGTTAATAATTATCTAATGATTTTTATATTATAAATAAATATACATTTTTATAAATTTAGTTACCTGTAAAATCATTAGTAATATCTAAGATTAATATGAAAACTGTAAATGAATTTTATTTTTTGATTTTGTCTCTCTTTACATGGTTTAGAATCAGAATTCATTTACTTTATAAATAGTTTATCTTAGCTTAAATTTAATGTTGAATTATATTATATCACAAATAAAATAGTATACTTAAGTATAAATTATTTTGATTAAAATAATTGGAAACTTAATTAATCTAGATGCTAATACCATTTAAAAAATTATTAATAATAAGTACTATCTCAGAAAATAATTTAAAAGTTTATAAATTAAGTGATAGTAGCCTTATTAAATAAAGAAATTAATTATTCTTTCTTACTAATTATAGCTAAAAATATATCATTTATAGCATCTCAATAATTTCAAATACTTTTTTACTTTAAGCTGGAATCTTCGAGGAAATATTAAATTATTTATAAAATCAAATAATAATTCCAACTATGAAAAACAGGTAAATTGTTTAGTATAGATGTTATTAGTTTCTAAAAAGACGAAAATTTTTATTACAAATGATTAATTATAAAATATAAACTCTGAAAAAGATATTTAAGTAAATCAAAATTAATAAATAATAGGTTAAATATAAGTTATTTTACAATCATAGTCTCATAAAAAAGGCAGGTGTTTTCAATTTAAATGACATAATATCATAAAATACTTAGAATTTCTACATATTTAGTTTAAAAAAGTTGATAAAACTAATAAACTTATTTCTAAAAATCAAACAGCAAATAGTTTTTTTCAAAAAATGAATCACTCAAAGAATTTAAGAGATTATAATGAAGATTTCTACGAGTAAAAATAGTATTCTACATTTTTTGACACTGAAATTAATATTTTAATTGTAGATGATGATTAATCTAGTTCTTTTGTTTTGAAAATAATAATTACCTCTACATTAAAGTAGTTTAATAAAAATTTATTACTTTACTTTACAACTATTTATTAAGGAGAAGAGTGTATTAGAGGGTTAGCTAAGATATAAAAATGCTATTATTTTCTCTTTATAGACGCATAAATGCCAGAAATAGATGGATATGAGTCAATTAGATTATTTTATTAGCTGAATTTAAGAAAATTTTTAGAAAAATAAGCAAATAAAAAATAAATTTTTAGCTAACTTCAAATTATTATGAGTTCAGGCTTTTAAAAAGAAGAAGAAAAGCTTTATATATACAGAATTAAATTTTACCTATAAAAACCTGTTGAAGAAAAATAATAAAAAATATTTTTATAAAAATCTATTTTGAATTATCCTATTAAGTATAAAATATAAAGCCAACAAAATGAATTCATCACTATGCTTTTTTCATCATATCAAATTTGAAATAATTAAAGTTATATGAAAAACTATTAAATCCGATAAACTCTTATTATGTATAATTAATTACAAATAATAAATAAATAAATAAATAATTAGTCAATTTAGTTTTGTATTATCTATGAATTTATCATTGCTGTAAAATTTATAATAAATTTAGAAAGTGATAAACATATTTTAAAGTCATTTTTCACTTTTCATGCTTAGAAATGATCTGAAAAACCTTAATTTATAATTTAGAATTAATTACTTTTTATGATGATTTCAATTTCTTTTTCTATTTTAAGTCCTAAAATAGTTTTATTTTAACTAAATATAATCATTATTTATATAAATCACGTTAGAATCAATTGATTGCATTTTTAACTCAACCCAACTCAAATATTTAGTAAGTTTAAATTTTAGTACTTAAAACAAATAGGAAGTTTATTTTACTTGAAAGTAAATTAGAACCAAAATATAATAAATAAAGCCAGCTATAAAATTTAGAAATCTAACAATTTTCCTTTCAGTTATGTGATTTCAATAATTAAAAAAATGTTAATTTCTTTTAATAAATTTAAAAGTACATTCAGCAATGATCAAGATGTTTTATTTTATTTTTACCTTAAATTTTTGGCTTGAAATAAAATATAGTTATTATTAAATTAATTATTATTAATAAGTAAAAAGGAAAGAAAAAAAGCAAATAATACTAGAATAAAAAGTTATCAAAATATTATTTAAATTTAAATAAATATGTTTTTATTTAACAAAAAAATAATTTTTTTCAGCTTTATCTTGAGCTTTTTCACAATATTTGGGTGTGAAGAAGGATGCCTTATATGCAATCAAGATATTTAAGAGGAGATTTGTACTTTATGCATTGATGGATATAATTATAATAGCTCATCTTCAAAATGTGAGAAAAGTACTTGTGAATAATATCAATACATTAGCAACGAAAACAATCAATCAAGTTGTGTGTCTTTATGCGAAAATAACTAAATTCCTTAACAATCTAATTAATCCTGCTAATTAGCAAATACTTGTCCTATTCAGTACATACAACCAAATCAAATATCATAAGGTAGAAATATAACAGATGTATTTTTACATCAAAACGGATATCTCATAGCAATCTACAACAACTTTTTCAGCTATTTTGAGTTGTAGACAGGTAATTATATAAGATCACAAACATTCAATTCATCAATCTAAACTATACTCAGGTTGAATTAAACTATCTATCTTCTTAATGACTAAAATCAAGTTTTTGAGTGGATTGAAGAAACTGCTTAGCAAAAATTCTTAATTAGAATTGAATTGGGAAGACTCTATACTTAATCTGGTTTAATTTCAGTTATGAATTAATTAACAACTGATAACGATTAAACAAATTAAATTTTTATTTCTTCCTACCAAAATTTAAATAACACAATTTATTTTACTAGTCTTAGTTATCAAAATATAAATTCAAAACTTGTCTACCCAAGTTATGCTTTTCTTTCAAATAATTATATATTATTGTAAAATAGTAACTATACTATTTAGATGGCTAATTTATAAATAGTTGATAATTAATTACAAATTAGAACCCTTTTTAATAATTATATGTGTTAAGGTATAAATGGCATATTTGTGTAAATGATTAATATTCAAATCCAGTAGTAATTATATTTCGCAATCACATTTACTCAAACAAATGGATTTATATTATTATCTTAACAAAATTAATCATGCCAAATTTTGTTTTAAAGTTATTAATAACCACTCAAAATATTGCTTCTACCAATTTATCTAACAGATCAAAATGCTTATTCCTATTTTTTAGCAACTATATTCAACGGATCGTAGATTATGCATTTCTATGATATTAATTAAAAACTAAACGAATTCTAATATTCCCTTACTGATTAATCTGTTGATTTAATCTAATTAAATCTGAATAATAACGCATATAAATTATTTGCGCTAAATATCAATTAATAATTAGATAGCTATTAATTTTAATATGATTCTTTAAATTAGAACATAACAATAAATAAAATAAATACTCAATAATTATATATTAATAATCCATCTCAACTATTTTTATCCCAAAACTTAATGATAAACAACAAAATAATTATGTGTGTGGTTTCTTAAGATATTTAGATAATAGACTTAATAAAAGATTAAATTATAGGAGTGACTGCAAGTTTTATTGAAAAACAAAATTATAGCACCAATCAAATTAATAGTATCAACTATGATGAAAACTCTAATTTAGTATTAAGCTGCTCCAAGGATGGTAAAATTATTGTATGGAATATGTTAGATCCATTAAACCCTATATTTTATTCCCAAATAATTTTTCCAAATTAGTAATGCTTAAAAGTTTTAATGCTTTAAAGCTAGATAGGAGTAGGCTTGTTAACTAAATCTATTATTTTATTTAATGTATACAATAGTAACATTAACTAAATAATTACTATTAATCCAAATTATTATTCAAATATTCTAGCCTCAGGATCTTATATATTTTTACTATACAATTCATAAATATCTGTTTGGGCAGATTTATCATAATCAATAAGTTAATTGAATTTTACTTAAACAGTAAAATATTCATATATTTCACAATAGATGAGAGTATATTTGATGGATTCAAATTACAATATGATATTCTAAGATTTTGATCCAAATCTTCAATAATTTAAAATATCTTAAATAGTACAGTTAGGCATAAAGTCATTAGTTTATAGCTTTTTGTTCAATTTATCTACAAGCGCAGGTAAATTTTTATTTTTATTCAAAAATTTATATTAAAATTATTTATTTATTTAAAAAGGTTCTTTGTTAATGTTTAGTAATTTACAAAACCAACTTTTTATATTTGATTAAGATTTGAAAATATTATACCAACCTTATTAATTTATTGGAAATCAAATTATGCACATATATAAGTACGATGACAAAACATATTATGTCTTAATGTATGCTCCTCTATACAATTAAGGTTATCCTTACTATACTTCTAGCATAACTCTGAATACAACTATTTAGTTCACCCATTATTACGATTTAATAATAGGATCTCAGATGTTAAATGTTGCTGTTTATTAGCAACAATATCCATTTGTTAAAATAATTAGTACCCAACCATAAAGTCCCACTTCTACTATTGGAGAAGGTAGATTTTATACACAAACTTAAGCATTACAGAGAGCAAAGAAAATATCAACTCCAAATGATAAAATTTCTAATGTTGTAACAAATAAATAGAAAACAGTTTATATAATGGGTTCAACAACGGGATCATTAATAGTAATTCCAGAAAATAAAAATAGCTATATTTAATAAATATATTAAATGCCTAATTTAGTTTAAGGTGATTCTTTACAGTCTATTTCATAAAATTTTAATATTGGATTGATTTACTATGTTTCTAGCTATTATATTTTCACTTATAATTTACATACCTAGTAGTATTATTACAGATTAGACTTTGTGAATTCTCAATAAAACATAACTTCTAATAATAAAATTTAACAAATTATAGTTTATTAATCCCCAAATTTAGTTTTGGCTTTTTCAAATCAATTGCTTATTTTAAAAAACGAAGATACTTAAAAAGCTTATTAAATATCAACTAGCAACTAAAACTCTTAATTAACATATATCAATGGTTGTGCTTATGATTATTAATTAAATACTATTTTAGTATATGGAAACGCACTTCTATAATATACCTTAGATTTAATTGAGTATAAAATTTTATCACAACCTAATTAACAAAAATTTTAAGCTTGCTTATTCTAAAGTATTGTTACTATATGTTAGATGAATTCTAACTAGATAGTCATTTATAATAAATAATAATAGTTTTAAATAGTTTAAATAATATAAATCTCTACATTTTAAACTTTTAGCATGATAGGGGATGAGCGATATTAAAATATTTTAGTTTATTCTAATAATATAGAAGTCTATAGTTTTGATGGTAATTATATCTCAAGAATAAGTTCTATATAATCAAATATATCATAGATAATTATGACTACATAGCATGTTATAGCATTCACATCACTAGGTAACTTAAATAAAATTTATATATTTTAAAATACAATTTTTTAAAAATGTTTATATATATATATACCTTTAGTAATTCTTATTTTTTTTATATATACTATTAAAAAGGAGCATTTATTTTCTCGAGATAAAATCTTATCTTAGTTACTAGCTTTTAACCGCCAGGAGCCACTTTGGTTAAAGGTTATTATTTTTCTGAAATAAATACTTTAGCTTATATCACTAATGAGATAAGATACGGATAAGTAAAATTCTATAGCCTAGATACCTTGTAATCCACAGGAAGTGTAGTAAGCACTTTTCCAGAATTAGGTATTGGTACTCTTATAAATATATTCTATGACTCAGCAAACAGTGCATTTATATTTGCAGACACATATGGAAATTTCTATTACACTCTTTATGGGTCCTAGCTGTATGTGTTCAATGTAATAGGAATTTATGAATTTGAGCAGCAATTAATAAGTACTCCTATCGGCTTTTTCGTTGATTTTAGGACAAATTAGATGTATATATTTAACTAAAATACAGTTTGGATTGCCTACTATAACCTACTTATTAAAACTGGAAAAAAAATGATTTAATCGAACTATAAATATTTTTTTTCCATTTTAAATGAGCAAAATAATAAACAATTAATTTATTGCGATTAAAATAATAATATATTTTTATATTAAAATTAAATCGTTAAATTTCTAGATTAATAGTAATAAGATATCATAGACATGAGAAATTTCATATATAATAATACAGCAATCTATACAATAAGTACTAAGAATTAAATAAAAGTCTATTAAAATTTAAGCTTATAATAACCCTCATATTAAATAAATATTAGTTTGAGATAATATTTATTTATTGATTAAAATGTTATATTGATCTAAACTATTAATAATTATTTAATTGATTTTGATTTTATAAATAATTAAATTTTATAATAAATCTAATTACCTGCAAACTCATTAATAACATCTAAGCTTAATTTGACAACAGCAAATGGATCTTATTTTTTATTTTTATCTCTTAGTACAGGATCTGTTTTGAGAATAGATTTACTTCAGAAATAGTTTATGATTAACTAAAATCTAGGTCTGAATGATATTATTTCTAAAATAGCAAAATACACTTAAGAATAAATTATTTTGATAACAAAAACTGGAAAATTGATTAATCTAGATATAACAACTTTTTAGAAATAAGATTTATAAATAAATAATGACATTTTGCAAAACATTAATGCTCAAAATGATTTAAAAGTTAATCAAATCTAGTATTTTGAAGTTGATTAACCAAATGATAGATACTTTATAAGTATTATTTCTGAAAATAAGCTAGGAGCTTATAAATTAAGTGATAATAGTCTGATTAAATATTTAGCTTTCCCAGACGTTTAATTTAAATATGTTGCAAAAACAAAGAAATTTATTATTATGTATTGCTAATTCTAGTTAAATATATATAATTAATAGCTTTAATATTTAAATTTTATCAGAAGAAGTAATTAATATCAAATAACTAATATTATTCCAATTACTGATGATATCTTACTAATCATCTATCTTTAGTAACTAGAAATTATTTTATTAAATGAAACAAGTGGTTTTATAAATTCTATCAATTAAGTTAAATTTTCTTATCCGAAGTTAGCCTCATTTAATATAAATAGAAATTCATAATTACAAATACTAATTTTACATTAATTTGGAGTATTTGAGGAAATAATTAGTTTAGATTATTTATAATAATCAATAAATAATTCTATAAATAATACTAATAATTAATAAGTTTGCTAATATGAGATGCAATACAGTTCTGATTAGTAGATATAGGCTTAATTTAATAATATTTACAGCTTTTAAAATTCGTAGCCAACAAATTACTACTTTTCTGTTTTAGTAGATAGAAAAATAAATAATTTATCTTTTCTTTCAAAACAAAATATACAATTCATCTTAAGTCCTTAAAATGTTTAAGAAAATCAATTGTTTCTAACTTAAAATTCATTTAGGAATATTTAATCTAATGCTAGTATTAATAATTTCAATATGATATTTTTAAACTAAAGCGCTTAATATACATTTTCATAATAATCATAGAGTATTATTTTTTAGAATTGCAATATTTAAGATTAGAACATAATCTAAGGGACATCTTTAATATTTTAAAATGTTAAACAAATATAAATTATAAATATGAATATAAGTTCTATCTCTTTAATTTCAAATTAAAGTAGTGTTTTGAGTTAATAATAATAATAATAACTATTTCAATTTTAAAATATTTCATACATATTAATTGAAAATCTATTTATTACAAATTTAACATAATAAATAGGGAATTAAGAGCTAATGATATTTCAGAATATTGGTAAAATTATTTTTTAAAATATCATCATTAAAGATAGTTATTTATCAAACACATTATTGAACCTTGTATAAATAAGTTTGTTAAAAATATAAAACTTTACAATCATAAACTGCAAAAATATTTAAGAATAACAAAACTAAAAATCAAATAGATAATTATAATAATCAAATCAATTCTATTTAATAAATTTGCAAGGAATAGTATTGAGCTAGATTATAAATTTTAATGCTTATTATAATAATGATTTGTGCTTAATTAAATCAAATAGATAGTATACTACCAATTAATATACTATGACTCTTGTTTTGGATAAAATATTTATAAAATAATCAAAAATTAATGACAATATATTTCCAACATAGTTAAATAAAGACATTTAATATAATTTATTATCTATTTCAAGCTCCAATATTTAGATAGATAGCCTGGACTACAATAATAATTATGGAAATATAATAATTAATAATTCTGATTTAATTGAGATAAATAATAGCTAATTTAATAATAATATTGGTATTGAGGGTTCATGTATTTAACTTTTAAATAACTAAAATTTTATAATGTAAAAATCTAGTTTTTTTAAAAATGTAGCTTCGGCTAGTGGTGGATCTCTTTATTTATTAGATACTAGCAACATTACAATTGATCAAAATACAAAATTTAAAAATAATGTAGCTTAAATTGGTGGAGCTATGAGAATTTTGTATAGTTAGTAAATGTATTAGAGATACCTATACAGTTTTAAAACAATTTAGGCATAATTTGATAGTAATTTAGGATAAATTTATGGACATGATATTGGGACTTATCCTTATTAGTATTTAATTTATTAAGGAAATGATTTTAATAAGAAATCACTGATTTATACAGGGTAATTATTTAACATAGATTAGGATAATCTAATTCTCTAAAACATATAGAGCGGAGGAAGTATTAAACTCTTTCTATAGCTGTAAGATTAGTACAACTAAAGTGTTATAATTAATAAATAATCATTTATGAGCAACTTTTATCCTTCAACTTTAATCCAAGAATTATAGAAATATAGTTTTGAAATATTATCAAATTCTACTAAAGATACCATAGAAATAAAAGGAGATAGTATATCGAATTTACATAGTTATGATCAAATTTCAAATAGCTTTTTATTTGATAATCTCTAAATTTCTGGTTTCCCTTTGTATCAGATAACTTCTACTTTTCTTTAAATTAAGGTAAATGATTGGTCATAAAATATTACTTTAAATATAACATCAAATTTTAGAAATTGCAAAAAAGGTGAATATTATTATTAAGTCTCAAAAAATATAGTAAATTGTGTATAGTGTAGTAATTAAACATACTCTCTTTTAGATCCAATAGATGCAACAAATATTACTATTTATGATAAATTATAGCAAAATATAAGCAATTATATGTGTAAAAAGTGCCCTGAAGGTTCAGAAAGCTGTTATTCAGACATAATAATCCTTTAGTAAGGATATTGGAGGGAAAACAATCAAACTGATGCAATATTTTAATGCAATTTGATAAACCCAGATATATGTGATCCTACCAAATAAAATGGATGTATGGAAGGCCATATTGGACCTCTTTGTGAAACATGTGACTATTTTGGAGTTGTATTCAAAGGAAATACATATTCTTAGAGTATGTCAACAATAGAATGTAGTAAATGTAGCTCAGATATTTTATAGCTGTTCTTTGTAATATTACTTCTATCCCTTTTAGCAGTATATTTAAGCTTATCAACTGTTATTTTTATCAAATAATATGTTTATACATGTACACTGACATACTTAAGATTACTAAAAACTGTGCCTTTTTCTAATAGTTGTGTTTTAGACTAATCTAATTTTGTAATAAAAACTTTAGTAAACTATTTTTAAATATCAGCAGTCTTAATAAATCTTAATTACTAATTGATACCAAGTACATTAAATATAATTCCTTTATATACAGGCTCTCCAGTAACTAGTGTTGTTTTAAATGGATAATGCCTTTACAAGTATGTTGGATCATCTATAAACAGTCAAAATGATTTAGTGATAAGGTCTTATATTTACCTTTTATTACCTTTATTTGTTTTTTTTTTACTTTAATTCTTCTTCATTATTGCTAATTATTTCTATAAGTAGAAAATAAATAAGTTCTACAAATATGTCTTGAGCTTTACAACTTTCTTTTTCTTTTAGCCTAATAGTATAGCATTTTTTGTTAGTTCCCTATCTTGTAGATAAATAGGAAATAAATAATATGTAACAACAAACCTAACACTTCTTTGCAATGATGAATCATATTAGCATCTTAAGATGTATTCCTTACTTCCTCAATTGCTTTTTTGGTCTTTATTTCCTATTTATATTTTTATAAGATTTTTTAGGGATTATAAAAAAGCAAAAAATTTAAATTATTGCACAATAAATTTAAAATATGGATATTTTTATATGGAATATAAAAATAAATTCTTTTATTGGGAGTTCTTAAGAATCTACACTAAAATTTGTATTGTATTAATTACAAATTTGTTGAATTAAATTAACAGTATTTAGTAAACTCTAAATATAGTAGTGATAAGTGTGTATATATCTCTCATTAGGCAACATCAACCATTTTTGAATAGATATAATAACCTTTATGAATTGTATAGTTTTGTAACTATCCTTATAATGTTCCTGCTTTAGTAAATATCTTAATCATTAAACTATCCTCGAATATAGTTATCAATATTCGTTTTTCACATCTTACTAACTATTTTCTTACTTCTAATTATTCTAAAAATGAAAGTAGTTTCTGCTAATAATAAATACTTAAACAGCTTATTGGTATGTATACTTGGTAATCGGGTATTTAAAAAATATTTCAAAAATAGAGACAATAGTTTTAGAGCATTGTTTTTGTGGAGAAAGATTTACATAAATTTAGATTATATTAGAAAATAGCTATTTATAAATTAAATTGAATATTTATAGAATTTTTCATAGAAGAGAGAAAAATTTTACAGTTCTTAAAGATGTAAAACAATTATTCTAATTAACTAATAAAATTTAACATTCAAGTTTTATTAATTTACTTATATTTTTATTTTTAAAAATTAGAACTAATTACTTAGGATTAGATTTAATAAAGTTTTAAAATGCTTACTTAGACATATTCTTAACAATCTCCAAAGTAATCTCCATAAATAGAAGCACCTATTAGCAAAAACTCTAGATTTATTTTAACTTTCAGAGATTAAGACGTATTAGATGAAAAAATATCTATGAATAAAAAAGAAAATTAGGATTCATAGATATAAAATAAATTCTTTAAAAAAGTATCTAACCCTAATTTTGATTTAAAAAAATACAGAAAAAACATATTTTCAAATTAAAATATAGAAGAATAAGAAATACCTAATATAATTTATTCAAGTGGCATAACAAGATGTAATTCAAAAAATGTATTTTAGTGATTTAGTGTGAGTGTATATTAAAATAATTCTTTCATTTGTTTTATTTGTTTCTTTTTAACATTAATTATGTAACTTTTTAGAATACAAAATTTATAGAGTAATTCCAATTCTGTAGTTTTACTTAAATTTTTTTTCAGTTAGGAAAAATGTCAAAGCAATTTTTTCTAATTATTAAACACTATAAATATTTCCTACAAGAATAATAATTTTAAGGTTATAGTCCTTTAGTAAATTAAAATGATATAAGGAATAGTAAATAACCGATAATATCTTCGTATTTGTATTAATCCTCTTTTTCAATTGAAGAATGATTAGTTTTGAATGAAGAAATATAAAAAGCAATGGAATTTTATTTTGTTGTATGCAAATTTTAATATTTTGAAATAAAATAATAAGAAGTTGTGTAATTCAGTAATACAAATACTTTTATCATAATAGAGATTTTTTTCTAAAAAAGAAAATTTATAATAAAAGTTTCCTATTTATCCTTATAAAAAAGAATAATATTAAAATCTATCAATAATCTTAATTAATAGATTTAAGGAAGCTGTATTACAGGTTAGACTTAGAAGATTAATATGAAAAACCCTTCCAAAATTGAGCTTGAGAAGAAGTGAGCATTTTTTTTTATTTTTATACAAAAGAAAAATATAAAATTTTACTAAGATAGAAGAAGTACCTTGCAGTTTTAAAAAGATTAACTTAATTAAAATAATCTAGATTATAGTTATAATAATTTTTTGAAAAAACACCTAAAATATTGCTCATCCTGAAATTAAAATATCTTTAACTGTGTTGATGCATATTGCAATATTTCATTTAATTTATATGAGTTTAAACTAATTTTGTTCATTCTGTATTTTAATTGTTTTTATCACTTTGTTATATTAACAAATTTTGATAGTATTTAATGACTTTTCTCAAGTTTTTTTTACACATTTCTGAAAAAATTCTACTAATAGTTAACATTCGTGTATGTAGCCTTGAAAAAGGTAGTACCTTAGGGTACTATTTATATATATATATATAAAAGAAAGATCACTCAAAAGAAAATGTTAAGAAAGATAGTTATTGATAAACATAAAATATTGTTAAATCAGATAATTACTCATAAAAAATTAAAAAATTAAAGAAGTAGGATATAAAAATTATAAATTAAAATAAATAATTTATAATAGGAAATAATTTAGAAACAATAATTGCTTAATTAAAATAAATAAACTTAAAAATAAAAGAAGAAAATGCCCTATTTGCAGCTGTAAACAACCAAGGATTAACATTAATTAGTTAATAAATAATAAAGAAGCAAATAATAGTTTTGAAAAAAAAATGAAAATTTATAGTAATTGAAGATATAGCTTTAAACAAAAAAAATAAAATAACAACTCAGATAGATAAAAATACCTATCAAAAGTATTTTATTTATTTTGATGTGGAGTAATAGGTAATCAAAAGATAATGGTGTTTCAGAATATTTATAAAATTATTTTTTAAATTGTAATTATTAAAGATAGCTACTAATCAAGCATTTTATTGAACCTTATATGAATAAATTTGTTAAGATTTTTTCAAATCTATTTATAAGATTAAGAAATTTAATCAAAGATTATTATTAAATAAATTAGATTTTCTTGAAAAATTAAGTTTTAAAATGTGTATACTAAATTTTATTATTATCTAGTTTATCAACTTTTATATCAATAGAAATTAGAAAATATATGTTCTTCATAACATATTTAGTAAAATTAAATTTTTGCTAACAATGAGAGCAAATTCTTAAACAAATAATTTCACTTCATAAAATATTTCTATTTATAATTCATTAAAAAATAAATGATCTATTAATCATTTTTTAAAATGAATTCAGAAAATTAAAAAAAATTTTTTAAAACTTAGATTGGTAAAATTGAAATTGAAGACCATTCAATATTTTTAAAACTTTTAGTACCTAAATCATTTGCTTTTTAATAGTTTCTAAAGCTTCAAAATTTATAATGAAAATTAATTCATTATATATTCGTTATTTAAATTTAAGTAAATATTATAACAAAAACAAGAAAGAAGTAATAGCTTAGAAGAATAATTAATTGAAAAAGAATAAAAATTTGCCAGATTCTACTTTTTAAAAATGACATTAATAAGAAAAAAAATAATATTTATCAATATAGCTTTTTTATTAGAAATAATAAAATGTTGCTACATTGGGTGTCTTATTTGTGAATAGTAAAATTTATAGGAAATTTGCTTATAGTGTGTAGATGGATACTAGCTTAATCATTCAACTTAAATATGCGAATAAACAATTTGCGAATAATATTAATATGTTACAAATAATTAAAACTGCATGGCTATCTGTAAAAATAGCTTTGTTCCTCAACAGTCTAGTAAATCTTGTGTATCTGCAAATATTTGTTCCTATCAATATTTATAGCTTACTGAAGTTTCTTAGGGTAGAAATATTACAGATATCTTTTTACATAAAAATGGTTATCTAATTGTAATCTATAGCAATTTTTTTAACTATTTTGACTCTTAAACTGGAAATTATATTAGACAGCAGGCATTTAATTCATCAATTTAATATATATTCAGATTAAATGAAACTATCTATCTTCTAAGTGATCAAAACTAAGTTTTCGAATGGATAGAAGAAACAGGTTAATATAAACTTCTACTTTAAGTATAAAAAGGAAATTTTAATGTTAATTCTGGATTTATTTAGTTATAAAGCTTAGATGTTACTGGCGAATGTTAATAAAACACAATTTTTATTTCTTCATACCAAAATTTAAATAAAACAATTTATTTTACTGAACTCAATTCATAAAATTAAAGTTTATAGCTTTAGTACCTAAAATATGCTCAAATTTCAAATAACTATATTGTATTACAAAATAATAACTACTAAATATAGATCGCGTCTTTATAAATAACCAATAATTTAATAGAAATAAAAAATTTATTTAGCGATTATATGTGCTATGGAATAAATGGTTTATTTTAATAGATGGTTCCTATATTATTTCAGTAGCAGTCTTTTTTTGCTGTAATATTTACATAAACAAATGGGTTTGCATTATTATCTCAATAAGATTAGTCATGCAAACTTTTATATTAAAACTTTTTATAGCCATTAAAAATATAATTATTTTATATTAATGAAGATTAATTATAAACTGTTTATAAGTTAAGAATTTTAATACTATTTAGTGAGCTAAAAGTAATAAATTTCTATGATATTGAAGAAAATTAAAATGATTTTTAATTTAATCTTACCTCATATCCTTTAGATTTTATCCTAAAAAGCTTTAACCAAAATGAAACGAGGTTATATGTATTAAATTTTTAGTAACAATTAGAGAGATATGATATTTTTTATAACAGTATCAATCAAAATATTTCTATGAGTAAGAATAGTACATAATAGCTGTACATAAGTAATCCAACATAATTACTACTAATTTAAAACTAAATTTTAATTGATAGAATCATTATGTGCATAGTGTCTTCAGATATTTAGATAGTAGACTTAATGTAAGATCAAAACATAGGAGTATCAATAAGTTATATAGAAAAATAGAATTACAATGTGGATCAAATAAATAGTATTTAATTTGATGACAATTCTAATTTGCTGTTAAGTTGCTCAAATGATGGAAAAATAATTGTATGGAATTTTTTAGACCCATTGAATCCAATATTTTCATCATAATTAATAACAGATTAAATGTGCTTGAAAGTTTTAATATTTTAGAGCTAGATAGGAATTGGATTATTTACAAAATCCATTATTTTATTTAATATATATAATAGCGGCATTAATTAAATAATTTAGATTAACTCAAACACCTATTCAAATATTTTTGTAAATAAATATTTTATCATTCTTATCTACAACTAATAAATTTCTGTTTGGAAAGATTTATCATAATAAATAAAATAACAGAGATTTACCTTTTTAATAAAGTATTCATACGTTTCTCATAACCTTAGAGTATATTTAATGGATCATATATATAATATGATGTTCATAGACTTTGATTCAAATGATTATTCTTTTTCACAAATTTAATTTAAATAACTTGAAATAAAATCATTAACATTTAACTCTTTATTTGACTTATCATCTTAATAAGGTAAAATCTTTCTATTATATGTATTAATTAATTTTAAGTTAACATTTTATTTTAAAAGGTTCTTTATTAATGTTTTCAAATTTGGAAAATCAGCTTTTTATATATGACTATGATTTGAATTTATTATATCAGCCTTATTTACTGAATGGAAATAAAACAGTTGACATATACTAGTATGATGATAAAACATATTTTATTTTATTGTACGCTCCTTTATATAACTAGGGATATCCTTACTATACTTCTAGTATATACTTAAATAAAACAATTGAGTTTACATATTATTATGATTTAATTACTGGTACATAAATCTTGAATTCTGTAATGTATTCATAAAATTAGCCGTATTCTAAGATGATTATTCTTTAACCACAAAGTCCCACTTCTACAATATAAGAAGGAAGAGTTTATTAAATAACTAATGGTATATAAAGAGCAAAGAAAATACAAACACCTAATGATCAAATTCCAAAGTGTGTTACTAATTCTTAGAAAACACTTTATTTTGCAGGTTCAACCACAGGATCAGTTATAGTAATCCCAGAAAACAAAGATTATTACATTAAATAAATATTTTAAACTCTAAATTTAATTTAGAATGATTCACTCTAATTTGTATAATAAAATTTTAATCTTGGATTGATTTATTTTGTTTCTTATTATTATGTTTTCACTTTTAATATACATAATTAATAGCTAATTTCAAGAATAGATTTTGCAAATGCTCACTAAAATTTAACATCTATTAACTAAATTCAATAAATCTAAGTATACTCATCTCCAAATTTAGTTTTAGCTTTTTCTAATTAATAGCTGATCTTAAAAAATGAAGATAATTAAGTAGAATACCAAATTTCTACTTTGGTTTAAAATTCTAAATTAAAGTATATAAATGGCTGCTAATATGATGAACCATCTAATTCAGTATTTGTATATGGTAATATTTTTTTAAGATATAATCTGAATCTCACTTAGTATAAAATTTTATCATATCCTAATTAATAATAGTTCTAAGTATGCCTCTTCTAAATTAATGTAGTTATTTGCTAGATGAATGTTAATTAAGTTATAATTTATAACAAATAATAGCAATTTTAAATAATTTAGTTAATTTAGATTACAGCTTTTTAATCATTTAGTATAAAAAGTGATGATTAATATCAGAACATACTAATCTATTCAAATAACATAGAAATTTATAGTTTTAATGGTAATTATGTGTCTAGAATAAATTAAATTTCTTCAAATATAATTTAACTGATATTTACCAATCAATATATTATAACATTTACAAGCATAGGTAAATATTTTAGATTAAATGATTATTTTTAATTTTTTTACTACTTTTTTGTATAATAAACACTATTTTTTATAAATATTTTTTTAATTTAAAAATAGGAGCATTTATTTTCTCTAGATAAACTCAATAATACATTACAAGCTTTAAACCTCCAGGAGCAACATTAGTCAAAGGCTTTTATTTTTCTGAAATAAATACTCTTGCTTATATAACAAATGAAATAAGATATGGATAAGTTAAATTTTATAGCCTAGATACATTGTAATCGACAGGAAGTGTTTCAAGCTCATTTCCTGATTTAGGTATTGGTAATCTTATTAATATATTTTATGATTAAGCTAATAATGCCTTTGTCTATGCTGATACTTATGGAAATTTTTATTATACTCTCTATGGATCTTAGTTATATGTATTTAACGTTATTGGAGTATATGAATTTTAACAATAGTTAATTTCTATACCTCTAAATTTTTTGGTAGATTTTAATACTAATTAGATGTATATTTACAACAAAAATACGATTTGGATTGCATATTATAATTTGCTAATAAAAACTGGTAAAAAGGTCATGAATTATAATTAAAAATACTACTTCACTCTTTAAGGTTAATAAAATAATCTTTAATTAGTTTATTGCGATTAAAAAAATAATATTTATTTTTACTAAAATTAAGTTGTCTAATTTTTAACATAGTCATAATAAAATATTATTGATATGAGAAATTTTATATTTAAAAATCAAACTATCTATTTGGTGAGCACAACAAATTAAATAGCCATTTATTTTAATTAAAATTTATTATAGCTAGAATGTTAAATTAATATAAGCTTAAAATCCTTTTTATTTATTGATTAAAATGTAGTCTTAATTCAAACTATTAGCAATTAATTAATTGACATCGATTTTATAGATTAGAATATTTTATTATAAATTTAATTACCATAGAACTAATTAATTACTTCTCAACTTAACGTAACAGCAGTGGATGGATCATAATACTTATTTATATCATTGAGTTCAGGTGATATTATTAAAATAGATTTGGTTAAAAAATAATATTCAATCACTCATAATCTTGTATTTAATGATTATATTTCCTAAATATCTAAATATATTAATAATTAAATTATCCTGGTAACAAAAACTGGTAAATTGATTAGTATAGATACTAGTAGCTTCTAAAAAACAAAACATTTTATCACAAATGATATTTTATAAAATATAAACTATGAAATTGATATTTAAGTAAATCAAATATAATATTTTGAAATAGACTTATTAAAAAATAGATATTTTATAAGCATAATATCAGAAAATAAGGCAGGTGTTTACAATCTAAATGACAATAAAATCATAAAATATTTAGTATTTCCAGATGTTTAGTTTAAAAGAGTTGATAAAACTAATAAACTTATTATCCTCTCATGTTAGTTTTAACTTAATATATATAATTAATAACTATAGTATTTAAATTATTTAAGGAAAAGCTAATAAAATCAAATAAACAATATTGTAGTCATTAATGATAATATCTTATTAATTATTTACCTTTCTTAAATTGAAATAATTGCTGTCAATGATTTAAGTGGTTTTATAAATTCTATATAATCTATTTAGCTTACATATCCTAAGATTGCTAATTTTAATATTTTAGAAAATTAACAGCTTTAAATTTTAGTTTTACACTAAGCTGGAGTTTATGATGAGATAGTCAGTATAAACTATATTTACTAATAAGTATCTTTATTTGATAATGATAATAATAAAAATAGTCAAAATAATATTTGCTAATACTAATTAAAATACTAGTCTACTCAATAAATATAAGCTTAATTTTAATATATTTATAGTTTTCAAAATTCTTAGGCAATCAGTTATTTTTTTTCTATTTTATTGAGTGAATCAATAAAGAATTTATCATTTCTTTCTAAGCCAAATATAGAATTCGTAATAAGTCCCTAAAATTAATAATAAAATTAGCTATTTTTATCCTAAGATTCATTTTTATTTATTTAGTCAGACATAAATATTTAGAATTTTGATTTTATGTTTGTCGACTAAGCAGCTTAATATAAATTTTAGTAGTAATCATAAAAAATTGTTATTTATAATTGTAATATTTTAAATTAAAATATTAGCTTAGGAACATCTCTTATATTTGAAAATATATAATAAATATAAATTATAGGAATGAAATTGAATTCAATTACTTTATCATAAAACTAAAACGTGAATACTAATTAATAATAATTATTTTAATTTTAAAACTGTTCTTATGTTTTGATTGAAAACCTTTTAATTTAGAATATAACTCAATAGATAGGATATTAAGAATTAATGATATATCAAAATATCGATACAATAATCCTAAAAAATGTAATTATTAAAGACAGCTTTTTATCAAACGGGTTAATAAATCTTATTTAAGTAAATAAATTGAGAATACAAAACTTTACTGTAATTAATTGCTAAAATATACTAAAAAACAACAATAATAATCAGCTATAGTAAATATCATATTTACCTAATTTAACATACATCATAAATATGTAGGGAGTAAACAGAAGTGAAATTATTTAATTTAACGCAACAAATAACAATGATATATCATTAATATGGTCAAATAAAAAGTATTATACTAACTTATTTTCACAAACTTTATTTTAAGATAGTATTTTTTTAATATAATCTAATTTTAAAAACAATAGTTTTAACAAGCTATTTAATAAAGACTTTTAATAAAATTTAATAAAAATTTCAAATTCATTTGCTTAAATATAAGACATATCATTTAATTAAAATAAAGGAAATATAATAATTACAGATACTGATATTGTTAGTATAAATCATTGCTAATTTAGCAATAATATTGGTATTGATGGTTCTTGCCTTAAATTTTAATAGATAAACTTTAATGTAACAATATAATAATCAGTATTTTTAAATAATATAGCTTTAGCAAATGGAGGAGCTATTTACATATCAGATTCTAATAATATAACAATTAAAAAGAATACCTTATTTTAAAATAATACTGCATAAATAGGAGGAGCTATGAGAATCTAAAACACTTAATAACAAATATTTAGTAATTTATTTTATTTTGAAAATATAAAAGCTTAATTTAAAGGAAATTAAGGATTTATTTTTGGAAATGATATAGGAACTTACATATATAAATATTTAGTTTATAAAAGCTCTGATACTAATTCTACAAAAATAACTTTAATATACACAGGATACATGTTTGAATAAAATAAAAATGACTTAATTTTACAAAATATTAAAAGTGGTGGTAATATAAACCTAAAAATTAAGTTTTTTGATTAGTTAAATAGTGAAGTTAAAATTAATAAATCATCTTTTATAAATAATGCTTATCCAGAATCTATTATGAAAGAAATTTAATATTATAGTATTTAGGTATAAACTAATTTAACTACTAATGATCTATAGATAAAAGGTAATTCTATCTCAACAATTTTAAATTTTGATTAAAGTTTAAATTGTTTCTCATTTAATAATCTGCAAGTAACAGGTTTTCCTTTGTCACAAATATCAACAGCATATTTATCGATCACTATTAGTTAATGGCAATAAAATATAGAAATTCCATTTACTTTAATATTTAGAAATTGCATCAAAGGAGAGGTTTACGAAATGATATCATCAAATTTAGTTAATTGTGTTTCATGCAGTAACCAAACTTATTCACTATAAGAACCTATGTAAGAAACGAATATAACTATAAAAAATTAATTATAAGAATATATTAACAATTATATATGCAAAAAATGCCCTGAAGGGTCTTAAAGTTGCTTTTAAGATAAAATCCTTCTTTAAAAAGGATACTGGAGAGAAACGAATAATTCTGACTAAATATTTTAGTGTAATTAGATAAATCCAGAAATATGTGATAGCAATAACTAAAATGGATGTATAGAAGGCCATATTGGACCTCTATGTGAAACATGTGATTTCTTTGGTAACGTATGGTAGGGAAAAAGTTATGCATAAGGATCATAAGTATATGAATGCAATGCTTGTAGGGATGAAATACTTTAATTATTACTTGCTATTTTGTTAATTGTGGTCTTACTAGTTTACTTGCTTTCTTCAACTTTAATTTTTATTAGATAATATGTCTACAATTCTACTCTTACTTATATAAGGATTTTAAAAATACTACCCTACTCTAACAGCTGTCTATTAGATTAATCTACCTTTATAATAAAAACACTAATCAATTACCTTTAGGTATCTTCAATTCTTGTGAATATAGATTATAAACTAATTTATTCAGCTATAAATATTGGATCATAATTTGTAGGATAGCCTATTAGTAGTATTGCTGTAAATAGCTAGTGTTTTTATAAATACTTAGGTTATGAACTATATAATTACAATGAGCTAAAAATTAGGTCTTTGCTGTATTTAATCTTACCAATAATTATGATTTGCATTCTTTTGGATACGTTTTTAATTTTAAACATTTTCTTAAAAAATAAGATAAATAGATTTTATAAATGGGTTTTAATTATAATAGTTTTTTTCTTTTTTTAACCTAACTGTATAGCCTTTTGTGTAAGTACCTTAGCTTGCAGATAAATTGGTAGCAATTCCTATGTTGCAACGAGTTTAATCATAAGTTGTAGTGATTAAGAGTATTATTCATTTAAACTTTACTCAATTATACCAATGCTATTATTTTGGTCTTTATTTCCAATTTATTTACTTATTATGCTGATATATGAAAAAAGCAAATCAAATAAAAGCTTTAATTTTTGTTCAATCAAACTAAAATATGGATATTTTTATCTCGAATACAAAAATAATTTCTTTTACTGGGAGTTTTTAAGAATTTATGTAAAGATATCTATTGTGTTAGTTACAAATTTACTGAATTCTATAGAGAATATTCAACAAATTATAAACATAGTCATAATTAATTTATATATGGGAATGATTTCTAAACTCTAACCTTTTAATGATAAAAATGAAAATAAATATGAAATCTTAAGCTTTTTAACTGTTTTAATTACTCTAATATTTTAGAAAATATCTTAATAGTAAAATATCCCTTTGATATAGTTAGTAGTGATCATTTTACATTTATCTTATATTACATTTATTATATATTAAATATTAAAGATAAAATTGATGAAATCTCAAAATAAATGCTTGCACTACCTAATAAAAACATTTCTAGGGAAAAAAATATTTGATCAAATAATAAAAAAAAGAAATACAATTAAAATTCTTTTTTTATGGAGAAAAGTTTATAAAAATTTAAAATTTATTAGGCAAAATAATATTCTGTCTTAAATATAAGACTTTGAAGAGTTTTAGATAAGTGGAGATAGTAAACTTTCACAGATCAAATGTAAATTAATATATATTTATTGAAAAATTTTGTAAATATTAAAAAGAAATTCTTTGAAAAAATAGAAATTTATAATTCAGATGATAAAGTAGGAAAAAAGTTAAAACTTTCATATTCTGGTACTAATTCTTTTCTAACAGCAAATTAAATAAACTTATCAAATCAAATGTTAAAAAATGAAAAAAAAAGTAAAGCTTCTAAATTTTAATTAAATAGAGAATAACTTAAAGAACAAAATTAGAGTGATTTAAATTAGCTAACATTGTAAGACATTTAACACTATTCCTAAACATTATTTGGAAGAAATTAAGTTCATAACTAAAATCAAATTTAATAAGATAAAAACAATAGTCTTTCTATATCCCATATTTAAAAAGAAATAGAATTCGAAGATTTATCTAATTCAAATATTAATAACAGACGTTTAAGTTTCTAAGTTTGAAATTAGAGAAAAATATATTTTTTATTATTTTTACTTGATAGGTAATTTTATGATAAGCTATTAAGATTGCCGAATATAAAAGGCAAATTAATAAAATATTTATTGCTTTTATATTTTATTGATTCTTTATTATTTTTATATTTGTAAATATATTCTTAGCTAATAGGTTTTAATTTTAATAATAATTTTTATAAATTAATACTTGAGATTTGTATATGAGTAAACAATTTGATTATTTAGTTGATATCATAATTTATCTATTTTTTTATTTGAAAAACATTTAAATACTTTTAAAAATTTAAAACAATTATACAAATTTTAATTTTTAATATCACCACTTACACATTCTTTAGAATAAGCATATGTTATGTATGCTTTTTAAATTAAATACAATTTTTTTCAATTTTAATATAATAATCCGAAATTAAGAACTCTGATTTTCCAATTTCTATTTTAATGATTAGAAAAATAAGTTTTGAGTTTTACAAAATTTCTTCATAAATATTTCTTTATTCACAGCCTTTTCATCATCAAAAAAATAATTCATCATTCCAATTTAGCATATATGCTACATTTTGAATAATAGTCTTTTTTTATTATTGTGTTATCATCATTAAAGGATTCAATTTAATATAATACAATTCTGATTTATGTAAATTTTGAGATAGTAGTACCTAAAAATTATTTTTATAAAATTCTTTATAGCTTGAAAATTTTAGCAATTATCCAGTTAAATTCAACTACTTTAATTTAATAAACTTAAAGATGAATAATAATTAAAGTGTTAATTAAATTAATATAAAATAAATAAAAAGAAGTGATAAATCTAAGAGAGTAATTAGTAATAGAGTACTAGCAGAAAAAAACCTTTGCTAATTTATGAAGATAATTAATTGATAATAATAAATAAATATTACCATTATAGATCTGAAACATCAATCAAAATTTATCATTATGCATATTAAATAAAATAAATTTTTTATTATTAAACAAAAAGTATATTTGAATTAATTTATTACAAATTTTTAAAATCTAATTTTTAATAATATTTTATTATGATAAAGTTTATTAAAATATTATGTAGCAATTTTCATATCTAACTATGCATATAATTCTAAATAATATATAAGTTTCACGCATTAATTTAAGTCAATCACTTTAATATGAAAGTTAACAGCAATTAATTGTTTTGAATAGAAAATTACAATGATAAAAAAAATAAATTTCGTAAAATTTATTTATGATAGAAAATATATTGAATTCTTTGCTTAATAAGTTAGAAAAGTGAATGAATAATAATTTAGATGAATAATTTAAAGAATTTTTTGAAAATTTAATGTAGTAAAGTGAATAGTTTAAATTCTTTTAAAGGATAATAAATAAATTAAATTTCTAAGTTAGTATTAAAGGGTTTTATTGTTAAACTATTGAATTAGCATACTAAAGCATAGAAAATTAGCTAGGTTACCAAATATATAGAAAGATAAATGCTAGCAAATAAAAATTAAAGACCTTCAGGTTATAACTAGTCTGCTATAAATTCTTATTTATAACCCTATTAGCAGTACACTTCTGCTAATCAAAACAACCTAAGCTCTTAATTACAATAAAAAGATAATAATAGAGGAAGTCTCTAAAAGGCGATATCTCCAACAAGAAATTCAACACACAAACAGTATTCTTCTTTTAAGTAGAATTAGAAGAATTAAAGTCATAATAGTTTCAAGGAAGATACTAGTGTAAACAGTAAAATTGGTACTTCGTCTTCTTTATTAAAAAATGGAAATGGGATCATAGGAGGCGGTTAATATGATGTAAATAAATCTAAAGGTGAAAATTCTTTATCACCGTGCATAAAATCTACAAATTTATAAAAGAATGGGTTATTATCACCATAATTAATGAAATAGTCAACATAAAATTTATCTTATTTGATAAATAAAAACAAGGAATCTAAATCAACAGAACCATAAACAAGTTAAAGCTACTTAAAAGACACTCAATAAAAATAAATTCAAAAAATAGATCACAGTAACATGTACCAAACACCTTAATCATTATCTAAAACTAATATTTAATCTGGAAATAATGAAATCGGATTACAATCTTAATAATAATACACTCAATCATAGAACTAAGCTTCTATCTATAAAAATACTTAAAATTCACCCAATACTACCTATGGTAATATTGTTAACAATAATCTTTAGACTCCATCAAATTATAATAAGAATATTTGCACAATAAATCTGTGTGACAAACAAGATTTATTTTAAAATATAAATTTAGCATGCAATACGAACAATAAAAGCATAAATGATATCAATAATAAGTTAGAATTGAGTTCAAATAATCCTTAAAGATCTCCTTCTACTTATTAATAAAGTAATAGTAATAATAATTAAAGTAGCAACAAAATTCTGATTCAGCCTATATCAAAATAATCTTCAGCAATTAATACAGAGAATGGTTTGCTAAAATCAAATTAATTACAGTAAATGTAGTCTTCAAAGAATTATTTTGGTTATTTAAGAAGTGGATCTCAATAATAACAGAATTAAAGTTCTGTAAGAAATGTTTTGTAATAGCAATAAAGTAATAGCTCTGATGCTAAATTTAATTTACAATAAAAAACTAAATACATTGATTTATAATCAACTATTTAATCAAAAAAATAAGGCTCTCAATTATAATATTAGCATCAATAATTAACTTAGCAATAACAAATACAGTAGATATAATCATACTTAAATTAATCAAACAAAACTGATCAATCGTCTTAGAACCCTTTTAATAACATGTCTAACAATTCTATACTTTTATCAAAAAGTTCTTAAAATGGGTTTGGTAGTATTGTAAGTAATTAACATAATATAATTACAAGTAGCCAAGAAAGTGACAAAGACCATAATATAAAAAAGCTAAATAATCCACTAACCTCTAACTCGGTCACTTCAAGTAAATCTAGTATGAATGCAAATCCAATAAGCTATCTATAGAAATAAGATTCTAATCATTAAAAAAGTGGAATTTAAGTTCAGTTAACAGAAAGTAGAAGCTTAGATTAAGTTTTTAGTGGAAGTGATTCTCAAAAAAGACTCAACGTTACATCAGTAAATCATGAACAGTAATCACCAACAATTGTACAACTGAAGTGCGATATGCAGTAAAAATCTTCATCTTTAAGCCCTTATAGAGAATCTAGATAATAAATAAATGTTTTATAAGAATGTGACTCTAACACAAATTAGATATGTTAAGTCTGTAAAACTAAAAAAGCAAATTACTAAATTAATATATCAGATATATCAAAATAGTATTTCTGCTCTAAGTGCAGCATAGAATAATCAAAATTCAACTCTAATTCATCTAACCCAATAACAAATAATTCTATAAGTACAGGTATAGGTGGTAGTGCAGCAGAATCTTACTTATCACCTCAAAAAATAAATATTACTTCTACACCTATCAATTTATAAACAATAGATCTCAGAACCGATCTTAATAATCATTCACCAGCAACAAGCTTATAAAATGAGTCTACCAAAAAAGGATAGACAGACTAATTGCATCAATTCTAAAATTTTGCTAATATAAAGACAACAAATTATATAAATTAAGTAATACCACTAGAATAAAAATCTTCTGAATTTTAAATCCCATAATCTTCTCAATATATAAATAGTAAAATAGATATTAAATAGATTGCAGATATACCTTCATATACTCCTTTAAAAGCTATAAATGCAAATAATTAAGTAAATTAAAAGCAAATTACAAATAATGATTAAATTTCATAGTAATTATAAAAGCCTAATCAATAAATTTTATAATAATCCAACACTCATAACTTAAATTAGCCAATATTAAATGGTTATACTTAAGACTTTTAAAGTAGTAATTAATAACCTATTTCTTAAGCTCTCAGTGAATTTAAATCTTAGATTGCACAAACATTTGACACTGTTTAATCTTTAACTTCATAAAATAGTAATTTTTCGTTATAAGATGTACAAAATAATTAAAACCCTTAAGTTAACAATAATTAAAATGTTTTATTTGATAAGCAGAGTTAAGTCTCAAATAATTATTAATCAAATGAGTTAAATAAATTTTAATCTCCTATTTATCAAATTAATGACTTTATGGGTGAAGAAGAAAAAATAAAAAGATAAAAGCTAAATGATTTTCAAGCCAAATTATTTAGAATAAAAAATGATTTTGATTAGTTATAAAAACAATTTTATGAAAAAAACGATTCGCTGATATAGGAATATCATAAGAATATAGAAAGCGTTGATTACATTTAAAAGTCTCTTGTCAATGTCATTGAAGAAGTTGCTTCACGATAAAAAGAAGTTTTACTTAATAATTTCAACGATAATTTAGCAAAATATAAAAATAGCAAGTTTGAGATTTAATAAATATTAAATTACCTGAATTGTACTGAGAATGACTTGATGAGCAATTTTGATTCTATATTAAGAGATATGGATATTGATAGTTTAGATGATATTATTGGCCAATATAATTTGATAATTTAGTAGTATGAAGAATCAAGAACAAAAAAGTTTTTAAGTTAGTTGTTCGTAGTTTAGCAATTAAAATATGCAAACGATGGCAATTAATTGGCTTCAGTTTCATAAAAGATGCAAGATGTAGTAAACCATTTGTTAACAATTATTTCCTACACTCAAAACATATAGAAAAGCTAGGTTAGTTCAAACTAAACACTTTATGGAACTACTGAACCTAACGCCAAAGTACAATAGTTCTAATTATAATAAAATAGTTTTATCAACTAACAACCTAAATCCATTTATGTAAGCTTCGAAAATAGAGATATTTTTTAAAGCGCTGCTCATAGTACAACTGACCAGCACCATCCTGAAACATAACCTCAATCTCCTTCCTTTAAAGCAACTTTATCTCAATAAAATTAATTAAATATGCATCAATCATAATAAAATGGATTTTAATTTTTAACATTTAAGGAAATTATCAACAATGAAGAATAGAATTAGTAAAATAACAAAATTTAAAATTAAATGCAGTCAAGTCAATAAAACTAATAAAATAATAACTTAGTTGTAAGTAAGCATTTTTACTCTAGCAATGGAGATATTATTTAAAGATCTTCATTTGGAAGCGAAAATAATAAATAAGAATAAAGTGACTCTCCTTTATCTACAAAACCACAACTAATTCCAAATAATTATTCTACATATTAAAGTTCCCCAAAACAAGTCTTGCTAACAATGGAAGATGAGGATTCTAGCAAAAAAGGAAATTATTACTCTAATTTGAATATGAGTAATCAAGGTATTGGTGGAATTGCAGCTTAACAGTCATTACAGCTTAATTAAAATATTACACAAAATATTCATTTATACAATAATTAAATTCCAAGTTATTAAAATAACAGTCAAATTTAAAATGCATAATAAATAAATTCAACAAGCTAAGCTACTAACTTGTAATAATATGATGCAGAAATCAAAAAGTTAGAGGATTTAAGAATAAGCAATTAAAAGTTATAATTAGATGGATTAGAAATAAATTCTATGACCTCTCCAACAAATAAAATTATTTATAGAAGTTAAGAAAATCCTTTCAGTAAAATTAACACTCTTGTAAAGAATTACAATAATGAAGCTATTAATTTAAGCTCTAACTCTTAAAATTATGGGCTATAAAGTGAAAATCAATCAATAGATTATATATTTAATTAATCAACTACCACCAGCGCTTCTAATAACAATACAAGTAACCATAATCACAGTCTTTTATTTAAAAACAAATAAAAATATAATGACCTTCTGTAAAAAATTCAAGTTAATTAATCATAAACAGAAAAGCTTTGCACTGATGTTCTTAGCTCTGGATAAAATTTTAAATTTTCGCAGTAAGAAGAAAATCAAAATAATCCTAATCCTCAACTAAGTTAATCGATTTAATCAGGTTTCCCTAAAAAATGATTTCGAAAAAGACTATGCTTTCAATTTTGATAAATTAATTCGAACTTCTTATTGTATCTCTTAAAAGGATAATACAAAAATAAATAAATTAATCTAAAGTAATAATTATTAATTTTCCATTTTATAACCAATTCATTCAAGTCTTTAGATTACCTTTTAAAAATTAATAATCTGTATTGATATATTTATAAATATTTTTTTGAAATATATATTTACCTTTATTATTGTATATATCATTGCTAATTAAATATATTATTTTGTTTGCTCACTTAAATATAATTACAATTTTTCAGATCTATAAAATAAGAATAAGTATTCATCAATAATGTTCTGAAAAAATAATATTTTTTAAAATAATTATAAAAAGTTTTATTCTACTAATTAAATAATATTCAATAAGTATTGATAAATAATTGTAAATAATTATCTAATAAAATATAATTTCATTATTTAGATATTGAATTTACTTAATCAATTATCTATATTTTAAATGTTAATTTTTTTATTATAAAGTTTATTTATTAAATTTTGAGTTTAATTGAATGTCTAATAAATAAAAGTTGATTTAAATAAATCTAAGCATTTTACAAAAACAATTTAAATTATAAAGAAAAATATAATTAGCAAAAGTTTTGAAAATTTTTGTTGTAAAAAACTTTATAACAAATCATAATAAGAATAATTTATAAATACTGTTAAAATTTATATGAATAGAAATACATTTTCTTAAATTTTTAAATTAATAAGAATTCTGCTTTCAATATTTAAAAGTCTTCGTTTTAGAAAAAAAGAGTGATTTGAGTATTTTAAAGAGATATTTTATTTTTTTATTATTTTTAAAAGATAATAAATTTTTAGTCCTTAATTAATATTTCTTTATTTTAATATTTTCCTCTTCATGCTTTAATTTTCCAGTTAAGATACTTTTGAAAATCTTCTTGGAGTTTTTTCTTTCAATAGATTAAATGACTTATTTTTCAACTAGAAAGAAATTTATTAATTATTTATATAAAATAATAATGATAACTAATTATTGATAGATTCTCTTAATAAATTACTGTTTATTTTTAAAAGGAGATAAATCATTAGTAAATATTCTATACAAAGAAAGGTTTTTAATTAATTTATTTAATATTTTCAAAAATAATAACTTAAGCAAAAAATTTATACAAGTAATTTGAAAAAGTTGTTAAATAATAGGGTAGAATAATATGTAATAGTAGTAAATTGCGTAACAATAACAATAAATCATGTATTAATAAAATGTAAATAGCAGTAGGATTTCAGCGTAGACTACTTAATCATAGCTGAATTAAGGAGTTATGGCCAATTAATAAACCTAAATTAAGCAAACTTAAGCCTTACCTATACCTACAGCAATGCCTTTTTAAAAAAATAATTCATAAGCTTAATTGTTAGGAACTCAATCTAATCGTCAAAGCATTCAAAATTAAAAATTAAGTAGTAATAATATTAATAATAATTAAAATGTACCTGCCCATGGTTCAAGTCGTATTAATTACACTTAAAATCAAAATAATTAATATCAGGTTAATGGATCTCAGTTGTCATAACCGTAAATTAATTTTATTAACAATAACTTTTTAAGTAGTTATCTATAAAAAAAAGCCATTTAAAATATATTTTATTGAATTTATATTAATTTCAGTAATTTGAAAATATTTTATTTTAAATTATAGTGTCACTCCTTTGCAAATAAACTAGCAAAATATGATATCTTCAGATATAAGCTTAGAATATAAAAAACTAAATGAAAAATATATCTTGCTTCAAGTAGACTTTTAAAATTTATAATATTTAATGCTTTTTACTTTAGGTTTTTGAACAATTTAGATTATGTGTAAAATATATTACAATTAAGTATTATTTAGATATGATTGCTTGTACTCACACATAAAATAAGTTTAAAAATTATTTTTTTTGGTGTTAACAATTAATTTTTATAAAATAGGCAAGTTTCGAAAAAGAGAGAAAGCATGTAGAAAATTTAGAGTAGAAGATGAAAATACTCATTTAAGAAAATGATAAATTGTTAGACATGAAGAGCAATAGCTCTAAATCAATTGATTTAAGTTCTAACAATTTAGAATAAACTCAAAATAAGTAAGAAAGAATACTACTTGAAGAAATTTAACGTCTTGATAGATTTATTAATGAATAAACAAATGAAATTGAGCATCTTAAATATGAAAACTAAAATTTAAAAAACTAATACTCAGAATAAGAAGAAATCATTGCCAATATTGATGAAAAGTCTTCTGAGCTAGTTGAATAAAATAACAAACTCTAGCAACTTCTTGCTATGAAAGAATAAGAAGCAGATGCTTATAAAAATATTAATTCGTCTTTATAGACATAAGCTGGTACACAGTCACAATTAGGGTAGCTTTTATTATTATTATTATTATTAATTATTAATTAAATTATAAAATATCTAGATTTGATTTAGAAAATCTTTAAAAGATGAATGCTATTCTAAATGAAGAAATAAAAAATTATAAAGAAGAAAGAAGGCTATTAAATGAAAAACTCTAATAGCAAAAAGATGAATAATCCAAAACAAAGATAGAATTACAAAAGAAAAAAGAAGAGCTTCTAAAAGCTACTGATGAAATATAGAAATACAGAGATGATGCCTTCAGAAACAAAGAAGATGCATAAAGAAATAAAGATGAGTTAAGAAGAAACACTGATTATATTAGCAAATAAGATGAGGAAACAAAGAAATATATTAAAGAAATATCATTACTCAGAGAAACATAAGCTCAAATAATAGAACAATACCATAATTTGGAAAAATAATATAGTGAATTAAAGCACTAATTACTCAACTCACAAGAAGAAAATAAATAAATTTAAATAATGAAAAATACCATTTCCGATTTAGAGAAAGCTAAAACAGACTTGCTAAATGAAAAATCTGAATTTATAAAAGAAAAAGGTTAAAATATGTTTTATCTTAAAGAAAAAGAAGAAAATTACTAAAAAATCATTGCTGAAAAACAATAAGAAATAAATAACACCTTAGCCCAGTCAAATATGCTAGTGGAAAAATACAACATTTTGCAAGATAAGTTTGTTAAATTGCAATAAAGTTTTGAACAAACAAAGATTTTTGAATAAAAGTATGAAGATGCATCCTCTAAAAACTAAAATCTTGCTTAAATAGTTATGAAAAAGGATGAGCAGATAGCTAACTTTATAGCAGAAATCGAAAAGCTTAAGAGGGATCTAGTGAGTTCTTAAAGCAAAGGTGAATAGTTGCAAAATCTAGTGAAAAAATAAGATGAACATATTAAGAAACTTGAAGATACCATTAAAAAGTAAGACGAAACTATTAAAAAGCATGAAGAAAATGCTAGAAAAACTGAAGAAATAGTTACAGTAAAGTTTGGTGAAAAGAAGACCTAGATAAAATCTCTTGAAGATAAAATAACAGAATAGTAAAATATCATTGCATAGCTTAGATTATTTGAATAGGAGACTATCAATTTACGTTAAACGATTGAAAAGGCGGAAGAGAAATTAAAAAAACTTTTTTCAGAAAATGAGAAATTAACAGGAGAAATAAAGTAAGCAACTTAAAAAATATAAAAGTAAGAAGGAGAAAAGAAGCAACTTACAGAAAAAAATACAACTCTCACTACTGAGCAAACATAAACCAAAGAATTGTTAGCTAAACGTGAAAGAAATCTAGAAAAGGCTATAGAGGAACTTAAAAAAATGGATGGTGAAAATAACGAATTGAAAAAATAAAATAATGAGTATTTGTAAAAAATAAAGGAATATTAATAGACAAATGAGTAACTTGCTAAGACTTTAGAAAGTTTAGAAAAGAAATACGAATAAATGAGGAATCAGTATTAGACAATCCACAAAGAACATATTGATTATAAAAATAATAATGATGAAAGTCGCATTAAAGAATAGAAAGAATTTAATAAAAAGCTTGAAATTCTTTAAAAGTAAATTATGGAATTGGAGAAATCAAAGAAGGATGCTGCAAATTAATTTAATTAATAGATAAAAGAAAATATTGAATTACTCTAAGATTAATAATAATCAATTAAGCTTTATTAATAGAAAGTAGAAGAACTTGAAAAATTAGTTGCAGAATAATCAGCCTAATTTAAGTAAGAAACAGATAATTTGATTAAAAATAATAGTTAGCAGACTGCTTTACTTAACAAAGAAATATAATTAAAGATATAAGAAAACTAATAAATCCTTGTAGAAAACCAATCACTTAACGTACTTTTGCATGAAAACGAAGAAAAGTTCGAAGAGTTGGAATAGGAAATATAGTCTCTGTAATCACAAATTTTAAGCTTACAACAGATAAGTGAGAGCCAAAAATAAGAAATTTCTAACCTTTCAAATATTATCCGTTAGCGTAGAGAATAAACAGAATAATAGTAAAATGTTAATAGCACTTTGACAAGAGAAAATCAAGGACTACTTGACCAACTTAAATAATTAGAAGCATAGCTCTTCAAAGTCGATGAGCATGTAAACAAAATGGTATTTTGAAATTTATTTTTTGGATTTTAATGATATTTAATTTTTTAATAAAAAGGAACAATAAAATAATGTAATTTAGAATGGTGAAGAAACTGAAGATTTGGTAGAATGAAAAGTTGACAATATATTATACTAATTTAAAATTGAAAATTTAATATTTATAAATTTAATTAAAAAATTAGATTTTGAGCTTAAAAAATATCTTTAAATATAACTCTATTTGTTTATTTTGTTAAAAAAAAATATATTTATGATTAATTTTTCTTCGATTCTTTTATTATTATTCTTAAATTACTGAACTGAATATAAAATAATTTAAAAGATGTTTGGAATATAATAAAATAAATATATTAAATTTAGTTGGTCAAAATAAATTTTTTGCATTTATACAAATATCTAATTCATTTTTTAATAAGTTTACACTCTCTTTACCTAATTACAAAAAAAATTATTTTAAAGGTTTTAAATTTTGAGTTTCTTTATTTTTTTACTTTAAAAGCAAAAAAAAAGTAAGATTTTAACTTTTAAATAATAGTTAAGATTTGATTGTTTATTTATGTTTACAAATTTACTAAAATATGTCTACTTTTTCTTTCAATATTTAAAAAAAGTTTATTTTTTTACTTATGATTATTTTTTTGTAAAATCTATTGAAATTTAATAATAATTAATCTTAGATATTTTTAGAATTCTTCAAGTTTTTTACTTTTAAGTTTTCAAATAACAAATAATTTTTATAAAATGTTCTATTATTCATAGTCACTAATTTTATCTGAGCTTGCTTCAAATGAAAATGGTTAGGAATAAGATCACTTAGATTCCGAAGGTTAAGATGATTTTGAAAATACTAGCATTATATTTGAATTATCTCAAAGCTATATTCAAAACGATAACAATAACAATAATTAACATGATCAAAATAATATTGCAAATAATTAACAAATTTAAGACTATTTTCCTTAAGCAGGAAATGGAAATTAAGAAAATAACTTAAACGCCAACAATCAAAACTAGTTAGATAATTTTTAAGATGTTTTAAACTAGCAAAATCATCATATAAACTAATAAAATATTGCAAATTTAAATAATTTAGGATTATTTTATTTAGTAGTAAATAGATGGCTGTCTAATTTGGCAGATCCTGTTTTGCTTACCCTTTTCTTTCTTTCTGGATTTGTAAATTCTCAATCAATAAGTGGAGATTGGTCAGATTTTCTAAAATATTGTAATTTTGTTGTTGGAGCTTTCTGTGTGATTACTAATTTGGTAAATGTTTTAAGATTGATAAAAGGAAAAAGAGAATAGATTCTCTTACCTCTTCCTTAAAATCCACCTTAGGAAGAAGTTAGGAATGCATATTCGCAAGAGAAACTGCAATAAAACTTAAACAACATTTACTTCTTTTGTTTAATTGCTATATCATCCATTTAAATTATATCGATGATATAAAATAACAAATACGAAGATAATATTTACTAGAGATATTTGCTTCTTGTTTTTATTTATTTAAGAGTGGTAATGTTTTTGATATTTTACTTAAACAAGCACCCAAAAACAATTAAAAAACTTCTGATGTATTGTGTAACCTCTTGGCCTGTCTACAGAAAAGAGTTTGATGAATATTTACATTATAATTTTGATTTTGCAATTCAAATACAGACAACTTTTGCTAAAGACCCTGTTCAGAATTACTTGAAGTTTATGATTTATATTTATGAATTTATTCTTGTACTTCAGATTATTGCATTTGGCAGCTCTTGGCAAAATCATTAGTTAATATTGTAAGAATATTCCTATTTTTTTGGAGGCTTCTACTATTTGAGTATTATTTACATAGCACTTTTCAACTACTATATAGTTACTTAGAATATTTAACTTTCAACTAAAATGAATAGAGTAAAAAATTGTGCTTTTTTAATAGTATTTTTTTCCAGCTATTCCATATTTATTATTCTTCAATTGCTCAATGCTTTGTTCTAAGAAAGAGGAAAAGAGTATTACATCTTATAGTTTGAACCAATTTTTTCTTTTTATCTAGTTTGCATTTCGACAAGGATAGTGCTAAATAGAATCACATTAAAAGCTCTCAATAAAGAAATTTAAAAGTAACAAAAATTGTAATTTGCATAAAATTAGCATCAATAAAGAATTCCTCAATAATAGAACAACAATAATCTAAACATAGAAATTCCATAAGTAAACCAATAGGTGAATGTGGTTTAATTAAGCATAAGCAATAATAGTAACTTAATAATGTAGTAAAGTTATTAAATTTAATCAAATTAAATTGTTAACAACAATTAAGATATTTAAATTGATTAAGTTAGCAATATGTAAGTCAATAACTAAAATGTATTTAACAGCAGCAATTAAATAGTAAATTAATAAAACTTAAATTTTAATAATAGTAATAACAATATCAGAAACTAAGAGGAGTAAATTAATCATTTTTAAGAAACTAAAAGAAAAATAAGATTGATGGTAACTAATCATTTGGAAGCTTTAGATAAAAACATAAATCTTATTGTGAACTTTGAAGGTTACACTGTAACTATATCACTGGCTCTATAATTGTTTGTGTATATGTTTTCAGATAACCTTGAAATATATGAATAAAATAGTACAATTTGCAATATCTACTATTTCTTATCAATATATTCTTTTATGTTTTACTTCCTAAGTTCTAAAAAGGTATCTCTTGCCTATGATAAATTAAAAAATTCTTCTGAGCCATTTTCACTTTATTGGATCATCCCATTTTAATCATATTTGAATAAATTAGGATGGTATCTATCTTGGATTCTTAGCTTTTTACTGATATATCTTTACTTCAATATAAATTTCACTAATAACTCTTTTGTTAAGGCTGAGTATATATTCATGATATTTTTTTCTATCACTACATTCTTCATATTTTAGGTAATTCACTTAGTCAGGAGAATAATGCAACCCAAAAAAACAAATTGAGTAATAAATAAATTAATAAGTCTATCTTTGTATTTTATCTCTTCTAATGTTGTTTTAAAAATTTAATATAAATAAATGTTAATAATAAATTTCCTTACTAACTACATTAAAAAACACATATCTTATGTTATTAAATTGGTTTCACCATTTAATTACTTGTTTAGTAGGCAATCAAAATCTATTTTTATATTTAAAATTTAAAACTTTTGATCAAAAAATTACTGGTTGATGAATTAATAAATTCACTGAGAGCAATTTGTGGTATAAATTAGAGCTTTATATTCAGGTGCATAATAGAGAGAAAAAATAAACATCCGTTTAATCAAAGTTTACAAGTTTCTAATTCCCCAAAAATACAAAAAAATGTTTATATATTAAATAGAAATGATGAAAAATAGATAAATAGATATCCAAAAAATTAATCAAAATCATCTATTTATATCTGAAAAGGAAATAAATTAATTAGTTAATTAACAAAACAAGAATAGATAGAATGAAAATAAATAAAACAAAAACAAATAACTTTGAATTTATTTATTTTTTTCACCAAGATTAAGTTAAGTGGTTAATAAATTTGTGTATATATTATTAAGTTTATTTTATATAAAATTTATGAAAGATTTTTATATACTATTTCACTCTCTGTTAGCGAGGCCAAGAACGGTTTAGAAAATAACAACAATATCAATGTATATGTCAAGTGAAGCAATTATGTAATCATCATAAGAATATGATAAGTATTTATTTCCTTGTAATCTCTATATATCAAAAACTAAGTAAAAGCAGAAAACTCCAACAATAGCCAAACCAATAAGAGTTTAAATTATATAACTTCTAAATATTGAAGCTACAAGGATAATTACAAGAAGAGCCATACTTACATAGAAAATTGCTGTTACCTTTTGGGTTATATCATTTTTAGTTGTGCAGGCATAAATTGTGATAAATAAGACTATTGCAAAAGTGATACCTCCTGCCAACAAAACAACTTCAGGTTAAGATACTGAAGTTATCATGGAAATTAAATAACCTTCAGTGATTGTAAATATAAAAAGTAAAATGTAGTTATTAGGAACCTTCATGCATTGCTTACGGAAGCAATAAAGAGTAATCATTGTAGCGATATTCAAAATTAAAGAAAGGTAGGCGATAAAAATGTATCTCTTTTAGAAATCTCTATAATCTTGACTTAATGTTGAAGGAATAATAAAAGCAAATGTTATGATTAACTAGGTACAAATAATTCCCAAAACTTTACGGATAAAATTTCTCCTTAAATTTAAATTTGAAAGTCCAGTTAAGGCTACTCCTTCATTATTTGAAATCTAATCAGCGCTTTAATTATTATTTTAAACAAATCCTTTTTAATTGTTTGGCTACTAGTTATGCTACTAATTCATCATTTATTAATTTTTAGCAGCAGCAAATCCCATCATCTAAAAATTTTCAATATCATTATTTGCTTAAAATCCTGCATTTCCGTTGTTGTTGTAGTTCATTTCTTTTTTATTTGTATATTTAAATTTTATGATTTATGATAGATAGATTGATTGTTTACCTTTGTTTTATTAAAAAACTTTTTTTTTCACTTAATTGTAAATTTATTGAATTTCAATTAAATTATGATTTTTTAATACAAAAAATTGATTCGCTTTTATGCAATATCACCAAAATATTATAATGCCTTCAATATGCTATATTAATAAGCAATAAACAGAGAAGATTAGATAAATTATTATTCTATATCTAATTCTAAATCTCTATTTGTCTATTATCTTTCAAAAAATATTAAAATGTTCATATATTTAAAAATAGTAAAGTTTTCATTTTTAACAAAATCTCTTTCATTTCAGTTTAATGATTTATTTTAGTTAAAGAGTAACATGTTATTTAAATACCATTCTTTTAATTATAAAGTATTGGATATCAAATATTAAATCTAACTATCTTTTTATATTTATGAAAGACATATCCTTGACATTTATATTGATGATTTAATAAAAACTTAATTTGTTAATAAGTTAATTGGATTTTAAACATTAAGAAATTCAGTATTTTTTTAATGAAAAAATATAGACACTAAATAAATTAGAATGAATTTTTAAACGAAATTACAAATTTTAAATCAATCGCTTAATAAATTTTATACCAATTAAAAAAAGGAACATTGTAACTCTAACCAAATTTTAATGGATAAATCATCACTTATTTAATAAATCTATCCATCAAAAAGTAAAAGCAAGCAAACAGTTTCTAAGTAACTAAATATAGATACAAAATCAATCTCTCTGAATGATTGCAGCTTAATTAAAAATAGAAGAAGAAAAAAAGATTTAATCATGTTGTTACTAATTTCAAAATGAGTAATTAAAAAAACTATCTATTTTATAATTTAACTATTATAATATTTTAGCTTTACCTGATTTCTTTTTTTATTTAGGATTTCTATCAATTATGTTGAAAATTATTTCAATCAAATTTCAATTACATTTCGAGAAATATAGACATATTTATATACTTATATATAGATAATTATATATATATATTTATTTTATTAATTATAGAGAATAAGAAATTTAACGAAGAAATTAAAAAAATAATTAACTTGAATTTTTATAATAAAATTTTTTGAAATTTTTCAGTCATTCAAGTATTATTTCATTAGGGATCTAAAATATTTTATTAACTATATTTTCCTAAGGCTTCCTCTATAAAAAGGTCTTACATTAACCAACCTTTCCGACTAAAGAAAAGTTAGATTCTGCTGCAATATCTCTTCCTGAAGCAGTAACATCTTCTAAATTATTTTATATTTTTTAAAGTGCTTCACAGTTGATTGATTGATAGATTTTTTTTGGCATAGCAAAGTTAATATTATGACTATCTATTTTTTTTTATTACTATTATATTTAAATATTATTACTACTCAGCTAAGGTAAAGTCTACAGGCTATTTTTTAAATCGCTTCTAACGCCTTTAGTAATAGCTTGCTTAATTTATCTTCTTACTTTTTCTATTTCAGAAATTGCTTATTCATCATTTTACTCCTTTTGATTTAAAATTAATTTAATAAATAAATAATCATTTTAAAATAAATGAAACAACAAAAATTTTCCAATAAATTATTTTTTTTCTATTTCAAATAATTAAAAATTTTAAAAATAATTTTTACTTTTTAAATAGCATTATTTTTAGTTGAATGACTGTTAAAAACACCAGCTACTGAACGGCGATGAAATAAATTTTTATTACTTAGTCTGACAGCATCTGCATCCAATTTTATGTTTTCCTCACTATCATCGAAATCATTAGCTATTTAATTATTATTGTGAATATTTTAATTTTTTTATGTTGTTGGAACTTTTGAATAGAAATTATCAATTTATTATTTATTATTAATTGTTCTTTATTTGATCGTATTAATTAAATTCAAATTAAATCTATTTTGATTCTCTTCTTAATTAAGAATGTTTCCTCCCATTTTTTTATTATCGCTGCTTAATACTTGCAAATTTCGAAGGTCGTTTGAAATGGAGTTTTGTACATTACAGAAAGGACTTTTAGTGAGACTACTATAATTTCTTCTTGAATCTTGCTATGAGCTGTACAAAAGCTATCCTTTTATGTCTTGTCTCATCAAAAGGTTTCCATTATTATTTAAATTTTAAATATTATTTTCTATAGGTGAAGCATTTGAATTTAAATCTTAAAAATTTTTGATTTGCTAATATCTGATTTTTAGTAAACTCATTTGTTGTTGCTTTAACTACTGCATAAAGTTATCATCAACTAAATTCTTCTAAATATCTTCAAGACAAGAAGAGGATCCTTTTCTTGATACTTGTTTTGATATTTAATTTGAATTTAATGTAGATTATTACTACTAATTTAGTAAATCACATTTATTTTATTAATTATAAAAGTTTTAAGCTCCATAGCTAATTTGATTCATATTTTTATTCAAATTCATATTAGATTTAAATTAAATTTGATTTTATAGTGAGATATTGTTAATATTTTTAGATTTTTCATTTAGACCCGAACCTAATTTTGATTAGCAAGATTAAGCATTTATTTCTCTGAAAACCTAATTGCTATCAACTACATTATTTTCATCTGGAAGTTTTAATGTTTGTTTTTAATATTTAGCTAAGTTTAACTATTGTGGCTATTATTATTTTTGAGATTATTTACCAAACAGTTCTCTTGAGCATTTTTGTATGCTAGAAGTAGATTAAGGAAATATATTATTTAATTAAAAATTATGGCTATTTGGATTTATTGGTTGTTTCTCATTCATCAATTAGATAAAATTATTTAGACGAAGATCTTACTAATCTTTTGTTAAGTATTGGTTATTCAATATGCTATTATTATTGTTTTAGTTCATATGCTTCTAAACAGTACTAGATAAAATTACTTGTGAGTTTTATTCTTTTTATAGTTACTCTGTTTATATGTTTTAACGACTTAAAACTTTAGCTGTTTCCCTAGTCTCCAAAGCTATCTTTTTTTAGCTCAAATTTCTCTCTAAATTATGTGTCAATCCCATTTAGTCTTGTGTTGAGATTTCTTTTTCAAAATTTTGGTTAATAGAAGATCCACCACCTTTTATTTATTTAAAATACAATATAAATTGTTTATCAATATTTTAATAACAAAATCAAATTTTCTGATTAACAATAAACTTGAATGGTAGTAGTATGTGCTTAATATATATAATTCTATAAAGAATTTTATCTTTTACCTTAACCATGTAACTTCGGCTAACTCATGCTAATCACACTTCTTTTCAATGTTTTAACAGGAGCCTGTCTTTCTTCATTTTAAACTACATGTGAATTCACTAATATTCTCGAGAACCTTATCTTTTTTTTCATGGAATCACTCTCTGCTCCTGATAATGATTGTTATTATAATTGAAATTATTAATTATTCTCATTATCAATTGGAAAAGCAAATACTGAATTGCCACGCGCTTTTTAAATATATTCAAAATCACTTTCTTTAGCTTGTTCTTTCTAAGTTTGCTATTCGAATTGTGGAAAAAAGAAGTTTGCTGTTTGCTAAAATTCATAATCAGGAGTATTAGCTGTATCTATTTTTGATAGGCTAATAAACTATTTTGAAGGATTCGTCATAATCTGATTTTCTTAATTTTAAGATAAATTCGGAAACTTTAAATCTCTCTTTACATTCATATCTAATGTTAATTCTTTAGGAATAGGAATCTCCCTGCTCTCTCTACAGCAAAATGATTATTTGTCGTAAAAGCTAACATCTAAAACAGGATCGTTGAGTATCATAATTATATTTTATGTATTCTATCTAATATTTTGTTAATTCAAGCTTTGCAAAGAATTACTTGAATAATTACTTCAGATTAACAAAAGTATAATCTTAATCTTACTAAAAAATTTGATGATTTTTAATTATGATATTTATTACAAAATATAGTGTCCCACAATCCAATTATTTTAATTTGGTAAATATTTGAGCGACCAAATCATTTCTTGCTAGGAAGTTACTTTACTAACATCACTCACTAAATAGATAACAAATTTATTATAGTGCTTTTTAATTTAATATTGAATTATTTTCCTACCAGTTTTACTCAAGTATTAACATATATTATCATTTATGCATTTTTTTTTTAAGACATATCTTACTCTTAAATTTTATTACAAATAAAAGTTAAAATTATCAAAATATTTATGCAGTATTATGATTTTGGTACTACAATAAGACAATTCTTTAAAAGATGAAACAAAAAAGTTTTTAATCTATGAAATAATATTTATAATAATAAAATTAGCTACCCATTTCTTTCTATTAAAATAACATATATTTAACTTACAAAAAATTAATTTACTAGAAAAAGCTTAGTTGAAAATTTGCTTTAAATGAATAAATACAATTTTTAGCAAATAAAAATGCTTAATAAACATAAAAATTATATTTTATGAGAATATTTTATCCTTTTTTTATTTTTCCGCTTTTAAAAAATTAGAAAAACTAATTCATGGAAATAAAATTTAGCTAAGTTATTATTTTAATTTAAAAGATATTTGAAAAGTTAAAATAATGATAAAATTCAAATTAAAGCTTTATAAATTTATTTTTATTAAATGTTCAAATTGTATATCATTTTTTCTACAAAATAATTACTCTGTATTAGATTATATTTTATAATTTATTTTTATTTAAACTCCTACTAGAAAAATGAGAAAAATTGCAAGTAAATAAAGCCAAAAATTATGTTTAAATTATTAAAAGTAAACAATAATAATAAATTTATTTAATTTTTAGTTTATTTGATAAAAATGAAAAAAAATTAATTTAAACTTCATATTAATAGTTTTTTGACATTAATTGAATTTTTAAAATATTAAAATAATTTAATTTATTACAATAAAATAAATTATCTAAATGCTTTTTCAAATTAAAAAATCAATCATAATTTTGAGACTAAAAATAAGCTTGATTCAAATAATTTTTTTTTGTTGTAAGCTCTTTTTTTGATTGATAAAAATAAATCAATTATTTTAATTTGAATATTTAAAATTTATAAAAAGAATTCAGATATTAAAAATCTGAATTTTGTTTTTCTTATTAGTCTTATGTAAAATCTTAACTTAAATATTTGCCTTCATCTTGAAGTTTTTTATGCTTTAATATAATTATCAAGGTTAATTAATTATATAAATTTAAAATTTATAAAATATTATTCGAAAACTAAACAAAAATTAATCAAAATAACAAGATGTTTTATCAAAATAATTTTGGTTAATTTTTAATTACAAATTTTCTTATTCAAATATAGCTATTTATAAACATACATTAATAAAAAAAGTCTAAATATTTTATCTAAAATATTTTATTTTAATAATTTATTCATTCCAAGCTAACTTTTGATAACTATTGAGTATTAAAGTGAAAAAAATATTTATTTAAGCACAGTAATTTTAATTTTTACTAACTTAAATCTTATCAATATTTTTTCAAATTAAATGAGTTTATTTTCTATAAATTTATTATTATATATAATTTAAAAAATAGTAAAAATATAAAAATTATTTAAAGTTTTTGTTAAATGCTACTGTAATTTTATTTATATCAAAATTACATCATTAAGTAGCAAAAATATTAATTTTTAACATTTAGTCAAAATAAATTTAATTTTTCGAAATAGCTATTTGAAATGCCAACTTTAAAATCAATGAAAAAATGTATTTAATGAAATGTTTATAAAAGGAAATTAATTGTAAAATAAAAGTTTACTAAAATAAATTTATTGTGAGATTCATTTAGATATATATATTTATATTTTGAAAAAGAAGCTCAATTTAGTTTAAGAGATTTAATTAATAATAATTATCATTATTTAATAGGTAGTATTATAATTATTAATTAATGCTCATAATTTTTAATTTTGAAGTTGATTAATTTTTAATTCAAATAAAAGAGACTTTATTATTTTTAAGCAATCTCTTTTAGTAGTAGTTTTATAGGTTATTAATAAATATGTTAATATTGATTACATTTTTAACTCAAAGAAATTAAGAAGGAGAAGCTTATTGTTTTAATATTATAAATTTTTAACAAATATTATCTGTTTAGTTATTTCTTTTCTTCATTAATTCTCATTTAATTTATCATTTTGTTAGAATTTTATTTAAAATTATTAAAACTCAATCATTCATTTATAGCTATAAAGTCTTATAGGTATCTTGCATTGTATTGAGAAGGTTATTTACACTTAGAAATTTTTTAAGTTATTTTTTAGCGACAATAAGGGCATTTTAATCCTATTGAGTTAACACTATTTCTAATGCATGTAGCATGAAAAGTATGATTGCAATTTAGCGAAATAATTCTTTTATCATTTACTGATTTTTATTTATCAAACTCTTCATAGCAAATAGCACATTCTTTACCTTCATCTTAAGACTGCGCATCTCTAGAGCAGACAGTGGTTTTAATAGTGTCTTATCTTTCATCATCAATTTTTATGATTCTAAAATAGTATTGTCCATTTAAGTAGAAGCTATCTTCTTCTTCCTCTTCAATAAGACTTGATAAATTGCGATCTTGCTAGTCTTATTAATATTATCTTATTTAGCTATCATAAAAAATACTGTACATTCTATGTCCATTCTCGTTTTAATTTTCGTTTATTATGTTTTGAAAATCAGCATTGTTGATTACAATAACATTTCTTACGAAATTGCGATTCATATTTTAGCTAAATTAATTATTACTGTTAGCAAAGTGGTTGCTACTGTTCACATTGCTGCCGTGACTGCTTTAATCTTAGATTGGCTGTAAATCTATTTAATTATTTCTACTATCTTAATTAGGGCCTTATAAATTGCTTCTATATAGTACATTGTTATCTATTTAAAGAATGATAGATGGATGGTTGCTAGATTGCAAATATCTTTTTTAGGCTATATATAGTAAAACTAAATATAATACATTTACAGCTAAAGAAATTGAATATTCTATGAAAGCTATAGAGATTAGAGTTTGATTTCCTCCGAAGCCCATTATTAACTAAAATTCCTCAAAAGGTTGCTAAAATATATAATCCAAACAAATAAATGTATAAATTAATGTAGTTAATGGTCCAATCAGCAATCCAGTTAAAAGAAAAGAAAGTTTCAAGCGCTTTTCAATGGATACTTCAGATATAGGCAGAATCATTAAAAGCCCTTGGTAGATGAATAAAGTTCCAAATGCTATTCCAAAGCCAAAAAAGATCCAAAGTAGACTGAAACTTACCAAAGATGTAAGAAGCGTTACAAAAAAGAATACATTCCTTTTAATGTATTAAATCATTTTTTTTTTTTCGCTCTACCAATTAAACAAACCAACTTTCTTTTATATTTTATTGCTTTCCTTTTTATCTAAGACTTCACTTTTTAAAATATTTAAAAAAAAATTTTTTTAGTTATTATCTCTAGTTTTAAAAACTAATCTTTTAAGCTTTTTCTTCAAGATTTCTGCAAAATTTTAAACGCTAAATCTTCTTTTCTAATAATTAAATTACTTGGTTATCATTTTAAAAAATTTTTGATAAATCCATCAAAAAATTTTAAAGAAATAATAAGACAGACAAAAAACTATTGTTATTAATAAACAATCTTCACAGTATTTTTTACCTTTAATTATTCGATGTATTTTTAGAGAATTGAGATCAATTTTTTTCATTTAATTTATTTAAAACAAATTCAGCAGACTTCTGTAGTTTATACCATCTTCATTAAAATTTACTTAATAAATTTATTATTTTACTCAGCTTCCAATTAATTTTTCTAAAATATTGCTTCTTGCTATTTTTAAGACAAAAATTAATGCTTAAAACTTTAAACAATTTTTAAAAATAAAAGTTTATCTAAAAATAATTCATTAAATTCTTAAATATGTGTATTGTTTTAAGATTTTAATGAATAAAAATATTTTTTAACTTAAATGACTTTAATTTTTAATTGAGAAAAATTAATTAATTATTTACAATTTTATTAATCTGTTTATATTTTAATAACAAATAAATAAAAAACATTCTAACATCCTATTATGGTATTTTATTTAAAGGATAAAAATTTAGGATATTTTTTAAAATCTAGCAATTATTACTAGAAAAATTCTTTATTTAATATAAAAGACATAAAAAATTGTAAATCTAATACGAAAATGCTAGATTCAATATGAGTATTTTTTTCATAAAGTAATATATTAACAGATTAATTTTATTAAGTTAGAAATATTTACTAAAATTATACCTTGATAATATTATTTATAATTTATGGTTAAAACAGATTTTGGAGTTTTTGTTTTTATATATTGGCAATAAGATATAAAAATAATTGTGGTTTTCCATTTAATTTATGAATAAATAGTCCTAAAAATTGGATTTATGAGTTTATATAAAATTAATAAATATCGAAGGATTCAGTCAATATTTTTGAATGGAGCTTTCAAATTCCATCAATTTTTCACTATTAAAACAATTAAAGAAGAAAAATATTAGCTTTATAAACAATAAAGTATTATTAATTCGTTTATAAATCACAGTAATTATTTCAATTTAAAATGAAGCAAAATATTTAAAATTAGAGTCAAAGTCATTTAATTATGGCTTAAGTATCAAGGATTGTGCTCTCAATTCTTTAGTTGATTTCCTGCATTATTTATTTGATATATATAGATATTTAAATTTAGAGTATTTCAGCTATCTTAATATTGAGCATATGTTTTCCACACTTTTTGTATTTCTGCTATTGGATGAGAATCATTTATAAGGTTGAAATGAAAAATAAACAAATAGAAATAAGAAGATCTACTCATCCTAAATTTAAAAAAATTGGTTTATTAGTTTCATGGATACCTTTATGTATCCTAATGAGCATCCTTCAGAAGCTCAATTTATCAGGCTATGCTATTTTTCATTACATTTACAGTAAATTTGGAATAATGCTTACCTCTGATTTAATTGAGCTTATGACTATAGATGCAGATCAGCGTAACGCAATAGGAATGATAACTAGAGAAAAAACAGTCTCAAAGCAAAACACATACATTGAAATAAAATAAAATAATAATAATATAAATCATGAAATAGTGCCTTTATAATAATAGTAGTTAAGTTTGAGTGGAGTAAATAATCATCCCAACTTTAATGAAATATCTCCACAAAAAAATCTAGAAATTCTTATTAACAACAACACCAAAGACAATGTTGTTAGCAATAACGATGCTATTATTACCAATAATAATGTAAACAATAGCAGAGTTATAAATCCTATTTAAATATAGCTCTAGCAAAGTAATAGCCAATCAAAGTAGCAAAATAGGAGTCAAAATATTAGAAAGAAAATAATTTAAACCTAAACAAGAGAATTAGATGAAGATTTAAGTCCAATATAGATAAATAATAATAATAACCATTACTTGAATGTGTACAACACTCCCATAAAAAGAAGAGCTTTCTAGTTAGATGTCGATAGTCCTATCAAAAACAAAAGCAGATAGTTTGGAGTAAATAAATATTTTCCTTATTTTGAAAAAACTAAGAGAATTTTTTAGATGTATACAGAATGTATTAAAAGAACATATAAAAAACTAGAAAATTAAAAATAAATTTTATATTCTTTATTTATTTTTTAAATTTAATCAATAATTTTAATTTGCTAAATGCATTTATTTTTATATATAAATAGATAAGAAGAAAGACTTAAAGAGGTTCAGTAAATAGCAATATAGATCCTACAATGACTACATTTGGAAATTACAACAGTAGAGAAATTCATTTAGATGGAGATAATAATATAAATGGTGGTAAGTAATTTTTAAATTAATTTACTAGAAGCTCAACTATGATTGGTTCTCTTTACAATGGATATGATGAACATGCTTTAAGCCTAACTGCTAATTAAAAATTTTAGACAAACCGGTTCTTATTTGAGAGATATTATCAGTTAATAACTACACATTCTAACTTCATTGAGTTCCTTTTTAGTGTCATACCTTGTATAATAGGTTAAATAGTAAATAACGAAATTGGAATTGATACTTAGAAAGAATAGGTTGTTGGATACATTTGCTTAACTATTTCTGCAATCAACTTCATTGCCAATATAATTTACTTATATGCCTTTTTGTTTGAGGAAGAGTTACTTCAGTACTTCTTCTCATCTATAAACTAAATTGAAAAGAAGAGAGAATAACTTTTTAATGTTGCCAAAGCTAAACAGTGTAAAATAAACGAATAAAATTAACGATTCAATAATATCTCATAAAATATGATGCTTTCAGTAATCGGAGTTTTTCCTTTCCCTGAAAGAATAGAATTGAACACAATAGAGAAAGTTCATCAACTCTCTAATTGTAATGAAAATAGTTTAATCGATATTAAAAGTATACATGTAAACATTCCTGGAAAAAACCTAACTTTCGAAGAAATTTTGTAGGACTTTTAGTATATCTTCTCAAATGCTATAAATACCACTTAAGTCAAGCTTTCATTATCGTAATTTAGTTAAAAAAGACATAAATATTTTTAATAATGTATTTATATTTTTAATAGATGCAATAGAATCAAAGACGATACAATAAATAATATGGTTAAAATAATATTATCAAAAATAGGACATTAACTTAAAAGTTTTGAACTTCTTTATGAGTAATTTAATGATTTAGTAACTCAGCTTTTAATTTTAATTAATATTTATATAGTGAAAATCAAACCACTACAAAAGGAGAGTTTGAGCTTAGAGAATAAATAGCTTCATGGGATTGTAGGACTAATGGTATTTCTTAGAAGAGAATTGTTGGAGACTAATACATCAGCTATAGACCAGAAAAGTATAAAAAATAATTATCATCAATAAAAATATTAATCATTTTATTTAACAGGAATACTGATTAATTGATAATTCAAAAAGATCTAGAATACATTTTCGAATGCTAAATAAATAAGAATTTTATTTAAATAGCAGAATTCCATTTCAAGTAAATTAAATAAATAAATTCAAATATATGAAAAATAACTATTTTATTTTTAGATAAATTGAAATCACTGAAGAAATACTTGACTTAATACAGAATTTTATTTAAGAAACAATAAGTTTAAATTGGCTAGAGCTCCACTTAAAGTAAATAAACCTATTTTAAAAATTAAAATATTGTTTAAAACAAATATGAGAAACAAATAAAATAATAAATAAGTTAATTAGTTAATAATTTAAAAATTATTTAAATAAGTGTTTGATGATTTAATTTTAAAAATTTTTTAGACAATACTTTAATATTTGATCAAAACATTCTTAAATTATTTTTTATTAAATAATAAGCCCTAGCTTTTAGAATTAGTTGAGCATAGATAGCATTTTGTCTTCTATACAACACCATTCTTACATTTAAACCTGCTTTTTGACTACTGAAATTTTAAATTACGGAATTATGAAGAAAAAGGAAATATTAAATTTAGTAAAACTTGAACTGATGAATGATCTAAAATCTCTATAAATTGAGCATTAAATGAATGCACTAAATTATGATCTAATTGAAAGTTTGTTCAAATAGAAAGTTTCCTTCAAAGCACCACTTTCAAAATTCACCCTTAGTAAATAGGATATTTAAACATTCTGTAGTATACTTTCCTAATTTTAAAATATAGACCTGTTAGAATTCCATATAAAGTAATTAATTTATTCTTTAATTTTAAAAATAATTACTTTTTAAAATTTAGAAACAGTTAAGTAGATGATGAAAATTTACAGCAAATATTTAAATCTATAACTAATCCTCATTTGCTAAACATAGCAGTCATCAAGTTAAAGTAAATTATTTAAATTATATTTTTATATTTTTCAAAATATTGATTTAAATATTAGGTAAAACAGAATTTCAATGGATAATCAAACAATAGAAACGCTCGTTTAATAATTAAAAAGTTGTGAAAAAATTTACATTGATTTATGGTAAAATATAAAATTTGAAATTAATTTTTAACTTATAAATTAAAAATTATATTTAGCAAAAACCAAATAAATCAAACAAACTCAGAACTATTTGTACAAGCATTCGAACAATTTTAAAAATTAACTCATATCACTATCAGATTAAAGTAAATTATTTTTAAAATCAATATTTATTTCTTAAATTTATTGTTTAAAATTATTTAAACAGAGACAATCCTATAACTTCGTAATCAGCGATTCAACAAAGTTTTAACAAATATATTTCTAATTGTCCTCATATTTAAAAGAAAATTTTATAATTTGAAAAACAAAACAGGAGTACTAAAATAAATTTAATGATTGATGTAAATAAAAGCCAATCCTATGAATGAAATAAATATATCCAAATATTCCATTTACAAAATTTAAATGTTAATAAACAATAATTACTTAGTTTACTAAAAGTTACTGATTTAATTTGTATTAATTTATAATATATTTAATGATTGATTCATTTATTAAATTATTTAGCTTTCATGCATCGTTTATATCATCTAGAAATAAAATAAATTTATCTTGTTATTTTTAAAAATGAAAATAAACAAGCACAAACAAGAATTAATAATTTGAAACTAATAAACTCAACAAAATATTATTTTAATATATTTATTATTTTTTTTTCATTCATTTTTGATAAAAATGGGTTTTTGCATATGATTCAGAATTGTTATTTTATTTGCAGTTAAATAATTCTTTTTAATATCAAACCTTTTAATTGGTACTTTTTAAACTTAATTATCGTCAAAACATAATTACTAGCCAATAGAGTCTACTTATTAATCTGGTTCATTTTATTTGTTTTATTATGGCTTTACACATTTAAATAAACCTTTGTTTTATAATTATTAAGGGCTTTTGAAATTTGATAAAGTTTTAGAGTAAATTGATATATTCTTGAAAGAAGCTGTATTGTCTTTTAGATTTAGTTTATTTATCACGTTTTATTGTATATTATTATTATTATTATTATTATTAACAGCAATTTAATTTTAATTGTTATTATTTTTGAAGCCATTGCTGCTAAAAAGTTTTTCACTATGTATAGGGAAAAAGTTATGTGGAGAAGATTTTACAGTTTTTATAGAAGATTATTAAGAGTTTGGTTTTTTTAATTTTTACATTTAATTTAGATTATCACCTACTGATTTATTCAATTCTTCGTTTTATTAGCTTTCTATCTACTGATTTCTTAATCTACTAGTTCCTCTTGATTAGCTTTCTATATTTAAATTACCTCTTTATGATTTATCTTACAAAAGAAAATATTTGGAAGTCTTTATGAGTTGGTTTTGTTAATTATTTGAAGTGAAGTTCATTGAAGAATTAACTCTCTTTAAATTTCTTTTTTGGTCTAAAGCAAGACCCAACTATGGCAATAAATTTTGTGAATAATTATTATTGTTATTAATGTTTTACTGAAATTGCTATTTGGATAAAATATCTTATATTAAATGCAATTTTGTGTCTTTTCCTTGGTTTAATTAAACTTTTTTAACCTCTTAAGCAGTTGTTGATAGACTTTAAACCAATGAATCTTTATTATAAATAGATCTTTAGCTAAAATTAAATTCATGACCTGAATTTTTTCTTGAAATAATTGGAGATTAGACAACAACTTCAGGCTCTAGTCCATGTGAGTTTTAGAAAGTAGCCCTGTCTTCCATAGATGATAATTTTGAATAGATAGAGCATATTTATGAGCCTCTTTTTTAATGATGAATTTATTTTCTTGTTCCAGTTTCGATTTCTAATTAAGTAATTTTATTTTTATTTTAGTTAACTCTCTATCCCCTTTAATAAAAGTCATCGTTGTACATGCAAACTTCCTTTGTAATTTTATACTGTTCATGTGCACTTATTTTCTTTTAGTGTTTTGTTCCCTTTTTAAGCAATTCTTTATTGATCTTAATGTCCTTTTTCAATTTTTTTAAGATTTCGAAACCTGAAAAAAATTCTTCCTTCAATTCTTACAGTTATTCTTTTTGCAAGTTTTCTTGTAATATAGTATCCTATTGCATATTTTAAACTATTTATCCAGCAATCCTTTGCTTTTTCGCTTAATCTTACATGGCAAAATCATTCATTTACTACTCAAATATGCTTATAGTTCTATTCGATTGTAGTTGACTATTTAATTAACTTCTGTTTGTAATTAAGCCATTATTTGTTTAAATGTTGTTATTATTTTGATTTTATACACTTCTACTTGTAATTTAATCACTTGCTGTATACATCTTATTTACAATTTTATCATCTTGATTCTATGTGTCTTTTATTTAATCTAGATTTCTTAATTATTGATCTATTAAATTAGCTGATGACTTTGACTTAACTCCTGATTGAACTCTATATTGCTAAAGCCTTTCAGTATTTAGTGTAGGTTAATCTTATCTCTAACTTTTTTAATCCTAATTTTGATATCTTGCACTTAAGTATCCAGCATTCTCTCCTTAAATGTTATTTTGCTATTTATCTCTTACGGGAGTAAAAAACTATTTACTACTTTCAGAATGCTAGCTTGTCTTGCTCAAATTTTATATTTGATTGTAAAGCTAAACTTTTTATAAATTTTTTATCAGTTCATATTTAGTGTCTTTTATTGTGGTAGGAGATTTTTGATGATGAGTTTAAAAAGAAGATTTAACCATAAGTAATCTATCTGAAGTGTTACCTTCCGTTTCATTTTCATCATTCAATTTTGGAATAAATTGCTACTTGTGAAAGTAGTAATTTTATTCTGGTGAGTTGCTATTAACATTTTCTCCATCATTTTACTAATTATAGGGAACCCCACATATAATAGCATCCATTTTTTACTGTTCTATTTGCAAGTGATTCACACTTCTTTTATTTTTTTTCTTTGGAGAAGTTAATTTTGTCAAATTTTTATCATAGTTTCTCGTTCTTTTACATTCTTCTATCTATTGGTTCCTATACTCTTCTTTGGTTTTTATCCTTTCAGCATATTTTTCATAAAACTATTTCATTTCTTCCAACTGCTTGATAAATTAATTCTTCTCACAATAATATAATGTTGATTATTAAGTAACAATAGCTGTAAATTTACGATTCCTATTAAAATAAATATCACAATCACCAAAGTACTCTCTAGAACTCAGCTTAGCAACACGAATAACTATTTTAGTAGACTCTTATTCGTTTTAAGTAATCTCTATTTCTTTCTATAATTCTATTTCTCCTTTTTTTACCAGATAAACATATTTAGTTGCATCGCCCTCTTTAAAAACGATTTCTCCATTTTAATATTTCCTTTTATGAAAGTAATATGATATTTTAGACATTTTCTCACCTGAGAGCATGTTTTGAATTAATGTTGATTCAATAAATTCTCTTTTCTTAACTAAGGATGCTTTCTCCTTTTTCATAAGAATCTGCTAATAATTTTAAGAAGAAAGATATCCGAAATAACAGTCTTCTAAACAGATGATTGTGGCTGCTCTATTTAAGTATAAATATTATAAAAAAGTTTGCTATAATTTATGAAATTTATTAATAAAAGTATAATAATTATAAACTGTTAATTGAAATTGATGCAATTTTATAAATTTGAATTTAAAAAAATAAAATAATAAAAATTTATGATTTAATTTATTTAATTGAATTGACGTAAATAGTAAATTATACCTAGGTTTTTTATTGAGGATACCTAATTCTCCGAAAACTAATCCATCTCCTGATGTAAATGCATGATTGTACTTAAATGTGTTATTAACAAAAAAATGAGCTCCGTTTTCAAGTTTTTCCAAATCAAGCCCTTTTATTTGCTATTCAATTACCTTCTTTTGCTCTTAATACATTTTGTAAGTACTTGAACTACTGCTATTTGTAACAAAAGCATCAATAGCTCCTTTCAATACACTTCTCCTTCTTCCAACTTTATGAGAAATATTTTATAACTTTTGAGCGAGTTGAACATTTTCTACTTAAGGAGCTAAATTTATATTCAATTAGCTAGGTCTTCTAATTTCTTTCATATCTTTATCTAGCTTTGCTATATATAATTAATTAGAATTATACATGGGGTCAGATGATTCATCTTAAACCATTTTATTTATCAACAAATCTTTGAACTTCTCCACAGGTTATCGAAATTCTTTCTCTTCAAATTTTTCTTAATCATGGTGGTTATAAATATCATTTTAATTCTTTTATAAAACAGAATATGAAGAATCTTCTTAAAGAATACTAACTTAATATGATTAAATTTATTAATCTTTTTTAAAATTTTAGTTTTAATAATTATTTATTTCATAGTAACTTTAAGCTGGTAATATAGGTTAATATTTTTTTTTAATTTATTGGTTTTGCATCGTAAAATTATTAGTATTTGCTTCAATTAAATTAGGATCTATTTAACCTCTATCTGAATTCTATCCTCTAGCAGAGTTTTAAGGGATGCTGTATACTCTTTAAACATTTTATTCTATTGAATTATTCACTTCAAATTATACTTATTTTCTGTCAATATTTACACTGTTATTCAAATTGCTGCTTCTTTATGTATTTAAAATTGATTATTTTTAATCTTAATTATTCACTTATATATTTCTATATGATGATTAGCTTAAGTCCATAAAACTATTCTTTGCCTTTGATGTATCTATTTTTTAACTTGATCTTTTTTAAAAATTCATTAAAATATTAAGATATATTTAAATATTTGCATTTAAAATAGCAAAATAAAATTAGATTATTTGAATTTTTCAATAGAAAAATTAAGTGATTTTGAAATAATCAATAAATTATTTTAATTTATTACCTTTAAGCATGCATCTGTTTAAACATAATCTTCTTCTCTGAGTTTTATGAACGGATAATTTACATTGCTTTATCTAATTCTTTTTCAATATTAACTTAACCAAGCTCTACTTTAGATTTTTAACGTAATTACTCTTTACTTTAGGTATTTTAAATTACTATCGAATTATTATTTAATTCAGTCAAAGATTCTTATGAATCATCTTCACTTTCTAGATTCTCTCCCTCCTCAGCTAGAGAATTGAGAGTGAAATCAATTCTTGATTTTGTAAAATTTTATTGGGTAGGAATTTTTTGAAGAATGTTTGCTTTGACTTTAACAATTAAAACGAAATACAAAATATTGCAAAGCCTTTTGTAAGCTCTGTGCAGTGATCGATACAAAAGTCTTTTATGGATCGTATAAATAAGTTATTAAGTTGATTTAAGCTCTTTTGCCACTTAATCTTCTTTATGGATTTCTTCGGGTTTTTTTGGTATAAGAATTGAGACTTTTCCCTTTAATGTAATATAAAAGCGATCAGGAAAGTCTCCATAAAAAAAAACTATTCCTCCTTTAGGTATATATTGGTACTACATTGCTTTGCATAAGCTTTAAAAAAGCAAAACCTTTGATTCTATTTTGTTAAAGAAAGGTATTTGTTTAGTTGCTCTCATTATATTTTGAATATCTTCTCCATTTCTTTACTCTTTTGTTTTGTTCATTAAAATTCCTAAAGCTTAGTTCATATAAGGATCAGCTGTTATATTAGGAATTCTCTTTCTTATAGGTATCTAATTACAATTCTATGTACTTTCACTTTAGCTTCCAACAATAGGATCAATTACACTAGAAAAGTATATTTCTTTAGTAGTTTTTTTCAATTTATTTTACTCTTAGTCAAACTAATCTTCTAAACTTCCATTTAAAGATATACTCTATTTTTTTAGTGTGTTTATTGAGGTATTATTTACAGAAAGCAATTTTGAATTTTCCATCATTGAACTATTTCTGCTCTAAGTTATCTTACCAATTCCAAGCTTAATTTATGCATTTCTATTTGACATATTTGATTTTATATCAATATTATTAATTTTTATGCTTTCATTTTATCTTTACTTGTTCTAAAATAATTTTTGTCTCTTAATATTTTAAACTAAATTTTTTTTTGTTTCTTCCAATCCTATTTCAGCCAATTTCTACTTAACCTAGTTTCTTTTCTACTCAATATACTAGTCTTTTCTAAGCAAGAATTAGTTTAAATTTAAAGCTTTTGGGGAGATATCTTGATTTCCATCATTGCTATCTTAAACCGAATTATTTTTACTATATTTTTCACTTACTACTTATTGTTGTTAAGTTAATTAGCGAATAATTTGCTCTTTTATATTATGTCTTTTTTATTCAATTATTTAATCTTTTAGCAAATTGCAGCCAGATTTTTTTACATCCAAAGGACTCTGAGTCTATGAACCAGAAATATCATTTTCAAAATTTGAATGAATTTAACTGTTCTATAACTCATTCTTTGAGATTAAGTCATTTGATGGGTATTTCAACAGCCTTTTCTTTAAGTCATCATTTTTACTGAGAGTATTGCTTAATGGAGATTTATTTTAGCTACTATCAGATTTTTGTCTTAGATTCTTTTGTATTTACTAAGATTTCGAATGATCTAGAGATAATCCACTTATGTCTATCTTAGGAATAATTAACTTTTATATACTTTCAACCTATTTTGTTTAAACATTTTAAATTTGCTAAGTAGTTTCCATTGAAATTGATTTGCATCAAATTCAACTGTATACAAAATTTATCACTAGATAAAGATTAAAAGCTAGTCAAGGGCGTGTATTTTATCAATTATTGTTATTAAAATTGCTAATTCAATGAAAAAATTAATGAAAATATAAAAAATGCATCAAATTATTTTAATTATGAACTAATTAATTAATTGCATTTACTATTACCACTAACATAAATATTTAATAAATTCATATGGAATTACATCGATATTATTAATTATCAAAAGAGTTTTGTTTCATTTGTTAGATTTAATAAACATAAATTACTAAATTAATGAATGAGATATGTTATTGAATCATTTTTAATAGATCATTGATTTATTTATAATTGCTTTTTAATTTTTCTATATATCAACCTTCATAATAAATGTTATTTAAAATTATTTATATTGTTAATCTAATAAGTTAAAAAAAAATACAATATCTCTACTATAATTTGAAATTATTTTCCTCAAAAAAAGTAATTTAGTATTATTAGAATATTAATTTAATTTTAATGAAGCTATTTTTATTAAATTTCTACCAACTTTTTTTGGATAGACTAATTATATTTGTGTAATATAAAATAATAAAACAGTTTTTATTTATATAAATTAAAGAGAAAAAATTAATTAGACATTTTAATTTATAATTTTGTTATATTTTCTCATTGTTGTAACTTTGTAAAAATAATCATTATTTAAAAGTAAGGTTTACATTTACAAATAATTTATTTTGAAACTATTTTTCAATACATAAATTTGTATATTAACTAACAATTATTCTTAATTTGAATCTAGAATTTATATAATAACAAACTTCATTTAATTTTTGATATATATATTATTACTAACAATATTAAACACTTTAATATGATCAAGTATTGGCGAATTAAAATTTTCAACATATTTAAAAATAATAATGTTTATTATATTATGATTTATTTATAAATAAACTAGTAGTATGTAATTTTTTATATGTAATTAACAAAAAAAAAATATTTTAAATAAATTAAATATGGTATCGTTTTTAAATAATTTCTGTTAGAGGATTTATTTATAGAAAAAAAGGTTAAGTTATTTGAATATGAGAGATATTATTTATTCAGATTTAAATTACTTTAGGAATATAATAATTAATAAGCTTAATTTTGTTTATATTAAATTGGTGACTCAACATTATATTTATTATTTATTTTAAAGGTTCTTCTTCCTAATAATAACGACATGAAGAATAACAAAAATGTACTTTATCATTTTAAATAAATTTCAATAAATCATCAAAATCAAATAACCATTCAAAGAAAACAAGGAAAGTAGAGTATTTGTTTGTTTGTTAAGCTTTTTACCTAACAACCAAAAATTAAATAAATAAGTCACTTAATTAATTTGAAGATATATCAAATCTAAATAAGAAAACATAAATAACAAAAACAAAAAAATTTGATAATTAAAAAATAACTTTTAAACACAAAATTCACCTAATAAATTAAATAGAGTCAATCAAATAACAAATATTAGGTAAATTCAATAAGCTTTTTCAATTTCATATTTGAGAGAGAAATAGTAATTCTAAAAAGGTTAAGAATAAAATAATCTTCTAAGATTCCACATAGGGAAAGAATAGGATCAAGCTAACAATATTGAACTATAAAGCTGGAAGGTGAAATAACATCGCATATTTGCATATAATTTCATTTAAATAAAGTAGGAATAACTTTCATATTAATTTGAAGAATGAGTATTAATTCTAACAGTAATAAATAGTATACAAAATTTTCCAAAGCAGATGGAGGATATTATGATATTTATAGATAGATTAATAAAAATTTATACGAAAAATATTCTTCAAGCTAAAATTATTACTATACTCGTGAAGTCAACGAAATTCTTTTCAGATAGGAAAATACCAGAAGCTGGATTCGCTACAAAGATTTTTGTCAGTTTGATGATGATACAGAATAATATTTCCAAGAGTTCTACAAAATTGTGCTTTACGATAAAAAAATAACCTATCTAACAGAATATTATAAATTCCACAATGACATTCCTCGCATGTTTATGGAACCCCTTTGTCACATTATGAATTACTATCACGATAAGTAGCGTAAAATAAAATATGTAAAAATTACACGTATGCTGCAAATGCAACAACAACAATAGTAGTAGAAAAATTAATAAAATTTAAATTAGCAGTAATTGGAAAATGGTTGTGCTGAAGATAAGGTGTAAACTTGAATCGCAACAAATGGTCCTGAATCTGGACAACCAAACCCTACTTACAATAATCCTACAGATGCATAAAATCAAAAGAAAGGCAACGAGAACATTGTTTTATAAACTGAAGTTTCTATGGAAAGGTTGCTTGCACCCTTAGATAGCTTTTTAATGAATTACTCAATCAATAAACAGATAGAAGAGCAAAAGCTAATATCTACATAGAATAAATAAATTAATTAAAAGAGCCAATAATTTATTTCGAGTAATCCAAAAAGTTAGCATGCAATTAATTAAAGTTGCAGAACTATTAATGACTTAAATATTAAATTAGGTTAAATTATAAATTAATAAAATTCGCAAATGCTTAACAGCAGTATTTGCACTATTTCAAGCTTAAACACTAACCATGGAGAACACAACAGTTTTGGAAATTTAAGCAAATTTTTGCAGTTTTGCAATCAAAAACCTGTCTAAAATAATAAAAGAAAAGTATCAGCCAAGCAATAAGACAATTAAACTTACTAGCTTTAGTCTATTTAAGTTAGTCTTCCTGCATAGAGCTAGAATTTGTAAATGAACCAGCCTCATCAGCCAAAAAATTTTTAAGGTGGAATATTAGAAAATCTATAAGAAAAAGCAAAAAATACTTTACCAACAAAATAAATATCTTCTAAATAATTAAATAATTCAACAAATTAAAATACATAGAATTTAGCTTAATTAAATACTTAAAATGTTATTTAGCAAAATATTTAAAATTTTTCTAACTCCAATTAATCAAAAAATAATAGCACAGCCTAGACTAAAAGCAATCAAATAAGTAGTGTAAATTAATTATAAAATAACTAATAAAATATTTAAAACCGTCCTCCTAGTCATACATTTCATAACGCACCAAATACAAGTGAACTGGATACTAAATCAAAAGTAATACAGTAAAAAATACAAGAATAAATTAATTTAAAGAAAGATATCCTCATCAATAAATTGATTACATCACAAAAGAATTATTCAAAGACACCTGAATAATAACATCTAATTAATAACCAGCCCGTTTCTTAGCTATTGCTAGACTAAGATTAACTTAATATCGGTAGTTCAACTGACAGAAATCTTTAGCATGGTAGTCAGTCACAAAAATTGACACTAGAACTTAAAAGAAATAAATCACAGCAGCTTGAATAAATGAAAAAGCTTAATTCATCTAAAACCAATTCTATATCAAAGTAATAAGAAAAGGAGCTCCTAAAAAAATTATTTGTGAGTAAATAAAAGCAATCTAATATTTTTTAGAGCTAAAACAACGATATCTTAAATACTTTTAATGGCTAACTCAGTCCAACTCACTCTCAACCTTTATTCCAAAATTAGTCTCCCAATATAATTTTAAATAATTCACATAATGATATAAATTAATAATTACAATAAAATAAAAATTAAAAGACAGAAGCTGCTTTTAAACACCCTAATATTCCTAAATTAAATTTGGCTTCTACTGTTTTATTGTAGTAAGAATAAATTCCAAATAAATTAATTACATAAAATTCACAGCTTCATGGAAAACTAACTCCCCAAAACTAAACTAAGTTGCAGGGTAAGAGGTCAGATTCAGTATAACAAAGCGGCACATACGGGTAGCAACAGCTTCATAATAATAACAACAATCCTCTTTATACTACACGAAATAATAAGTAAGAAGATATCAAAATACAGCAGTATTCTCCTTCTTAAAAACCTCAATATGCTCGCAGCACCTCTCCTTAAAATAAATTTGAAAACCGCATCATAAATAATTATTAAAAAAAGATTTATGATAATCCCTCCCTTCAAATAATGAATAGCGAAAGACTTCATGCTAGTCGCAACTAATCTAAAAATGTTTCTCCATAGTGCTCACCTGTAGGTTCCCACTCCTAGCTACTAGCTAATCCTATTTTACAAAAGCAGCTTATTTATTCATAAGAATTAAATATAGCAAAAACATAGGCGACAAAATCTCATGAGGGTACTGAAGAATTAAAAAATTTGTATTTCTAATTATAAAAAAAGCAACAGCAATTAGGTTTATGTGGTTTAGATTCAAATAAAGAAAATTCTAAAATTCACAAAGCCATCATGAACAGCCGAGATATAATTGATTCTACTGGATAGTAATCTCCTTAAGCTTTTAATGGCCCCACAACATACATATTGAAAGGAAGGCACAAATCTTACCATAACCATCTTACTTATTCTAATCAGTAAGTCAGTGGAAACTAATTAATACAATCTTCATAATTGAATTCAGGTTCTCCTTCTTCTATAAATTGTAAAGCATCACCATACATAAAATCTGTTGGAATATCGCATGGTATTTAGAATAATAATTGCACTTCATCATCAAACGGGTTGGGTAAAAACTCTACAGGTATCACTGGTAACGGAACTGGAGTTTCTAAAATAGCTTCGCTATCTAACAGAACTTCTTTTATGCCAAATAGCAGAGATAATTCTAATCTTAAAATGAGTCATAACGAATCTTCAAGAAATAATAATGATTTACAACCAAATAATTCAGCTTTGCTTAATATCGTAAATGAAAACCAATAGAATAATAATAAATAAAATGAAGGTTTAATTTCAACTTTGCTATCTAATAACTTGGCTGAAGATAGAACCATTCCTAAGAAGCTGAACTTAAATTTAACACTTCTCCAATAAAGAAATAGCTGCAGTAACGACTAGCAGCCCTTGCTCAGTTCGAATAGATAACTAGAAGAAAAGAAAAGAGCTGATACAAGTCGTCTTAATAAGCAGAACTCCAGCAGCAATATAGGAGGAAGCACTAACAGCAACAGTAATAAAGTAGCTTAAAATAATACAAAGTAAGGTCAAAATGTAAATAAGAAAATGTAAAAATCCTACTCAACTCATCACTCAAGAAATAATTCAACAAAAGGTATTGATGGACTAGCCAAAAATTAATATTAATTTTAATAAAAATCTAACTAAAGTATCTTGTCTCGTGTTAATAGTAGCAAGTAATACACTTTATAAAATAACAATGCAGCAACTATTCTAATGACAGAATATAATGGTAAGAATCATTAAGAAAACATAATTTTGAATTCAAATATTATCCTTAATAACCTAATCAGCAACAGCAGTTAGGCTTACCCAAGTGGCCTCAGAGGGTCAACTGTTGTTTCAAATATAAACACAAATCCAAACTTCAACTATACTGGTGGTACATTAAATACTGATATAAATATAATTCAACCTACCGAGATTAATAATTATGAATACTTAATAAACAATTAAAAAAATAATAATCAAGCTCAAAATCCAGTAGCAGGATTTTTAACTGATAGGACTCATTATGCTTAAAATGTAAAAAAAAATAGTTAAGTACAATAACAAATATAAATGTATTAGCAATAATAATTAAAACAAAATACAAAAAGTCAAATTAATAAAATGTCTGAAATATAAACAAACTTTAATAAACCACATAAGAAAAGCTCTTAATATGAGTAATATTTGCAATAATAAATTAATGAACTTCGTAACAATACAAACAAGCTAAATTATAAATCTACTAATTAACTAACTACGTAAGGCCACACAAAAACTAAAAGTGATGTATCTGCTGTTTAATATACTGGTAACTTAAATACTAATGTTTTTTGGAATCAAACTAAGGGTACTATGAATACACGAATCACTGAAATGAATAACAGTGGAATAGGTTAATAAATTTTTCCTAAAAATAATTAATATTAAAACATATAATAATAATATTTACAAACTCAAAATGATTAACAACTTTACTTGCAACAAACAGATAGACCTGGATATAATTAAGTCTCATAATACTAGAAAGAAATGATCATTAATGAGTAAAAATAAAATGGAAGCAGTACAGCAAGAGTCTAAAGCGCCTAAGGACACAATAACAATAGTGGCAATAATATCAATAAAAAAATAAGTAACGCTAATGGTTCTAAAACTCCAACCGTTATATAAAATTACAGTAATAATAATCTTAACTAAAATTTCAACCCTTACACAAAAGTTTTAATGAATAATTATGCAGGTAATAATCAAATGATATAGCAATCAGATCTTCAGTAGTAAAATTTCTCAAAGAAATAATAATTTTCACCTGTAATTAGATATTAGCAGAGCCAAAATGGATATATTTAGGATTAAATTCTTACAAATATTTAGATGAGAGACTAAAAGTAATTTAATTTGAATTAAAATAGCTAAAAATAGACAAAATAACTATGATACAAATCCAAACTAAAATTACCATTGAATTAACTATAAATAAAACTATCTCAAATTAATTAAATAAAATTTTATAAAATGTAAAAAGTAGTAATAAAATAGATATATATCTATTGCTATTGCTTGATGAAAAAAATTCACATATTGTAGTTACTGTTTTTAAAATTTTAGTTAAAATTATTTTATTAAACACAGAATTTAAATTTTTTTTTTATAATGATGAGATCAATATATCTTACTCACTATTAATTAAAGTATTTTTTATATACATAATTAAGTATTTACTACAAAAATAATTTGATTCAAATAAATTAATTAATTCATTTCTTAAATTAATTTTTTTAAGGCATATTTTTTTAGTTAAAAGATAATTATTTTTTAATATTGAAATTTTAATAATTTAGATATTTAAAGTTAGATAGATATCAAGTATTTTTTAAATTATATAAGACCTAACTTTTTGTTAGCATCAGTTAAGACCCTTGATTTTCAAATACTTTTAAGCTCTTCAAGATCTTATTATCAAAAAAATATTTTTAAAATAAATAAAAAGATTTTAATTAAATAGTATCTCAACGAATGAGTATTTAAAGTATTTCAAAAAATTAAAAGAATTATTGAAAACAATAAATTAAAAAAATTAATCAATAAAATAGCTTAAAGTTGTAAAATTGATATTTTTAAAATAATTTACTTATTTATTAATATCAAAAAAACATTTAAATCATAGTTTATTTATAAAAATAATCAAAAAAATACGAAGAAGAAATTTAATTTTTTTTTCCTTCAAATGTAACAAAAATTAAATTATTCTCATACAAAAAATAAAAATTTAAATTAGGTACTAGAGTTTTTTAAATCTCATTTATTTTACCTATTAAATTGTTAGGATCTAATTTGTATATTTTTTAAGTCTATTGGTATCTGGTTTTATTTATTTATAACATCCATTTCTTACATTTGATTATTTTGCATATTATAAATATTTATAGGTTAATTATCTTTATTTTAACCTTCTTAGGAATTCGCAATATCATTAAAGATTTGTTCTAGTGAGGTTTAGCATATAGTGTATGAAGATACTTAAAGCTCATGCTGGTGTAAGTTCATAATTCCAAATAAATAGCCTAGAGTCTATTTAGAATCTACTCTCAATTTTATGTAATTATTAAGACTTTCAAGTACTTCATATCCTTCAAAGTTTATCTAAAAAAATTACTTTATATTCTTTTAGACATTAAAATTATAAATAGCTTCAACAATGAGGGAAAGCTCTATACCAGTTTATTTTTTAGAGTTCAATTAGTTATAAATAGAAGAAGCAAATCCATTTTCACTTATCTGATTATAAAAATAGCTACAATTTAAGAAGCTTAATGTTTATTGCAAATTTTATTTAAATATTAATGTATTAAGGTTAGCATGATTAACAAGTTATGATAACATTTATATCGTTGGTATATAGGTTTTCATAGACACTTCATACCCTTTGCCAAACTTACTCTTTAAATGCTGTATACTTCCCATGCATTTGAAATTTCCACCAACCACTATACCTACTTTTGTTCCTAATGCCTCAGCTTCCTCCATTGAATGAGTGGTCAAAATAATTGAAGTTTTCTTTCTATTTGTTGCTATATCGCTAATTACATTCCACATAAAGCGACGATTCCCTGGATCCATACCTGTTGAAGGTTCATCTAGAAATGCAATAGGAGGATTTCCAAGCATAGCAATAGCTACACTTAATTTTCTCTTGTTACCACCAGAATAGGTTCTTGAAACAACATTCTCGAACTTTCTAAGATTTAGCTCATCTAATTTTTCATTCACTGCTTATTCTCTCTCATTTGATGGAATACCTTTAATTGCAGCAAACAACTCTAAGTGTTCTCTTGCAGTTAAATTATCTAATAAAGCGTCAAATTGAGGGCAGTAGCCAATATATTATTGGGCTTCTGAAATTTGCTCAGGAATTTTACAACCTTAAATATAAGCTTCACCTGATCCGATAGTTTCTTCACCAGTAAGCATACGCATAGTAGTTGTTTTACCAGCACCGTTCACACCTAAGAAACAAAATATATCACCTCTTTTAACACCAAAATTCAAATTATCTACAGCGATTTTAGGCTTTTCTTTAGAAGAACCTCCTGTTGGTGGGAAAACTTTACGAAGATTTTTGACAAGAACAGTATAATTTCTAGGATTGCTATATTGGATTTAATTCATCTCATCTTCTACATCAGAATCGATATTTGAAGTTCTTACATAAGGATATTTCTACTCCAAATTACGATTAAAAACAGATTTTCTGTTTCTATACATTTCAAGAAAAACTAAAATAGCCATAAATAAAAAGAAAGAAATAATCAAAAATAATATATCGCCACCAACTATATCTAAGTCAGATGGAGAAGGTAGCTGGCTAAGATTTTCTTGAATTTAAGTAAACTTTCTTCCAGTCAAATTTGTAAATCCATCATAAATAGAAAAACTAGGGAATATTCTGAAAACCCAAGAAACTTTCACAGCAAAATTATGAGTTGAATCGTAAAAGCGCAAAATAGCAAAAATTACAGCACCAACTCCTCCAAACATAAAATGGAGGAAGAATTAAATCACCTAAGCATTGCCATAATCTGAGTGTAGAAAAGAAAATACATAGACTAAAGAAAGTAAACTCAATCCATATAAGAAAATAAGCAAAAGAAAATAACCAAAATTTCCATTATCAGTTACAGAAGTTACTTAAAACGCAAATGCAAGAAAGCAGCTGATAACTGTAGGAATCAAGTATTTTATATAATCAATTACAAAATTAGAAATCCAATAAGCTTTAAGAGAAACTCCACTAACTATCTGCTAATGCTTCACATGTTCGGCTCTCTCTCTTACAATATAAGAAATAATACTTGCAGGTATAAATGATATTCCCATCGAAAAGAATAAAGCTACATTTATGCCTTAAGTAAGTCCAACTAAGCTGTTTTAAATAGTTAAAAATATTGAATTTTAATACTTCTTAATTCATAAATTTATTTAAAATTTAGAATTTATAGATAAATATAAATTAAAATTAATAAAAGAAATAGAAATAATAAAAAGTATAGTTACTTTTTAGTGCTTGATGTAGTTGCAAGTGGCTTATTTGTAACATTTATTTAAATTTGCTTGTTTGTGATAGATTTGATAATAGCATTATTTAGCAAGTTTATGGCCATCGGAATTCCATCTAGACTGACTGTATTTATAAAAGCAGTGTATGAAAATATATTTCCTTACATATTTGAAAGGAAATATCCAAATTTAGATTCAGTAGTTTTTCTATTAAATAGTTAGTTATCAAATTCTTAGATAGAATTAATATTTCCTATTTAGTTATAGCTTGTATCAGAAAATTATTGCAGATTATTTATAATATTTTAATAACTAGAAATTGGTTAGTTGCTTCCATAAAAGATTTTCGGATTTTCATCAAAAAATATGTCTGGGCATAATTCAATGGCTGACCAGTCAAAAAAGTTAGTTTTGTAAGCTTTGTATAATCCAAATGCAATTAAAAGAATTGGAAGGATCAATTCGCAACATAGTCCTTTTTTATCTCTTCTAAAATAGTGAATTCTTTTCTTGATAAGAGCCCAAAAATGTGTTAAAAATAGAGTTGAAGGATCTGTGATTTTTTCGCAATCACTTTACTAGTCTGAATCTTCATACATTCCTAAATTATTTTTTGTTTTTAGTCTTTTGGGTTATGCTACATGATTTTCATTCATACTAGCAACTTTCAAAAATACTTCCTCTAAGGTTGTTATTGAGACTCCATAAGATCTTATTTTTAAGTTAGTTTTTTGCTTTTCAATTTAATCAAATAAGTTTGGGAACTGTGGAATGTACTTTTAAGGAATTTGAAAAGCTACTTCAGCTGAGTAATCGCTAATCAGACTACTTTCAGGGATAAAATATTTTATGAATTGAATTATTGGTTCAGAAGGAGTGTTATTTTGCTCTTTTACAAAAGTGAAATTGTATCCATTTCCAAATCTTTCTTTTAAAAATATATTTGATCCAACACACTTAATTTAGCCATCTGAAATAATTCCTATTCTGTCTCCAAGATAATCTGCTTCATCCATAAAATGGGTGGTCAATATAATTATTTTTTATTATTTAAACTTCTTAACCATATCCCAAATATGTCTTCTGGCTTAAACATCCATCCCACTAGTTGGCTCATCTAGTAATACAACTTCACTATCACCTATTAAAGATAAAATAATAATTTAACTTATGCCTAGTAAATATTTTAGTTTTTTACCAATAAAAGCTATTGCAACTGAGAGCTTTCTCTTTTATCCTCCTGATAAACTGCTGCTTAAAGAGTTTGTCTTTTCTACTAGATCAACATCCTTAATGATTTTTTCTACTGTTTAAGGTATATCAGAATAACTCATACCTTTTAAGGTAGCAAATAGATAAAGATGTTCTTTAACAGTTAAAGAATCAAATAATATATCATGCTATGGGCAAACACCTTTTGATAAAATATTAATATTATTTTTGTCTTTAAATAATTTTTTTTACCTAAAATTGTTCTAATTTTATCCATATCCTCTCTTATATCAAGACCTTTGATTAAAGCTGTTCCTTAGGTTGGAGGTATCATCCCAGTTAGCATAGAAATCGTTGTAGATTTTCCTGCGCCGTTATGCCCTAGAAAAGAGAAAACTTAACCACTGTAAAGTTATAAATTAATCTAATTAACAGCACATTTTTCAACTCCTTCCGTTTTGAACACTTTCGTCAAGCATTAAATTTTAATAGTCTATTATTAAAATTATATATAAAATAACTTGAATGAATTAAAAATTTATTTTACTCTGTTTTCAGTCTCTTATTTTTTTAAAGAGATATCGACATTTTCAATGAAGGGATTTTCTTATTAAAATCTATAATTTTAAATGTTGTCTGGTATTTATTTTTCTTTTTTCAACTCACATCCAATAAAAAATAGAGAGTGTTTTCTTTAACCAAATTCATTGGCAATAACTTAGTCTAGATATAAGAATAAGATGAGGTATATGATAAAACTGATCCAGCTTGAGTTAATTGAGTAAATGAGCATAGATCTATTACAAGTTTCTCCAAACATATCAAGTGAAACATTTTCATCTCTAGCTTAGTGTATAACTAAAATTCTCATAGCTTATGTGATAGCATTATGAACAATTCTTGCTTAGCTCTAATAATCTGAGTTTGATATTGTCTTTTATAGAAAAAAAAAAAATTTATTTATTGCAAATATTTTTAATTTAAAATTTACTTCTTAATCTCCTAAGCTGAAGGAATATAGAAATTAAATTAAGAACAATGAAGTAGCTCCAATAATTCCTGTTCTTTATTTATGAAAGAAGACTGTAATAAACAAACTCTATGCAAGGAGACATATGCAAAATGAAAAGTGTATAGAATAAAGAACACTCATATCAACTACAGTAAAAAAGTAGATTTTGAGGAACAGACAAACAAAAAAAGATATTATTGCATAGATTATTAGATAGCTTATGAACCAGCTTGAATAGAAGGCAAATTTTCCGAGACCCATCATCATCATTCCTTCTCTGATTCTTTTCTCTTTTTCATCCAGAATTCGTGAAGATAACCTTAAGAAAGGCACTATCATAGGTATTACAATGAATAAATTCATAAAACTTCCTGTATATGAATACAGGTCAGATTTTTAGAACTACTCTGTCTGCATGATTGTTATTTAAGGAAATATTTTTAAATTAGAATTTCCACTTTCTAATTGAAGAATGATATTATCAATCCAATTCACTATTCTGGTAAATCCTGAATTGATGTATTTTAAAAATTAATCATTTTACTCAAAATCTATGTAATCGGTCCTATATGTTCTTGGAACATCAAAAGATTAGGTAAGATTATATTAGAGAGTATAGTTATATACACCATTTTCCCAACTATAAAAAAGAATTCCAAAGCAAATCTAAGGTGGTTCCTTAACAGGGTAATCGGAAGATGTAATATGTTTTATAAATAGGTCAGGGTTATCAAAAAATTGTACTTCTACTCCAGGGTAATCTATATCGAATTTAGTAAGTATTTTTAAAAATAATTTAAGTTACTTAAACATTAAGAAATTTATTACTTAAAAGAATTTGAGAAAGCTACTAAGTGATTTGAATTGAAGGAGCCAGCCCAATTTTTCCACCAACATTTGAATCTTAGCAATTTTTTATAGTACTATGTATTCCATTACTGATGAGAGAAGAATCCCATCCTGGGGTAAGAGAAACAGATTCATTTAAAAAACTTCTCTAACTTACTTACTCAGTGTTTGATAGAGCTTTGAAAATATAGAGAAAGAAAACAAAAATGACTGGGACTAATATCTCGCATATAGTTCCTTTCAGATCTCTCTTCCAAAGATAAAAATTTTTTACTGTCAAGGCTACAGTATGGGTTATCATAATTGCTAAATATTATTAATTAATGATATATTATTATTGTTTTATATTATACAAAATTCTCAAAGTGAGGATTTTAAAATGTATTAAATTCAATAATTGTGATTTTAAGTAAATTAATTTCCTACTTATATATGAGTGTAGAAGTAATCAGTAGTAATAGATAAAGATTAGTTAAAGACTATACCTTTATTTAATTAATAATCAAAGTTTTGAATTGTTCAAATGTTTCAGAATTAATGAAATTTTAATAAATTACATTATTTAGTAAATAAAAATCAGAAATTCAAATTTTATATTAAATTTCATTTGACTGGAAAAAAACATTAAATATTAATATTCAAATAAGTTATTAGTATTAAACGGATATCTATGCTTTTAATAATATATTTATTTTTAAAACTCTAATAAGTACATCAAAAAAAGGGTAAATGAAAATATATTCATCAAATAGATGATTCATTTTTAATTACTGCGTATTATTTAATCTATTATAATTTTAGTTTTTTTTAAATTGTTTTTTTTTTTCATATAATAGCTTAGATTTTTGCATAAAAGGAGAATTTTTCAAGCTAATAAATAATGTAAATTAAATTTTTATATTAAATCGCTTTACTAAAATTTATTAATTTAAATACAAATATATTATAAAAATGAATCATGTTTAAATAGATTTGAATATTTTTAATTAAATTTATTTAAAAATTTTTTTATTCTCTTAATAAAAAAGTAATTATTAGCTCTAGATCATTAAGAAAATAATTAATAAGAAAAATATTATCATCCTTTAAGTTATTTCACTTGTATAGAGTTTTACTTAATTTTTAAAGTTTTGATCATTTTTCAATCAAACAAACAAATAGAAACTCAAAAACTAGCAAATAGCTTATAGTAATATTTTATTAATATCAGAATGAATAACTTCATAATAAACGACACAAAATATTAATACTTTTGTCTTTGAAGAAATAAAAATTTAGATTTTAATCATTTCTTTTATTACTTTAATTAACGTATTTAAACATGATTAATTTGAATTGGTTAAAATTAATTATTCAACAGTGGATATTAGATATTCTGTTCTTATATATTAATCTACTTGTTAATAGATGAGATTTATATTTCGCTATTACTTACTTTTTCATTATTAATAGAGTTTAAATGATTCTCTTAAACTTTTTTTTTAATTTCTTAGTTAGCTATGTCATGAAAGATTTATTCAAGAGTAGTCTAAGATATTGTATATGAACATATATCCAACTCATTTTGATATCTATTCATTAATCCAAATAAGTAACCTAAGTTTTTTTCACATTCTACTCTCACTTTTATGTAATTATTTAGGCCTTCTAAAGTCTCGTATCTATTAAAATTCAGAGCCAAAAATTACTCTATTCTTTATTATATATTGAAGTTGTATATGGATTCTACCAAAGCAGCAAGCTCAATTTAATTACTTTTTTTAGATTCCAATTAAAAGTAAATACTAGATGCAAATTTTCCTTCATTTATTTATTCTATAAACTAATCTTATTAAATCTAATTAAGAATTTAACAAATATTCTATTTTTTGATAATAGTATTCAAGTTCATCTCTTTTGCCAGATGTTCTAGTTAAACCACATTAGGAGTATTAGTTTTAATTGAAATTTCATATCCTTTTCCAAATTTGTTTTTTAAGTGCTAAATACTTCCCATACACTTAAAATTGCCACCAATTACTATTCCTACTTTTGTTCCTAATGCTTCAGCTTCCTCCATAGAATGAGTTGTCAAAATTATAGAAGTTTTCTTTTTATTTGCAGCCATATCGCTTATCACATTCCACATAAAACGACGGTTTCCAGGATCCATACCTGTTGAAGGCTCATCCAAGAATGCAATAGGAGGGTTTCCAAGCATTGCAATCGCTACACTTAGCTTTCTCTTATTACCTCCAGAATAAGTACGTGCTACTACATTCTCAAATTTTCTGAGGTTTAACTCATCAAGCTTTTCATTAACAGCTTGCTCTCTTTAATTAGGAGGAATTCCTTTTATAGCAGCAAACAACTCTAAGTGTTCTCTAGCTGTCAAATTATCTAACAAGGCATCAAATTAAGGACAATATCCTATATATTGCTATGCTTCAGATATTTATTCAGGAATTTTACATCCCTGAATATATGCATCACCTGAGCCTATTGTCTCTTCTCCAGTGAGCATACGCATAGTAGTAGTTTTTCCAGCTCCATTGACTCCTAAAAAGCAGAATACATCACCTGTTTTAACACCAAAGTTAAGATTATCTACAGCAATCTTTGGCTTTTCTGTTGAAGAACCTCCAGTTGGTGGGAATACTTTACGTAAGTTTCTAACAAGAACAGTAAAATCTTTAGGGTTGCTATCTTGAAGTACACTAATTTCTTCTTCAACATCAGAGTCAATATAATTAGGCTTCACATAAGGATATTTATCTTAAATGTTTGAATCAAATACACTTTTTCTATTTCTGTATTTTTCAATATAAATAATCATACCTGTAAACAAAATGAAAGAAAGGATTAAAAATATTAGATCAGCACCCATCACATTTAAATCTATTTAAGATGGCTCGCTGTTTAAGTTATATTAAACTTAAGTAAATTTTCTGCTTGCAATATTATTAAATCCATCGTAAACTGCAAAGCTTGGAAATATTCTTAAAACCCAGGCAATAATAACACCAACTTAATGAGTTGAATCTGAAAAACGCAGAATTGCTACAACTACAGCTCCAACCCCTCCAATCATAAAGTGTATAAAAAATTATATGATCTATGCATTACCGTAGTCTGAGTGTAAGAACGAGAATAGATAAGTAAATGGAAGTAAGCTCAATCCATAAAAAATAAAAAGTACAACAAAGTATAAGGAGTTGCAATCTTCAGTCATTGAATCAATCTTAAAAGCATAAGCTAGGAAATAACTGCTTATTGTTGGAATCAAGAACTTAATATAATCAATGAAAAAGTTTGAAATCCAATATGCTTTAAGAGTAATACCACTGACTATCTATTAATGCTTGATATGCTCAGCTTTTTCTCTCACGATAAAAGAAATAATACTTGCAGGGATAAAAGAAATACCCATTGAAAAGAACATGACTGAATTAACACCTTAAACTAAGCCCACAAGACTGATTATTTTAATTTTAAATAAACTTAAAAATATTAAATTTTATTTTGAAAGTTTACTTTTTGGTACTAGCTGTAAGAGGCAGTGGTTAATTATTAACATTTATTTGAATTTATTTACCTGTCACACTTTTTATGATAGCATTATTCATAAGATGGATAGACATAGGAATGCCATCTAAGCTTACAGTGTTAACAAAAGCAGTGTATTTAATATTATTTCCTTGAGTATTTTGTAAATAATATCCAAATTTTACTTCAATGGTCTTCTAATAAAATAATAAATTATCAAATGATTAGATGTTGTAAACATTTTGTATTTGATTGAATGAAGTGTCCTCAAATTGTTGAAAATCGTTTATAATTGATTGATAACTACTAGATGGTTGAGAGCTTCCATAATAAATTTTTGGTTTTTCATCAAAAAATATTGTTGGGTTTAGTTCATATGGTTTCCAATCTTAAAAATTAAAAGAATAAGCAGTATATAAGCCAAATGCAATTAAAATAATAGGCAAAATCAATTCACAGCATAATCCTTTCTTATCTCTTTTAAAATAATGAATTCTTTTCTTAATTAAGGCCAAGAAATGAGTACGAAATAGTAAATATGTATCTGTTATTCTTTCAATTAATTTTTGATCATCTTAATTTTCAATGTCTTATTATTAATTATTTTATTGCGCTTTATCAACTTATACGATATGATTACCATTCATACTTGCTACTTTTAGAAAAACTTCCTCTAAAGTAGTTATCGAAACTCCATAAGATCTAATTTATAGCTAGTGTTTTAATCTCTCTATTTCATTAAACATCTATTCAAACTGAGGAATATATTTATAGGGTATTTAGAAAGCTATCTCAGCAGAGTAATCACTAATTAAGCTGCTTTCTGGAAAATGGTGATTGATAAACTATATTATAGGTTCAGAAGGAGTAGTGTTTTATTCTTTTACTAAAGTTAAATTGTATCCATTTCCAAATTTTTCTTTCAAGAATACACTAGAACCAACACACTTAACTTATCCATCAGAAATAATTCCTATTCTGTCTCCAAGATAGTCTGCTTCATCCATAAAATGAGTAGTGAGTATGATAATTTTTTACTGTTTGTAGTTTTTGACCATTTCCCAAATATGTCTTCTAGCTTATACATCCATACCACTTGTAGGCTCATCCAATAAAACTACTTAGCTTTCTCCTATATTTGATTAAAATATTTAGTTAAAAAAATAAACGAAATAAATAAATACCTATAAAAGCTATTGCAACAGAAAGTTTTCTTTTTTATCCTCCTGAGAGGCTGGAGCTTAAAGAATTAGTTTTTTCTACTAAATCTACATCTATAATGATTTTTTCAACAATATTTGATATTTCTCTATATGGTATTCCTTTCAATACAGCAAATAGATAAAGATGTTCTTTAACAGTCAGTGAGTCAAATAATATGTCGTGCTAAGGGCAAACACCTGATTAAAAAGAATTCAATTATATTAATTAAAAATATTTAAAATACACTTAATTACCTAAAATAGTTCTAATCTTATCCATGTCTTTTGTAATTTCTAAACCTTTGATATAGGCTGTTCCAGAAGTAGGAGGAGTCATTCCAGTTAGCATAGATATAGTTGTAGATTTTCCTGCACCATTGTGGCCTAAAAAAGAAAAAACTTGACCTGAATACATTTACAAGTTGATTTAGTCAACAGCTTTTTTGAGTACACCTTCTGTTTTGAACTCTTTAGAAAGATTTTCAACCTTAATTGTCTATATTATGCATTAATTAATAAAACTTTTATAATGAAAAATAAGTGATTACTTTGTTCTATAATTCCTAATTTTATA